GGACGGGATCCCGTATTTTCTGCGAGCTGTGGTCGTATGTGCTTTACTGAGTTTCAACTTGGTCCTATATCCCCTCCAAATTTCAGGTTTTCAACGGTGTCAACAGTTGAGGTTGATCCCCTCCAGCCAGGTCAAATCCCAAGGTGTCTGGACAGCTGGTGTCGTCCTTGGTATGGAGGCCGCCAAGAAATCAGGAAAATCGGTTGCTGCCTAGATCTTCGGATGCATTTAACATATATTTATCATGCAACAACACTACACTGCAATCTTAAACCCCCCAAGACTTCAAGCTGCGCCTTGTTTGACTTCACTGCAATCTTGGTCCGAATCAAGGCTTGTCGTTCTACGCAATTGATCCGACGAAGGAATATCAAGCCCAAGGAAATGGGCTTCCCACAGGTAAGATGATGGGCCTTGTTTGACGTCTTTACGGGCAGTCCAGACCTTGCGCGAGGAAGTAAGGTAAGATAAGGTACGAAGCAGATGATTTGAAATCACAAAAGCTCACTTAAACGAGATGGTAACGTGAGACTGTTAAGCTGTGGAATGAGTCTTGGCGCAAAAATGAGAGATCAATTCAGTGCTAATGCTCGAAAACTCATTGCGGCCGCCAAATACCCTCGTCATCATCCTCGGCCTCAGCCTTAGGGGCCTGAGCGGGGTTAATGGTCACCTCAGCGGGCGGTCTCATGCTGCTTAGAGCCGACGACAGACAACATGAGTCAAACAAAAGTAACTCCGATCGCTCTCATGACTACCAGAAATGAAGTTCCCATATTGTACGCACAGCCGTATTCCTGTTGCACGGCCCAGGGCAACTGCAAACAGCTGGAATGCTGAGACTGATGTGGTGTCTCATATTGAGATTGGAACTGAGCGGCAGGCAAACCAGGTAAGCGGCTGTACGCCACCTAACTTTCCTCAAATCAAAACGAATCATGGCGCTCAGATCTCCCAGAAGATTCAAGGTACAGACTGGGTCATGTTAAATCCGGGAGTCTAGACCAGTGATCAGATGCCATCGCGAACCTTATCTCAGCCGTGTGTGCCACATATGCCAGGAACTTTGCCCTTGTCGGCCTGTCCCCTTAAAGGCCTGCGACGCGGGATCTTTAGCAGATGACCAAAATCCCCCCTTTGCTCCTTGAAAAACTTCCACATGTTCCTGTATTCAAAAAGGGAAGCGCTATGAGAGGACTGACTCTATGGCCGATACTTCTCATTGCTATCTCTGTGTGTGACTTGGTTCATGCTAAAAGTTACAGACTGCAAGATGTTCCCAAATGTGCTGTCAGTCTACCAGTTGCATCAAATGAGATCCTCATTTTTCTAACGTCACTAGATCAATTGTCTCGACAAGTCCTTCGATGAACCGACATTCTCCGATGCCAATATCAACCGCCTGTGCAACGTGACGGCGATTAGCGATGAGGTGCTTGCCTGTGTCAGAGCGGATTGCAGGGTGAAGGATCTTTTGGGTAAGGATAGTCATGGTCAAAACGCGATGCATTCAGTTGTCGCAGGGGTGCAAAGCTAACGACGCGTCACGGCCAGAATACATGAGAACAGAGCGTGTAGCTTGCAATAGAGCAGACATCGACAACGACCACACCATCAGGGCCATCAACTTTTTTATTCTTGGCGCGATACTCGTCGCAGTTGGTATAAGAATATGGACAAAGGTCTACCGATTCACGAAATGGGGTATAGATGATTATTTAATTATCCCTGCGGCAGTGAGTGGGACTCTGCTTGCTATGGACCGTTGGCTTATCGGAACATCCAGACTCTAACAGCTGTACAAACAATATGCATGATCCTCAGTAAGTTACGATGTATCTCTAGATATTCGTACTCTTCGATAACTGACGAAATCGTTCTTCAGTGACATGGAATGGCCTGGGACACGATATCTGGACAATAAGTGAAGAAACAACAACCAAATTCTTCATAGTAAGATTACCCATATCAGATTGCGCAGTCGATACTAAATGATGTAGTATCTTCTTGTCGTTGAGTTTACGTACGTTCTCAGCCTATGTCTAATCAAACTCTCGATCCTCTTCTTCTTCCTCCGCATCTTTCCCGACCCGACATTTATCACAATCATCAGATGGACGATTGGGTTTACTATTCTCACATCAACAATCATTCTGATTCTTGCATGCCTCCAAAGTGCCCCCACCGAACCGTCACAAGAGGGCTGGGATGGTTATCCGGATTCAGGACCGCATTTGGACATTCAAGCCTTGATCCTTTCTCATGCTGGTATCAACGTTGCATTGGACGTCTGGATGTTTATTCTCCCGTTAACTCAGCTGTATAACCTTGGTTTGAAAGCGAGAAAAAAGATTGGAATCATGCTCATGTTTAGCGTGGGAATATTGTAAGTATTGATCCATCGTACTTGATGCTTGGAAGAACTAACCAATATTAGTCTTATCGCAGTCAGCTGCATCCGTATACCGGCCCTGCTAGATTTCAATAAAACCTTGAATGCGACTGGTAAGATCCTTCACTTGAACCCAATCCCTGGAACTTGAATCTGACACGGATGTCTATGAAGCCGATTCACAGGGAATCATCGTCTGGTCCAACATCGAAACCGGTGTCGGTATTCTCGTTGCTTGCATGCCTCACACCCAGCCACTTCTACACGCCGCCAAAACGAAGATAAAATGGTTAAATATTTTGCCAAGTACCTCCAGTAGTGCAAAAGGAATATTCGTCGACAGGTCTCTGGTCCCGATCAAAGTGACAGCGATTGATGGGACTGCAACAAGACCAGAAGAGCTGATTCTGTATGATAGAGGGGGTTTGTTAAGTGCGGATAGACCAGAGAGCGCAAAGAAAGCGAGTCACAGATCAGATGGAGTGGAGACAGTCTAGCAATGAACAGTTATACCCAGGTTGCAATAAATGATTAAATCATTTCTCAGGTCTTGCTTGTTTGATAGTAGCCCATCTACAATACAGCCGATCATTCCCATGACACGCGCGCCCAGATGGGTAACAGAAGAATTGTCCTATAAGGCTTAGGCTTCCATAATAAAGTAGACTAACTGCTAGTCTAAGTTAGCATAAACTGACCAATTTATTTCCTCTCTTATGCCTCCAGGGGCTAATTCTTCCGACACCCTGAGGGCGCTCTCACTGCAACTTCAACCCTGTTCACTGCAAGTTTACCTAGTCCTAACCAAGCCTGTCGCCACATGGGATGGATCTTGCGCTGAGGTAGCAATGGGTGGTCAGTAGCACCAAGACAAGCACCAAAAATAGCTACAACACCATCCAGAACACAGAATCCTACAAGAACATCTTATTCCTGAATCGGTATTGAGATGCTGTCTTAGAAGAGCATATCGTATATGCAGAGCGACGGTCAAAGCCCCGTTTGCACTGCCCGGGCATAAGCGGGGCTGACACACGTTCGGTCCTCATCGACAAACCTCCATGTAAGACTCTCTTAAGTCTCCTCACCCACTTTGTGATGTAGTTCAACTTTATTTAATATAACCATTACTCGAAGCGTCTGACTCAATTCGAAAGAAATTATTTCGCGATTCTGACTGAATTAACGGGCAATGGTTGAACTTGGTGGCAGTAAAAGCGAGGAGATGGAGAATCTTCGACGGGAGCTTGAGATTACAAAAGCCGAGAAGGCCAAGTATGAAAACCTGTTGAACCAGAGCTTGGAAAGAGAACGCAAGTTCAGACAAGCCCTCGAAAAAGAGACAGATCTCAAAGAAGAGTATCAAGAGCTCTATAAACGAAACGAAGAACTCCTGAGCGCACGCTCCATTACGGAGCAACAAACAAATTCGCTGGATAACAAGTTCTTTATTGATAAGATGACATTCCTGCGACAAGATATTAGGCATTTTGCCCACCAATACTTCAGCAGCTGGGCACCGAAGGCCAAGCTCTCACCCGTGTCGGTCCAGGAGATGGCCGGATTACTCAATTTGGAACCTTTCGCTGTACTGGGTTCAAACCCTTCTGCGACTGTCCGCGCATATATATGGAGATTACTAGCACGAAAAGTCTTTGGGAGATTCGTTTGGGCGGAACCTTCTGAAGCCATGCACGAGCTCACTGAGTATCTAAGTATGTATGGCGAGTTACTCTGCTTAATATCATTGACTGACATCTGACCAGGGCCATCCAAGTCATCCGCTTCTGCTCCGGAGCGAGACAGACAACGCCAGTTCGATCTATGGAAAGCCAAGACAAGTACATTATTGCAAACCACTAGAGGTACACGCGAGGATAAAACCGGGGACATGGCTCAGAGTGATAGTATTAACCAGCTAATGAACACTTTGGTGGGACTTGTTGGAAGTGGTGTGAGAAGGATAGAGCTTATCAAGCCAGTTAACATGATTTGGGCATATGCTGTGGAGTTTGACATGCTCATGCATACACAAGACTCTGGGTTGGAGTTATACTATGGGGGTAATCTGTCGAGTCCAACGAAGACTGACGATAGTATAATGGAACTGGATTCGGAGAGCGAGGCGCTTCCAAACGGAGCCCCCGTAAGCTTGGTATTCGAGCCCGCTTTGAGAAGAATGGACGATAGTGGGTTAGGCCAAGAAGTCTATCTGCTCAAGATGGTGGTTACATGTCATGTCAAGGAGTCGGACACTCAGAAAGAGGGCCTCAAACAGGGACAAACTAAAGGTTTGGGAGAACTGAAGAGGACTGGCAGTCATTGGGGGTCGGTGAAACGTTTGATGAAGCGTCCAAGCTCGAACGGTAGATAGTTCCTATTTTACATAGTGAAGGGAATAATATTAGGAACAAAAATGTTTGAGTTTCTCTCTCGTAGCTGGATCAAGGTATGCCTTGCCAACAGCTAGCTTATGATGCTGGCTAATGGTAATATGCAGATATATATTATTAGTCTAAACTTAGGGCAGTAAAAAAACGACCATGAAACCAAGAAAAATAGCTACCCTCGCGGTTATCTACTTTAGTACAAATTGTCGTACGTTAAAGGATGTTTGTGTTTGTGACCTCCAGTCCTCCACTGCCTTTCCGAACATGTAACCAGCAACATAGCACTCTCCGACAAAATAAAATGTATTGCGACCAACAGGTCGCAAGACATAAGGAACTTGGCCTCCTGCAACAACACAAACTACATCGTCCTTCCGAAGAAGTTCAGGGCCAAGTCCCAGCAAGCGACCAGTCGCCGTGAATAACTGTCGATCATCGCACACATTTCCCATAGCCTGTCTGTATCTAACAGCGTCTTGATCGTGAGGCACTATGTTCTTGAAGATATCGCGCCTCCACTTTTGAAACGATTCGGTATGCCTCAACATCACAGCTTGATCTCTTAAAATATTGCCGTACCAATCTTGACCAGCTGTCAGGACTAGAGGTAACTGCTCGACATCGCTATAGGTGCTCACATTTTGATACAGCCAATCATCAAGCTTTACGTTATGCGCTTTCAGTTGCTTATGCCCAACCTCTGGATCGTTACCGTTCACTTGAGGTAACGCGTAGTGAAACGATGTGATCGACCCGAGAATAAATCCCCGAAGGATTAAACGTCGCTTGTTCGTTTCCCAGATAAGTTTGGCTGAATCTTCCGGGTTCCAGCCAGCTGATGCATCAAACTTCATGTCAGCTCTATGAGAGCCACTGATACTTCTGATCGGCTTCACATGCCACTGTGGTATCCATGTAGGATAGTCAGGGTAGAACAGTGTTGTGTGACGGACAGCAGAGAGGATCTCTAGGGGATTCTCGTGAGTATGGAAAACCCAGTAAAAGACGCGGCTGTATAACCCTTCTGGTAGTAAGTGATAGTTTGGGGATATATACTCGCGTCCTGGTCCTGTGTGTTGACTCGGAAGGCCGAGAATGGCGTATATTCGATCAAGCCGTTCTGACACGTCGAACCTCCGCGTTAGTCGAAGTAGGTCCAAAAACGACATAGAATCGCCCCGAAACTCGGGTGAAGGCATTCGGTACATGAGATAAGCATTCATCAGACCGGTTCTAGCATTTATGCTTCCTCCGAAAGGGCTAGTGGACTCCCCTGACGCCTCAATGCGAGTAAACATTGACATCAAGCTTTGGTTGTTCCGAATCAAGGTCGTTGCGAGCCCTAACAGAGTCCACGATATCTCGGCGTCTCCCCATCGAATGACCGCATTGCGGGAGGATACCAGCTCTTGGACCACCCATAACCGCTTCCAATAACCACTTTGAAAGATCGAAACAATTCTACCCATGTTTTTCTCATTCATAATATCGGGATAAATGCTGTCGGCAGTGGAAGAGGCGTCTGTACCTTCACAGGAGCTTTTCTGAGCATCAAACCATACCGTAGTAAACACCTTGATAGCTTCGAAGCACTTGCCAGCGTGAACATAGTCCTTGCCAACAAATCCAACAACTCTGGCCGCTTGAGAGTAGATCCGTTGCATTATGGTGACTTGTTGAAGGCGTTCCGCATGGTTCGCTTGGTTAATGCAGATAGCATCAGCCCAGACTATCCTAGCTTGTCGTTCGAGTCGAAGATGCAGTAGAATACTTCGTAGATACGCATTGATAGATAACACTTGGCCTTCGAAATGTATGAACGCCTTCTGACCATCACCCTCGCTCCACTGTTATGAAATAGCTTCAAATGGAAGGTTTGGTGTGTCCAAGTCCAAGATCTTGAAGGAGGCCACCAGAGCATCGTCATTTGTTCCAGGTTGGATTGCGAGGACACGGATATGTGAACGGGATGGCAACGGTATGTAAATCTGTGATCGGCTAAACATATACCGAAGAGGGTCGCTAAAACACCCCAAGATACTTGTGTTGGTGGGGACTTTGACGGGTTGTCGAGCGACTGTATTGGGCGCTGTTTCATCGGATTGACCGTTCAAAGGCCTACTCATATCACGGTCAACTTTGTCTTCCAAAGCTCTCAGAGTGTCGGGGGTTTGCATTTTATGCGACGTAGCTGTGGTTTCTCCTAAGGATGTATGCATTTCGAACGAGGAATCAAATTGAGCGATTGGCATATGCGCGTGGTGTTCGGGAGTAAGATCATTTCTGATAAGATTGGCGCAATTCATTGCTCCTTCAATGTCTAGGGCATAGGGTTAGCCGACAGCTAACAAATGTGTATAAAGGCTATCTCTGCATACCTGGATCCTGAGCTGTGGGTTGATCTACGTTGAGAGCCTGTACAGAAACGGTACCTGCCCCATCACCGCCATGATCCTGCGCCGTGGATCTATCGGTGTGAGTTGGCCTGGAAATCGAGGTATAGCCGCCGGTTTCGCCATGAGGAATCGTAATTTTGGGACGGCGAGTAGCCTTGTTAGTGTTGACGGCCCGGCGAACTGAAGCGGCGACAACGACCCCAGCAAAGAGCATTGCTATATCGCATGAGCCTTCCCAATTCTCCGCAAGACCACAAAGAATTGTACTTACCATTTATGGAACCCTCTGTTGCCTCAAGAAATACAGACTGGGAGACCCGATCGCGGCCATTGGTATCAGAACGCAAATTCCTGAGGTCCATATCTTCACTCCCTCCAAATTCGCTATGGGTACTTTCAGTGTCAGGAATATCGGACCTCTCGAGACTTTTACCTGAGTCTGTTCCATCTGAGATGGACATCTGGGTCGCTGTTTATTCAGTGTGGAAGAGAAGCGGTGAGATGTTCGATTTGATACGCTAGGTAAGCTGAGACACGAAATTACAATGCACTGCAATTTCAAACCCCCTAACCCCCCGACTGAATACACTGCAAATTTAGCCCTGAACGAGGCTTGTACTCGTCCATATGCTTTTGATCTGATGAGGCTAGCTTCCGCTTCGGTGATGATTGGCCGTCAGCAAAACACGGAGGCGCGGAGCAAGGATGGATGCTGTTCCATCCTTACAAGAATGGATCATCTCTAGTCCGGCGTTGTGCCGGGGATTTAAAAGAACGCGTCATACTTGCAGATATGCCATTGAAGCCTAATTTATACTCTGTCATTCAGTGTATATTTTCAAGCCTCCAAGGTTAAAAGGCAGACCGTGGAAATACAATATTGCTTTTCCATCAAGTATCGAAAGCCCAGTAGTCATGCCACATCGATTAGTAACAAAACCTCTTTAGTTGAACTCTCACAGCAGGATCAAGGCATGCCTCCGCAACAGCAAGTTCATACTGCTTCAAGGAAATGCTGTACTGCTTTACCCCGTATACAGTAGCACCCACCGCAAAGGCTATGCTGACTAGAGTGACCAAACCCAGGACAACTGTGATCCAGAAAGCAGATATCTGAAGCATGTTGCTCCCACCTTTGTCAAGCCTCAGCTGATGTAGTCCAACCGCAGGTTGGCGCAAGATGTAACCGAGATCTTCGATCCTATCTCGCCAAAAGGTGTAATCATCCAGATCCAGCTTTCTGGGCCTATTACAAAAGCCGAGGCCATAGAATAACTTCTTTTCCTTGTCCAAGAACCGCTTGGTAGCATCATCCTGAAAGGGAAACAGGAGATTTAGCGTATCGATTGCCTCTGCAACGATATCCTCAGGTATTATAGCATTGTCAGGAAAACGGAGGTGGTTGAAAAGATGGATCTTGTGCTCGTAAACTGTGATCTCTTTGTACTTCCAATCAATGGCGAGATGATCAGAAAGATCATGAGTCCAGTTAATAGCGTAACCATAGTTGCTAGCAAGGTTCTCTGCAGTCAGATGTGGACTGATATGACTATCAGAGGGACGGCGATTACCTGTACTTGGACAGGCCTTGAAATGTGAGTAGACTAGCTCCTGCAAAGGTTGCCCGTCTTGCCATGGAAGGAGATCTTGACGACCGATCTCGGATGCGCCAAGGTTCATTGTTGACCATAGACGAATCGCAAAATCGATAGATCTTTGCAGCTGGTCTTGATTGTCAAGTGAAGATGGAAGTCCTCCGCGTACCACCTTCAGTATCTGCTGTTTTGATGTGGTGCGAACGGATTTAACCAATTGTATGATCTTGCCAATATCTTCTGCCGTGAAGAATGTATGACTATCACGATTGTCTTGAAGCGTCTGTAACTGATCTCCGAAATATCTTAATAGAACAGAATAGTGTTTCTGAATATTTGACACATTGATTGACACATCTGGCCAGATAGCTGTAAAAAGTACCTGGCTGTCGGGGCAGGGCGAACTTGCCCCAGTCATGTTGGTTCTAAGTAGGTAGCCAAGAGAGTCAAACAAGGAATTCAGAAGACTGTGTAAGATAAGTGCTGAGAAGGGAAGGTAAATTCAAGCAGAGCTGGGTGGGTAAAAGATTAATCAATCACCCTTTAACACTGAGGCTGACAAAATAAAGTTGTCTAGATGCTCATCTAAACTGGCATAAGACGACTTAACCTATTTCGGTCCTTGTGCTTATGATAGTCAATTCTTCTGATATCCTAAGGCAAGACTCGGCTCAGACTTGGTATTGTTATTGTGATTTCTTGTAAATGCTGTGCGCCCTTGGAAGCGCCACAACAACTTTGTTATTACCTGGCGCCTTCCGATTTGGTAGTGAGTTAGTTTCATTGTGTGTATACTATCAAGGACTGCGTTAGCGCTGACGCAATTCATTCCCTCGCTATGAAGCCAGGCGTATTGAGTATATTCATTCACCAATCAATTTTGCGTCTCGCTTTATGACACCACTTTTGAGGCCAGCAATGGTCTGCACATTTACCAACCCACTCTATAGAAACCCTTTGACAAACTTGTGGCCAGCCACGGCTTGTCTCTAGTCTTCTTCCCATCAATTTCCCTACTGGTCTCTGTCCATTCAATACCAGATGACCTTTTCTATTTGGCGGCTCTCTTGAAGAGAAGAGAAATGAAAGCCAGGCCAGACACAATGCTGAGACCAGAATGAACATATTATCTATCATTTGGATCGCACAAAGCCTCGTCTCATACTGCTTCCCAGGAAGCCCATTTTCCTCACACAATGTTTGGCCAGATACGCGAAGATGAGGTACAGACATCTCCAGCAGACAGGCCATGCTCAAATGAACTTGTTAGTTATTCGAGCACCCAGCCAGAGATCGGAATCAAGGGTAACCTGATTACGCTTGCTCTGAACTGCACTCATGCTGCTGCAACAGTCATGGACAAGCTCTCCATACCCCAGCCGGAAGCCTTACATCAGAAGATGAACAAGCTGTTTGAGAAGTCCTCACCAGGACTCCCTGATGATCCGACCCTACTTTGTACTGAAACCCATGAGTACAGCGTTCCAAGTCCAGATTTCATGTATCAATTTAGAGGTTCCTCTGATCTCTATGTTGGCTTGGAAGACAAGGTACGCCCGCACCAGATACACATCGACCGCTGGGAGCAACAAGTGCGCCCCCGGCTATGTACAGACATCAAGGAGTTTGAGAAGAAGATGAGAAGTAGCAGAACATTTCGAAGTCGAGGCGGGTTGTCGATATCCCCGGAACTTCGAATGTCTGGCCGCGTGGAAGCTTCCAACAAGGTGAAGCTATCACCTTGTATCTGGATTTTGTATGGTCATGAAAGATGGAGAAAGAGTGTCCAGAAGTTTGTGAACGAGCTTGAGTGGCTCTTCCTAGAAGACTTCGGAGAAGCCGAAGTTCATTTCGGCGGCCCAAGACTCTCCGCTTTGGAGAGCTCCTCCGGGGTACTGGGACTAGACTTCGACGCGGACCACATGTATCATCTCGATGGAAACACCACGCTATACTTACATGTTGAGGAGCCCAAGGGGGTCTCAGCATGCGGATTGATTTGTTGTGCCACTATCATGCGAGATGGAAATATAACGAGCCAGCGGCTTTCTCGAATAGGAGGCATTCTTCACGTCAATGGTAAAGGATTTGGCGTGACTACTGCTCATGGAATGTTGGAATGGTTCGTGGACGATGATGTGGATAGCCAAACTGGCGACATATCATCCGATGACGAGTCATTAGATTGTTCTCTCTCATCGGACGAAGAAGATGAGGGGACGATATCAGAAACATATCGAAAGGAGGGTACCAGAACTGGACCGAGACTTCATGAGCCTGATACAGCTACAAGCATCAACAGAGTTCACCGATGGACCCAGGTTTCAGCGCTTGGCTTGACTAGCTTTCTCCAAACCCGTTACTTTATGTCATCTGAAATGGGCGTAATGATTCAGCAAGAACTTCTACCAAATCCTCAAGTTCATGGACTGTCGGATGAAGCAGCTCTCGGCTCCGACTTCTCGCTCTGGAGTGTCCAGCACACTAAGACTCTACAGAATGCATACACAACGGAAACCTGTCATAATATTACTATCAACGCCCTGGGACACAACGTTCCTGAGGGACCAGTCCAGTTACTGCTTGGCAACGATGACCTGCGGCAAGGGTTTCTTCTCCCAGGAACCATGTCGTTTTTCATTCACGGGACTCAATTCAAGACTCGGAAAATCAGAATTACACAGCCGCTAGGTACATTATAGAGCCCTTTGCCACCCGAACTAATGGATGATTGACTGTCTAAATAGGGCAAGGTTGCTCGGGCACCTGGGTCGTCCGTGATAGGCAACTGCAAGGGGTCATCGTAGCATCGTATGATCATGAGCCGTATGTACAAATGGTTAACACAGAAGACCTACTGTTCAACATCAAGTCGGCTTCCTCCCATACCACTCAAATCCAACTTCCTAGACACGAACCGGTGCCCAACAACATTGACTTACCAAGCCGACCGCTTAAAGCGGAATTAAAGCCAAAAACGCACGCACCGGCCTTAAAAAGTTTAACAACAAGCGAAGGGGAATGGAAGGGGAACTGGAGAGGAGAGTTGGAACTTCTGAAAAGACTGAAGCGCGAATTGTTGAAATGGCCAGTAGCAAATGGCTATCACACTACTCTGTCGAAGGGAAGCCCGGACTTCACGGTCCACAATGATGCAACGAATAATGTTCCTACCAGTTCTGGGTCAAAAGTCCGCGACTACGGGATATCACACTTGGAGTTGGAACAGTGGCCTCCAGTAATTCATGATGGCATCAGCGGTGGATACCTGAATAACGTCAAGCTTCGAGATCTGAACGCGCAAACTCTTATTGAGCGCTTCATGATGACTTTCGGGACTCAGTCACGACGACGAGAACAAGCCTGGTTTCTGTCGACCTTAATGCCAACAGATACACCAAGAGATTTCGACGAAACTAACTGGAAAGTTCCAGAGAGAATTGTCGGCCAAATATTTGATCTTCATAGTAGGGGACACAAAGTCTCATCTCATGGAGGTCTCACCACGGGGCAACTGTATTTGAAGCTACGAGACGAGGTAGGACGCCTTCAGGGGATTCCAGGCCACAAGCGAACATACTAATGTTACCAATAGCAGTCCGAACCGTTCACGGGTATCGATGGAAATGCCAGTACCAGTACCACAGAACAAGGCACAATCCTTGCAAACCGGCGATTGACGTAAGAGAAACCTGGACCGAGTAACGTATTGTCCCAATACTAACAGATTAATAGGTTTATCAGAAATCTCGACAGTTACTCTATGGCTGCGCTGATGCTAACAGCACGCCAAGGACAAAGCGATGGTTTGGGCGAAGCCCTATATCTACACATGGCTTTCAAACCACTCATCATCATCAGTACAACGGTAAGTACTTATCAAAGTATATTCTAAATCCGGCTACTGTACTTACGGTCTGTAGGCAGATATATCGCATACCTTTGAACTTTCTGTTCATCTACCTTTATATTCCTGGCGGAATACATCCAAACCTCCACGAGACTTCCGACTGAAAGCAGATGGATCCCCAGTCAGAGCTGTCATCAAGCTGGGAAACGAGGAAGAACACCTAGATCGGCCAAGATCTAGACAGGGTGACTATCTGTGCGAGGCACATATTTCACTGTTTCTTAAGGTCAAAAGTGACAAGACATGGATAGGCTACTGCTTCCAGGATACATATCATCATCCACACTTTGATGATGCTGCTCTACTCGGAGGTTGGGAAAACAAGCTCAACCTGAACGATTTACATGATGTCTATCCTTTGCAACATGACATCATGGAGTGTTTGCAAATTGAACTTGAGAGAAAGCTAGAAGCTTTTGAAAGTGAATGGGAGACTACAGTCAGCTCTATTGCCCGGAGAGTCGGGGAATATGTAAGATAAAGTTCACAAGGGTCTTTCATAGCTAACCAAGAACTGCACGATAGACCGGCAAGATCGACACCGATGGGGATATTGGAGAAACTTCCCGTTGGCTTACTTCGACTGGGCATATCGTCAAGAAGCTCGCCAACTCTCTTCAAGAGACAATAAATTGCTGGGATCGCTATCCTTATAAGGATCGGTGTGAGAGCCCGGCCGAGAAACGAATCCGTCTCCGCATCAATCGAACGGTTTCACGTTTACGAATCTCACATACAAGGCTCAAAAAACTAGACCCCGAGTGCAACATTTACATTCAACGCGTAAGTCCTTCCAACCTTCTCGTAGAGCTTAAATGATAACTGGAGTAGTTCGTATCAACTATGCAAACCAGAAGCGCAGAACGAACCCAGGCTGCAACGGATCTCTTACTTCATGTTAGTACCTTACCCTATCAGTATCGTAATGTCATTGTTACTAATATCACCACTTCAAGGTAATTTCCCCTATAACTGTGGCTGCAGCTTTACTATCAATACAAGAGAAAGCTATGCCTGGTAGATTCGGTCTTGAGGTGCTGTTATTTACCGTCCCAGCTGCACTTCTTACATTTATCGTCTATCGTTTCTCCCAAGACGGATTCCAAGCACTAAGGAAGCAGTACATAATAAGAAAACAGGGACTTAGCCGAATTCTGTACGGATAGTATTCATAAAGTAGTAGTTGCCTCAAAGTTTCAGTTTCACCTGGAATATACATATGCCTTTTTGAATAGATTCCAGTATAGAAGTGATTTCATCCATGAATAGCTTGTTGGGCAAGGTTCTGAAGTTGCTTTGCTTGATTTAGTCTTCGTTTAGGTCATCGGATCAGTGCTATCCTTTCGCTGTGGCCTTCTCTTCGCCCAAGGTTGATGTTCAAGACAACTTTGTACTTCGCTTTTTTGGCTCTTGCAGCCTGTAGCACCCGGCTTAAATCACCCATCTTGTTCTTGGATGTCTCGAAAAAATAATTTTAAAGTGAGATTGAGCGGGCGTTTGCGAGATTTGTAGTCTCTATCAGCTAAGTAACGTTGTAGGCGAGCCACGGTCAATGTTGGTTCTTCGCGCTTATTTCCAGCTTGCATACAAACGAACGAGTAGCACTGCAGCATTCATGCGCTGGCTCCACTGGGTGTTTCTATTTTTATTACACCACTTTTTACAAAAGTTTCTGTTGATTTGTCTATATCTTGATAAAGAATAGTCTTACATCAATCGCTAGATTTATCGTAAACTATTGTACACAAGCCAAGAGGGAAGAATGTGGGAGAATCGCCAGAAGTAGTTAGTACGAAGCTAGTAATCCTCCGAAGATTACTATGCACAGCCTCACTGGGCTGTTTTCTCTGTCTCTTTATCAATAGGTGTTCACTGAACAAATGTGTCAACTCGATACGGGTTACCCCGCGAAACCTGAAGCAAATATCCCATAATCCACCCTCAATCATTTGAGCTATTTAACAGCTCGAGAACAACGCCAGTCTTTCCAAATGCCGCGTTTCGAATATGCCTCGTTGCGGCCTCTGGATCTTCGGCTTCTGGAACTGCATCCTGGACTAGCGGGAGATGTACTTGCTGGCACCATCACTCACAAGTATTTCTCTGTGGAGGGAGATGAGATACCGCAATTTAAAGCCCTTTCCTACCACTGGGGCGATCAAAGTGACCCAGTCTCTATTTCTCTGTCGACATGCCAATCGCTAGAAGACCCTTCCTCGGATGTGGAATCGGGAAGCCTTGATATCGGGCGCAACCTAGCATTAGTGCTCCAGGCCCTTCGACGTCAGGATAAGAGACGCGTCCTCTGGTGTGATTCTATCTGCATCAATCAGCGAGACCTTCCAGAGCGAGCTGCTCAAGTGCAGTGCATGAAGGATATATACCGCTATGCTAAAAGCGTGGTAGTATGGCTGGGCCCTGAGGCATCCTGGAGCACCATGGCTATGGAGACTGTACGCTGGGCTGGAGAGCAAATTGAATCAGCAACTATGGATTATATCCACGGCAAACACGTTTTCACGTGCAGGGTTACAGCTGACAAACGTATTCTGAAGACTGCTGACCCTCTGCCATTGGGTGGAGCCCAGTGGCTAGCTATTGAAAAACTGGTTGCATTGGACTGGCATAAGCGTCTGTGGACTTTTCAGGAGATTATTTTGGCAAACCAGAAGGCATGCATTGTGAAGCTAGGAAAGGAGGAGATGTCATGGGCCGTCTATAAAGACTCCTTGAGCTTTATACTGTTCGGTAAACCTCTCCCACATGACTGTTTCCTAGATGAAACATCCTTTAGCTTAAATGCAGATATGATGGCAAGTAAAGCTTTGGGTTGCGTGGAAGTTAAGGGTAAGAACAATTGGATCGAGATGATAGGTGTCAGCCGAGAATATGAATGCTCCAACCCACGAGACAGAATTTATGCTCTGCAAGGATTGGTAGCGCCTTATCTCGCCCTGGCAATCACGCCAGACTATACAAAGTCTGCCAAAGATGTCCTCATATCTATCTGCCTTCAACACATCGAAACACAAAAGAATCTCGAATTTCTACATCATTGCAACGCGGCCGCGAGACCGAGCTGGGTTGCTGATTTGGATAGACCTCTCAGCTCGCTAGTCATCGACTGCCATGTCGCGCCATTCTCTACGCCCTCGGCGTATCTAATTGAGCCTGGAGTACTAGAGACAGGGGGGATATCATGCGATGAATTAGACTGCGACCCAATCCTATTACCTCAAAAGGTGATCTCACAGACGGACATTGAGTACCGGCAGCAATTTGTAGACATGGTCAACGCTTTCACCAGCCACAATTCCCATCAAGACGACAATCATCTTGATAGACTAACAATGGCGCTAACCTACGGGGCCGTGAGGGATTATAGTCTGCAGAAGCTTCGAGTCCTCAACGAAATGTCGTTTCATTCTTTACAGGATTGGAGATGGAAGATTCGTCGCTGGTTAAATGGCACGAGCGATGCAGTTGAGGATCTGGAAGATTTCCGGCTGAATGATTGACACTTCATATCATCGGTACCAACAGGGAACACAGCGATAGGCATTGCTAAGACCCAAAACGAGCATTTCGTCCGGGTACCCCCCCCCAAAGCCGCAGGGGTGATATCATAGCCGTGTTGCTCGGGCTACGCTCACCGATAGTTTTGAGACCTCTCTTTAGCTGGATATCTTGTTATAGGGGCCTGCTATAAACCTGGCCTGTCCCGTGGGAATGCCCTTCTTGGAAACGACCTTGATGGTTGGAAGCCAATCTGAGATTCACACTGCTACACAACTGCCTTTTACAAAGAAGGTCAACCTCTTCGGGGGACTGATCCCCGGCTGGACAATGTTACTCTTGAGAATGAATATGCGCAGAACATAGGTTCGAGTGGTTTACCGTGTTGGAGAAAGGTAGGGCCACCCCTTGAAGCGACAGACCCACGTATGTCAGAGGAGGCACTGAAGAAGAGAGGCGTTCCGGTTGAGGGGTTTGGGTTAGTTTAGGATAACCTATGCAACATTTACTTTAGGGCTTTAGGTATCTCGCTTATGGTCTTAACATATGTCACCAAAGTACAAAGTCCACATTCTCTCTCAACCCTTGGCCGCTTGCACATCCTCCACAATCTTCTCAAAGGTTGGTTCACTATCATACTCCTTGGTCCAAATTGTCGAAGCATCCTCAACAAGTTTAACTTTGTACTTGGCAGGTTGAGTGGATGTGGTCATGGTCTCCATGTGCCACTTGCCGCCAGTTGATGACTTGGTGTCGCCGTGAATGCGGCGCCAGGTCCCGGCAGGCGTCCAGTTGCCTGTCATTTTCTTGGGGTCAAGATTGTTGACATAGTCTGAGACCTTCTGCTTTTTACCCTGAAGATCATGTCAGGAACAGTGGAGAAGATTGAGTTTGGGGGACCCTTTTGTTGTAGGGACGACAAGTGACCGTAATTTTAACCTCAGAGAGCCTACGAGATGAACCACTTTCCACATCTTATGCAAGGTTAGGCTAGCACTTAGGCCAATTTATCTTAGTAGCCTGTCCTTCCTAAGATAACTCCTTTGTTCCGCAATAGAGAGAAGAGAGATGGCGACCTACCATGATGAAGATTGAGCTGAGAACTTTCTAAGGTAGATGAACCTTGATTGAAGGATCTTAGTCGCTAGTGTGGTGTGCGTCAGGATCACATTTGAGTAAAACCCGGAATTGTTCTCATTAATAAACCTTCTCCGCGATCATTCACATGTCAAGGCCCGCGGCCTCATATGAAGCAGTGACTGCCGATGACCGTAGATGAAAGATCAGCTTTCAATATTGTATGCAGCTTATGATCTGATGTTATGAATTAACATCATAAGGCGTTTGGCCACCAATAATGTGACAATTATGGCGCAATATTGGCCGCCACATGTATGATGAGGGAGGATGTATGTAACTTGGCTGCGAATCTTTTCTTGACTAAGGTCATGCAGAAGCCTCACTTTTTTTTGATGTCACCCCATCATGTGAGGCGTTTGTTATGACATGTCAGTGTTAGGTAATAGAGAAGATTACTTGTTGGAAGAGCTGTTTGTTCCAAAGTTTAGGGCGTCATTAATGTCTAAGCTAAGCGCCGGTCTGAGTGACTTTATTATTGCGCCGCTTAGGCTCACGACGATTAACTATATTGGCACCTTGACACCTCGTATTAGATGAAAAATGAATGTCAGCGGATCAAACCTCTGGTAAGCCCCACCATCACTTGACCTCGCAAGTTGGTTACACAGCATCGACGTTTCTGGGTTTGTCATGCCTGACATATCAGGCGACAACTCAGAATTAAGCTCCTTGATTGTGCGGCTTGAAAACTGACCTTCAAAAAACTCAGATAGAAGATCCTAGATTTCGGTTTTGTGAGCCCATAACAACCAAACTCAAACAATCAACAAAGACGACTTTCTCCAATGGTGGAACTAAATACGGAGGCGTCTGGTGTCGCCGAAATCATATATCCGACGGGACATAATATCCGCCTGGCTATCAATTCCGTTGACAATGAGAATACGAAACTGCAAGTTGACATTAAGCGACAAACGAGCCCGTGGACATTGTCCTGCAGCATGGTGGTCACGATCGAGGGATCTTCTCCCAGCCTCGAAACAGGTGACGAAGCTTTCTTGAAAATGTTTGATCGGAGAGGTGCGCAACAGATCCGTCAAGACAATGGTATTGATGTATGGAGTGAAGATATCGAGCAAGAATTTGGGAGAAACCTGAGCTCTGGAAAGATCGAAGAGTTTCTGGAAAAGCTACGAACTGTACCAGACTTTCAGGACGAGACAGAGGAGGATTGGGATGCCGCTGAGAATGAGGCTTTTCTCACCGCTGAAATGCGGAAGTGCTTTGATGCGGAAGTTGCGACATATTCTCGTCTGCAGAAGTTTCAGGGGATATTTATTCCTCATCTCTTGGCTGTTGTCGCTCTCGACACCGATCTACCCAATGTGGAACTCAGTCCACAACAGCGAGACATCTATCGACCGAAAGGTGTTCTATTACAATATCTTTCAGGGTTCTCACTAACAACCCTGGCCGACAACGCACCAAAAGAATCATGGCAAGGCATCGTTGATCAAGCCATCCAAATAGTCCACGTACTCGACGATCACGAGATTCTTAACGCCGACGTCCGCCCTGACAACTTCATCATTGTCCCAAAAGACGATAAGTATGATGTCTTCATGATAGACTTTGGACAATGCAGGTTTCGGAGGGAGGATGAATCTGACGAACAGTGGGGAAGGGTCAAGTGGATACAGGATGAAGAAGGTGCTGTGGGCTATGTGATGAGGATGACTTTGAGAAAGGTTGGGTTTGAGCTTCGCTATGAGCCTTCGGAGAGGTACCTGGCCTGGGCTCCTGGGGAGGATGACTAGATGTAAAGGTCATTTTGTTAAGTAGCACTAAAGTCTGTTAACATTAACGACGACTGTTGGCATTACTATGGAGCAATAGTTAACACTAGCGCTATTAGCAGGGCTGACTTGGCGCAAGGCACGGCGGAGTTTCGGGGCATTTGCCACATAGAGAAAATCACAAGGGTGCGGATGGATCCCTGGAAACAATTCCCAATTTGTATTCTCGGACACGTGCGTGCTTCGAAATACGAGAAATCCTATTGCTTACGGCAATGTAATTGCCCGCACTTTGCATGTTGAACACTTCAGACACCCATCCATCGCAGCTCACCATGGCTGATACCTCAACCTCGCTTGCGGTCCTCGGCATTGCTGCCATTGTGACACTATGGTACTTTACATCGTCTACCAAGGGCGAAAAAAAGCTGGCCAGGTTGGCCCTCATCGGTGATCTTCACAGCTCGCCCATTGAGAAGCCTCTACTAAGATGGGACGCCTGGGCCAAAGAAAAAGGCGCCATCGCGACGCCAAAACTCTTTGGAATCTTGCCGATGGTCATTCTAAATACAGCTGATGCATCGACAGAGCTGCTGAGCAGAAGAGGTAAATGGTACAGCAATCGCCCCAGTTCAGTCAGCATGGAGATGATCTCGGGTGCGGGGAAGGGCCAGTCGCGCTTTACCGTGATGCATGATATGGATGCTGTATGATAGCCACGAATGATACTATAGAATCAAAGACTAACTGTGAATAGCATCTAAAGCTTCATCAGCGAATCTTGTCACCATCACTTGGTGTCATCGCTGCACCACGCTATCAGCCGGTCATGGAACTCGAAGCAAAGCAGCTCCTCAGAGATCTTCTTCAGTTATCCGACAGCAAATCCTCAGTTGTTTCCAGCGCAGATATTTACCCTCTCCTCGAGCGTACGCAATCAAGCGTCATTCTTGCTCTCCACTACGGTTTCCGCGTTCCAACTGTTGATGACCCTCTTTTCCACAGAATTATGGAGACGCAGGCTAAAGCTACCCACGTTGCAGCCAACCCTGGTCTCCCCGACATCTTTCCCTTTTTGCGTCACCTCCCAGCATTCATTTCACCCTGGCACAAAGCTGCCGATAAGATATTTCAAGAACAGAAGGAGGTTTACTTATATCTCCTGGAACTTGGTGATAAGAGCCTTGGATGGAATGCTACGAAGCAAGCACGTGCTGCCGCGGCAAAGTACTCCAAAGAACCTGTTCCAGACATCGATCTCGCTTACAATCTTGCAACGAGCGTCCAGGGTGGTATGGAGACCAGCCCCCGGGCTCTCCTCTGGCTCTTCGCTGCTGCCGTGGCTGCCAACAAGGACTTCATCAAGCGCGCCCAGGCCGAATTGGACGCTGTGATAGGACGTGATCGACTACCTCGCTTCTCAGATCGATCTTCGCTGGCTTACATCGACGCCATTGTTGCTGAGCTTATGCGTTGGAGGCCTGTTTCACCTGGAGGTATCCCACGTCGAGCTGATGAACAAGATGACTACCAAGGTATCAAGATTGTGAAGAACGCAACAGTCGTGGCCAACGCATGGTCCATCGGCCGCGATGCAGCAGCTTTTGATCCAACACTCGGTGATCTCGAGGAATTCGTTCCCGAGCGATGGCTCGACGGGGACCAAATGAAGACTTCTCTCCCAATACCTGTGTTTGGTCAAGGTCGAAGGAGCTGTCAGGGAAAGCGGGTGGCCTTGGACGGAGGTTTCGCCAATGTTGCTGCTATGATCTGGGCATTTGACTTTGAAATGATGGAGGAGGTGGACTGTATGGATATGGAAGCCATTTGGGTTATGGTTCAACCGAAACAGTTCACGTTCAAGCTGAAGCCTAGAGGATCGTGGGTGGCGAGTGTGGTTGAGGCTGAATGGGAGAGTGCCGATAAGGACCTTGGTAACATTATGGGTAAGCCAGAGGATCTTGAGGGCTGACGGAATTAATGCGTACATGTAAAGGGTATCATGTACCGATTTGTCCGTTTACACAGTGGTGGATATCCAATATCGATAACATTAGTCAGTCTAATAATGAGAGATCCGTCGGGTTTTGTAACTGTATTGGGTTTAGACCTGCAGGAAGACTGATTGGTGGTCACCAAGTGACCAGTGGGAATAAAACTGCAAAGCCTCTTATTTTACGACACTTATAATCTCACTTCTCGATTCACTTTTCTTTTGCTCTCCTATGTGCTTTTTATCTATTTTATCTTTACATACAAAGCCAAAGTGAAACCAGAGGATTGACAGTGTTTATACTCCTTCGAATTACGACGACGTTCTGAGTGAAATGGAACCCAAATCAAATGACCTAGAGAATGGTCGTTCCTCGTTTTCTCGAGAAAACATTGGAACCGGGGAGAATCCTGTATCCGATGTTGCTTCAATCCCAGCTATAAGAGATGAACCTGTTGACGCGTTCAAGCCTGCGAGTACGCCGCCAGATGGTGGTAGGCAGGCCTGGATGGCTGGTAGGCAAACCGCCCATAATAATATCCTTTCTAGACTAACCGTCGAGCTTCTGATAGTGCTGTCTTGCTTTCTAACCATCATGAATACCTGGTTTGTTGTTCCAAATCACATTGATCTGTTTACCCTGAGCTGACAATTCTGTAAGGGGTGTCATTATCTCCTTCGGCGTTTTCCAAAGCTATTACATCTCGACCCTGCACCGATCACGGTCCGATATCTCCTGGATAGGCTCTATCGCTGTTTTCCTCCTGTTCTTCATGGGCATTATCAGTGGTCGTCTCACAGACGCCGGCTATTTCCACAGTACCACGATTCTTGGGGCGACTCTTGTTGTTTTCGGGACATTCATGACTTCCCTTAGCAGCAGTTATTGGCAGGTCCTCCTCGCCCAAGGAGTATGCACTGGTCTTGGCAATGGGACGCTCCTTACTCCGATGATGACCCTTATCACAACCTACTTTCGAAGACGGCTTCCACTGGTCATGGGAATAGCAGCATGTGGGAGTACGACTGGTGGTCTTATTTACCCTAGTATGGCGAGATCATTGCTTCCAACTATTGGATTTGGGTGGACAATGCGGGCGATCGGCTTTATACAATTGGGGACGTTTGTCGCTGCCTTGGCGTGTGGGAAACCTAGACCAGCGTCTAGACGATCAGCTCCCATTGTGGACTGGTCTGTCTTCCGAGAGGCCGAGTTTACGTTGTACCTTATTGGTGCCTTCCTGGTAAGCCTTTGCCACCTCTGACCCATAGCATGAAGAATGGCTGTCTAACTTTCTTCAGTCCTTCTTAGGTGTTTTCTTCCCGTTCTTCTTTCTCAGCTCCTACGCCCGAGAAAAGCAAGGACTTTCATACACCGACTCATTGAACCTCACACTCGTTCTGAATGGCATCGGCTTCGTAGCAAGACTACTCCCAAGCTTCATAGCTCGGTACGTTGGCACGATGAATGTTTTTACAGCGTTTCTGTTCGCTTCAGCTCTAAGCATGTACACTTGGGTCCCAGTACAAGACACTGCGGGACTTTATGTATGGACCACGTTTTACAGTCTGTCTGTGGGTGGTGTTCAGTCTCTCTTCCTTGCCGTGGTTACCGTTATCAACTCAGATGCGTCCAAGATTGGGGCACGACTGGGCATCATCTCAGCGGCTGTGGGTATTGGAGCTTTACTTGGGTCACCGGTTTCAGGCGTCATTATTTCTGCAGGTGGCGGCTCCTATACTGGGGCTCAAGTCTTTTCAGGTAGCGCTCTGGTTGTTGGAGGCATGTTTGTGTTGGCGTCGCGAGAGGTCAAAAGACGACAGAAACACGCGGACTTCTGGATGAAACTGTAAGTCTATACAGCAAACAGGGTTCCGCAGTCATAGGATTATCATATGTAAGACTGTCAGAGTCCGTCGTCTCTCACTGTGAACATTATTTACGCTTAGGTAGATCATTAGAATAATTATTAAATCCTTCTTTCCATACTTGAATACATTTAGGTTATACTGAATACCATAAAAAGGAAACTTTTATGCTACATGTATTTCTGACTAACATGCCTCGGAACCATGTGCTCATATTCGCGAAGTACATTCCTCCCCTCGGCATCGAGAGAAAGCGACTTGTACGCCGTACCAAGTGGGAATCCTGCTGAGAATCTTCCGTATAGCATGAACTCTTGTCGCATCAAGAAACTCATGCTGTGGAGTATCTTTACGCTCAGTTCATGGCATGACGTACGAATTTGGTCTATAGACACGATAATCTTGAATCCAGACAGTTCAGGAAACCGCAATAGCAGATCTCGGATATTCGTCATGCAAGTAATTTGGAAAGACCACAAATGGGTGAAGGCGTTGGCTATACTCAAACTGGGAAATGACAGAAACTTATCATGACCACCGTCAGCGGGAGCCTCAGTCTGTTGCCAGTACAAAGGTCTTGGTGACTCTGCTTGAAAGGAAGTGGCCCATGACTCGAATCTCATCTTGATCTTCATCAATAGAGTAAGACATTGTTTAGCTGCTATTGCTGCCGCTTCTGTAGGTTCTTCTTTTAAAACATCAATCTTCTCCAAGACCGAGGGTATTGATGCGGCTATGGTAAAAAGGTCTTGCAGTGGGGATGGCTGGTGGTGTTGAAAGGGGCCTGTGGCCCACTCTTCTTCTGCCAAGAACGTAGCCTTACGAGAAACGAAGGCTTCTATTATCTGGTAAATAGGTCAACAAGGGTACGCGATACGAATGAGCTTTTTTACCAAAGTAACTTACCAGCAGTGGTCTTATTCCAATAAAGAACGTGTGCTGAACGCCTGTGCTGAACGAGTCTGGCGAAGAGACTCGAATTAATTCACCCAAACCATGAATATGAACAAGCCAGCTATTGGGGCTCGTCGGTGTGGATACCTATTCATCAAACCGTAGATGATCAATATATGGTCGGTTAAGAAAATCTCATCCCAAGTTCTATTCTTACCTCTAGTAGCGCAATGCACATCACAGCCGCTGTCTGCTCTGCCCTGTAAGATCCTCCTGACAAACGCAGATTGGTTTGCAACAACTGTAAAGCATGTCCGTACGACATTGAGATGGGTCGGGTCAACTGTTCTCCAGTCATATATGAGGTGATGGATAAGGCCAATGCATTCATAGCAGAGGTAAGGCATTCCCCCAGTCTCCCGCTGGACCCAGCAGCTAATTCGGGGAGCGCGGTGACCCAAGAGCCACAGATTCGTGGTGACTGCGGAACTATGTCTGTGATGTCGGCAGAGACCTCCCTGTAAGGAACGTAGTTGCGGATAATTAACGATATTGTTTTCTCCCAGGGGTCTACAAGACATGGGTAGATGGGAGTCGCATCAGAGATGTCGGTCTCGCGACTGCTGGGACTGGTCAAGGATGATGTGCTTGTATATGGTTCAATATGATGAGGAACCCGCTCCAGTGCAGATATTGTCTTTGCCTGCTGTGAGCCTGGCATTGAGTGCCCTTGCACGAAGAGTGCATTGGGGTAGCTACAAGAGCGACCGCTCTTGAGACACTGGGAGCAGGCAGGTTGCTCTCCATCACACTAATTTTGGCCACTCAAGTTAGCAATAAGCCTGGAAACAATGATATGCTATGCGCCACTGGGAATTGTGCATGGAGAGGAGACAACTAACCCGTATTTTCCGTTTTCGACATGTATCACATAGACTTTTCTTGCGGACCTTCATCGTCGGCAAATGACGGCAGACTAGGAAAACGCTTGGCCGAGGCCCACGTATCTTACTCTGCTGGAGAGTGAGAAAAGACAAGCCTAAAAGGGTAACAAAACCCTTGAACTTATGAACTCGGTAGATGACAGAAGTGAGTGTTTGTCATCTGATGGAATTTGTGGGACGCCATATGCCTCGGGTTTTGCCGCCGTTTTCGGCTTAGTGCCTCTCGTCATTACTTCAGAGCTACCATTCGTCAGATTTATAATCACAGTGATTGGGAACAATATTCTGTTTGGTTACCGATATGGCGAAGAGCGCTAGCAAAGTTGCCAAGCAATCTAGATTTTTGTAGAGCCAAACGGCAGTACTGTCAGAATAATGCAAGTTGTAGTCTGTTTCTGTCTTAGTGATTGGATGTATCTGCGATGAGGCGGAAACCAGCGCGCATCCATGATACTAACGTTAAGTCAAGGTACTCGGACTCATCAAGTCTTGCGGTATAAAGAGAGCTCATTGATTCCATCTTCTAGGGCGATCTATTTCTTTAACACCATCTCTAGTTACAACTTTTGTGATTACATCTACCATCAATCATGGCTACTTCTACCTTCAAAAATAAAGTGAGCATCACTCATATCGGGACTGCAACAGCAATTCTCGACATCGACGGCGTTACCTTTCTCACCGACCCCTTCTTCTCTCCTGCGGGCACAGAATGGCCTACTCAATACGGACAAGCTCCACTCAAGGTCCATGACGACCCAGCAGTCAAGATGAACGAGCTGCCCCATATCGACGCCGTTCTTCTTAGTCACGAGAACCATCCCGACAATCTTGATGAACTTGGTCGTCAACTTCTCGATGGCCGTCACGTTGTTACTACCAAGGATGGCGCACGAAACCTCGCTCCACGCCCTAGCGTCCATGGCTTCGCAGACTGGGAAGAGAAGGAGCTTCGCATTGCAGGAAAGCTTTTTCACATAACCGCCACCCCCTGCAAGCACTGGCCAGGACACGAATGTGTTGGGTTTATCGTCCATACTGAAGATTTTGGTGTTGCTTCTGACGGTCGTCCAAACGCCATCTACTTCACAGGGGATACTGTGTACATTGAGGAGCTGGGCAAAATGTCTGACAAGTACCACATCGCTGTGGCTCTTATGAATCTTGGCAAGGCTTCATTTCCTGGAATCAACAGCGAGGGAAAACCAGGCAACCCTGATGACGTTCTTCAGATCACCATGGATGGTCACCAAGCGGCTCGTCTGTTTCGCGAGATCAAGGCTGATGTATTGGTACCTATGCACTATGAATCGTGGGATCATTTCACTCAGCATCAGGAGGGACTGGAGCAAGAGTTCAAGGATGAAGGTGTTCTATCTAGTGTTCGCTGGCTTAAGCCTGGCAAAGCTGTGGTTATCAACCAAGTTGGTACATATTAAGGGCATGTATTTGAACAGTGTTAGAGTGTAGGAATTCTTCTTGGACGATTAGTCTATGACTTAGCTAGGAATTGCAAAGACTTGAGAAGTTATTAGATCTGCCAAATGACGCGCTCCTAACCATTTCATCATGGTGCTCAAGTGCCATGTAGGCTTTCACACTTCCATTGTTTGTTTGATACAGATGCAGATGCCTGCGCCTCGGCTGAGCCCCATGGCTGTGCACAACCAATCAAAGAGGTTGAAAATAACAGTGACCCCAACCAACATCATAAATAGGTAGGTTGCTTACCCCCCGAATCTCAACATTTCATACATCTTGCGTCAAGACAATATGCGTTTGATCAATACTACGACCCTTGAGGTCGAGGAATTCTTTGATGTCTCAATTCCCGAATATGCCATACTATCGCATACCTGGGGCGACGGCGAAGTCTCACTTCAAGATTGGGCCGATCGAAAGAACCGCCGCTTCAAGCCGGGCTTCCAGAAGATCATTTGGGCTTGCACTCAGGCTGTCAAAGATCAACTTGGTTACGTATGGGTAGATACTAACTGCATCGACAAAAGCAGCTCAGCAGAGCTTTCCGAAGCTATCAATTCCATGTTCAAGTGGTATCGCAGATCTGCTGTTTGCTACGTATACCTAGAAGACGTCCCCGCATTGACCTTCGATGAATGCACTATGCCAAATAGTGCCTTTAGACATGCGAGATGGTTTACAAGAGGTTGGACGCTTCAGGAACTTATCGCACCGCCAAATGCTGTTTTCTTCTCCAGCGATTGGACAATGATAGCTACCAAGTTCAAATTGGCGCCTTGTATCACCGAGATTTCAGGAATACCATGGTCTTGTCTCCTCAGAGGCAGACTCTCGAAGTCCCATCCACTGCGGAGATACAGCGTCTCCCAGAGGATGTCATGGGCCTCAGGACGTTCAACAACTCGCATAGAGGATCAAGCCTACTCTTTACTCGGCCTTTTTGACATCTCTATGCCGTTGGTGTACGGCGAAGGTTATGAGGCGTTCACGCGATTACTCGGGCAAATCATCCAAAAGTACGCGGATCAAAGCTTCTTTGCTTCCCTGTTACATTATGCCGACTTTCTTCCTCGCTCGCCCGTGGAGTTCTGTCACTCGCAGACGGTGGTTATTAGCACTTCGCCTCAACCTCAGAGGCACTATCAACCTCCTGACCATTCATATCCATTTAACATGACTAACACCGGGTTGCAAATCACCGTACCTATAGTGCCAACTTTGGTCCCTCACTTCGTCTTCGGTGTGCTTGACTGCTGGGACATCGAAACTGCTAGCACTCGGACGGCACGCAATATCTCACGAATATGGATACCATTACTCCGAAAGGACACTGGTGAAGTACAGCAGTATAACCGTTTGATATGGCCTCGCACTTTCTTGCCAGTGAAGATGCCTCAGGAAGCCAGCATACTGGGTGTTGCTGATGAAGACCGATACGAGGCAACACCTTCCGTTGCATCAGGAAACTATCACGTTTTGACGGAAACCTACACAAAGTCATCTAAAGCCCCTCATCAACGCCACATTGAACTGGTATCAGCACACTTGCAGAAGAACATCCTTATCAAAAAGCCATACGCGACAATGTTATCTATCCCAAAGTGGCCGCACTGTGAGGCTGAGAGCCCTTTCTTACTTTGCTTTCCTCGTGGAACTGCAGACTACCGTCTCTATGGAATATTTCCACGGGAGTTTCCAATTGACCATGTATGGTTAGGAGAACGACCGCCTCGACTGCCGCTGGTCATGCCACGGCCAATAAAGGGCATCGACGAGGGGGTACATGCTAACACAATCTACCGTGTGACAGTCGTCTTCAAGCAACGGAGGTCACGACCCGGAAGGTTCGTCGCCATTTGCCTAACCAATTCTGTCGCGGTAGGTCCTGGGAGGGTCATGCCTAGCTGTAAGATCATCCGCGACTGGTCGCCGTCAAGAGATCAAGAGATTGATGGCATGAATCTGATTGGCTTCAGAGAAGTTGATACGGCAGGCAACACCTTAGTTATGGTGCAGAAGGTCACATGTGATCTCAGGTCAACGTCGGAGGGATACGAGCCACGCTTCATAGGACTGACCCAAGTAGTATTCGATAGATTGAAGTTGATAGATGAACTGTATCCAGTTCCAGAGGAGACTTGGAAAGCATCGAGAGGTATTCTGGACAGCTATGGCCAAGAGTCTTCAGACGAAGACTAACGGCTATGCTGGGAAGCTTCGAGAAAGTCAATGAAGCTTATTCAGACAGTAGATCTCCATGCAAAGTATAGCACATGGAACAGAAGTCTAGTGCAGAGACTACATAAGACGAGTTGCGTTTCACCCCGAGTACAGAATTTAGCAAGGTTCACGTAGTCTCCCACGTGGTTCTAAACAGCGACAGTGCTGTACGCGCGTTACTCGTAGTCATTCCAGTATCGCGTTGTTTTATTTGTGTACTAGTAGGACTTGCTCCCTAAAAGAAGTTGAGCTTGTAATCTTTTCAGTAGCTGCGCTACAATTTAGTGGTAGCATATGCGTCGATGCCCTCGGTTATACCTTTACACAAATGCAACTTAGAAACAAACAACCCCGATGCGTTCGTAGATTGCCACACCGCGAACGAGAAAGATAGGTCCCTGTCTACTGGGCTTCGCTGTCACTAATTCAATAGCCAGAGGGGCTATGATTCTTGTCCAAAGTTTTCACGTCAATTACTCTCATAATGATGTAACACATTTGAAGGATTCTGGCCTGGTAGTTGTACAAAGTTGATATTAGCTATATTTGACGTCATTGCGTCATGTCTGCCCTTCCAAACTATCGGTGTCCTTGCATTGTATTGCCCAACAAAATAGCTTCCTTCCCAGTCATGACATTGCCGACCACGCGATTAGTCGTTGTATTGCTGAGGCTACTTGAGAGAAAAGCCTAGTCTAAATCGTCTTCAACATCTTCCAACGGTCCGTCATATTCCACCAGGGCTCTACCTGATCATCACAAGCCTCGCCATTTACCTTCGCCAATGCTCGTTGAGTGGCGACCCATGACGCCTGCTCACAATCCAGACCAAACTCCTTGCACTTGGCAATAAGGCGATAAACCCAAAGTTGGCAGTATTCATTCTGCTCGCACAACAGTCTCTTGTGCACCTTATCAACCTCTTTGGAAGCCTTTCGTTCTCTCTCCAGAATGTCCCAAATGAATTGGATGGCGGTATCTAATCTGACTCGCACGGCCATCGGTTCGACGCCATCCTGGTAATCTGCACGATTAACATCAAGAGCAAGTCCAGAATCCAAAAGCGAAAGAAAGCTGATTGGTGATGATAACGTCTCCTCGTCACCTGTTCTGACTAGCAGGACGGAGTACTGAGATATCTCGTGAACACAGCGGCGTTGACGCCAGGCGAAGTATTCTTCATTTTCGCGCCGGACAGGACGGGAAATGACGTCTGGGATTGTTTGGTTGTCGAGCACCATACATAATGCACGAAACAACGGGCGCATCAGGTAACCGTGTTGTCGAAAAGTTTGTATCTTGGGACTTGGTAGTGGTCGCCAATGTGCCACTTCTTCTAGTATGGAAGGACACATCTTGAACTGCAAACGGGTGTCCAACTCGGCTGCAAGCTTCGCGGAGAGCTGTCCATGATAATACGACAAGTGCTTTATCCCGTTCCCACCAAATCGCATCGGCTTTGCGAAGAACCCTCCACGCTGGAATAGTGGTCGGCCCTGGTGTTGTTTCAGCCAAGCGCGATAGAGATACTGGCCAAACTTTCCATAGCGGCGTTTGTCAAACTTCGTCGTTTTGGAAGCCCCTTCGTCAAAGTATATCATGAATTCTTTGTTGAAGAAGTCGAGGATGGCTTCTGGTTCGAAATCTAGGCTCCCAGTAGCCTGCTCTACCGATGTAAAGTTCTGCCAGTCTGAAGTATACCGATCGAGGGTACAAAGCCCCCGTGCTGCTTTCTCAAAGAATATGGTTTCCATTACCTTACAGATCACATCCTTTGTTCCTTGTGGCAGGGAGATCCAGGACGGTTTCTTGGTTTTCGTGTACGTCGGGTCGAGACTTGGCCCAAGTATGTCTTTGATTGGTCGCCCGGCGTTATCGGGTGGTGGTATTTGTAGGAGGCAGTATGGGGCTTGAAGTTGGATATCCTGGGGCCAAGTATAAGTGATAGATTTCACTCGGTCCATTGGGGGTGATGTAGACGGCTCCATTTTTGGAATCAACTTGAGAGGCGCAATAAGGAAGATATTTGTGTCGTGTACTGTTGTTACGTTGAGGGTTGGTTGGTGTTTATGTTGAAAGGAGGAAGAAAGTCAGAGCAGAGGGGACCAAGTGAAACATTTTATATGTTTTAGGAAACCTTATTATATTGCAGCTCAAAAGAAGGTTCGTGTAAGCTTTTGAGTATCCGCTCTTGGAATGTCAAGCTTTGGTGCAGGCAACCTTCACTCAGACCAACTACCACAGTTCGCGACCACTAGGAACCATCGATCATTGCCGTGAGCTATTTGGCTTTGGAACATGCAAACTTTACCATTTATCCTGACATCCTACCTATCAAACGATAACTTCCCCTGTTAAAAGCGAAAGTAAACAGCACGACGTCTCCTTCCCATTGAACTGTATGACTTGATGACTGACCTTCAGAAACCTTGAATAGATTCTTGTGTTAATTCAGTTTATACATTGGAGACTTATACCTCAGAAAAAACTCAAAAATAGAGAAAAGCAAGACTTAGCTAAGGGTATCATAAAAGTTAGGATAGTTTGCTCTAAGCTTAGCACCTAAGTAAGTCTAAATTATTCTGTCAATAGACTTCTGTATTATGATTATTTTTCGGACCGTCTAGGTGTATTTCTCGATCGAGCGCGGGGTATAGTTCTACAATGTGTTACTTCTCAAGTTACGAGATTGAGGATTGAAATGCCTGTGAGCCAAACTCTTGTGGAGCAATCATCTGAGGTCTAAGCACAAGTGGGCAAAAGGATTCCCGTCAAGGTTCCTGGTGTGGGGCTCCAGACGGAGACAGATCTACCAGTTGGTTGAGGCCATAACATTGGTTGATGAACCTGATAATAAGGTTTCCATCTTGAGTTACAATTTTCCAGCACTATGACTCCCATGCTCACACGGGACCTTTTTTCCCCCTGACCTTGCCCAATAATAGGTTTCGGCTGGGCATAGGTTGATGAACGATACTCCGGGGTCAAACCAACGAATAGGAATTGATCAAAGCCGAAGCTGTTTCTGCTCGCAAGCTCGTCCCAGCTTTGACCTTTTTCCAGTCGGAACAAGTCTCAATGACAGGACAAGGAGTTGCCCGGGAGGTGGAGACTAGCCGCCTCTACCCTAGATCATGGCCGGGACACGAGCTGTATTTTCCGTCAACCACGATCTTGGGTCTTAATACACCGAAGGGAAGCTGACAAATTTTGCCTCAGTGGCTGAGAAAGTCCTGCATAGGTGTATTCTTTGCTTCTTTTACCATTCCATAAATTGCAGTCGGAGAGTAGAAGCAGCGTACTGTACGGGTGGCATGATTGAAAACGCGCTATTTCTTGAACCGACGTCCTCTTAAGATCAAACATACGTGACCTGAACGATATGTGCAGCTCTTCAAGATCGGGATGTAGACATTGTCGTTGCTATCAACAGTTAGAGGTGGTGTCGTCTACATGACCTGACGTAACTCAATAAACTGACATCAAAAACAGCTGGGTACTGTGGTCTAGTTGGTCATGACATCTCGTTAACACCGAGAAGGTCCCCGGTTCGAGCCCGGGCAGAACCTCACTTTTTGCTGCCCAGACCATTTAATTGGCCATCTTTGAAATCTCTTAACTGTGTAACGTGGTTTGATATATCAACTGTTCGGATGTCTTCTTTACAAACCGACATAAACGACTTCATATTTAAAGCAACCTGGCTTGAACATTTGGGCTGGGCTATTTGATGTCTTCTGTACCGAGCCCGTTACTATAATTGAATTCAAATCCCCTCAAATAGCGATTGATAACCCCAGGGAGTGAGTTAAGATTGCAGCGAACCTGATGAGGCTGCGAATTACCACATCAAATCTGGGTCTCAAGGCTACAAAAAGTTCACGACAGGCTGTCCAACCACCACACAATCTTTTAGAAGAGAGCCAGTCCATCTTCAGCATTACACTCTCGTTCAAACCAGGGTTGGGCACAGCCTCTTAATACTATCAGATTCCCTACACCTTAAACGATAAGGGTTCCCGACCCGCAGGGTGTTAGAAGAATTGACCGTCAAAAGCATAAGAGATGAAATAATATGATCATCTTATGCCAGCTTAGACCAGCATTTAGGTAACTTCATCTCTGTAGCCTAAGTCTTAGAGGATATTTCTTCTGTTACCCACCGAGCTAACTTCCCATAATCTTCACTGTATCGACCACAGCCACCGTCAAGGGTACGTTGGGATATTCCAAGCCCGGGGCCGGGTTAAAATTGCAGTGAAGAAATTGCGTTGAGTCGAGCGCCGTGAAATCGTATTACTGGTAGAGACTAAGTCACTGTTGAAGGCTCCTCGATTGGTCACTCTGAATTAACAACAACAGAGAATAAGCTCTCTTCCCAGCCACTTACAAACACAGAAGGCCCGCATAAGAGGATGGGTAGCATTCACCTGTTTATACCCAATGTCATGAGCCTTACGGTATTGCTGGTTAGGCACCAGCTCATGTGGCATCTTCATCATGTGAGGGGGCTTGAGGGGGGTTAAAATTGCAGTGAAGCATTTGGGTACTGAGAAAGACAGCCTAGCGGCGACTGTGTCGGGCATCAACGTCTCCTCTCACAGTTCCCACATCTATCTTAGTCCTAGATATACAGATCTGTAGAGCATTCCCCCAAAGGCATACTTCACAACATCGCATTCTTAATTACACCATTGAGCATTTCGCCCACACCAACGGGGATAGCCAATACCTTCGTACAAAATTTACGCAGCAATGCCGTTCTCAGGCAATTGTAATACCAACGAATGCGCCTGATCCATCGTACAATTTCGTCCTGTTTCCGCCGTCCATGTCAAGCTGATACACTGAACCTCCCAGATCGGTCGCAAAGATGCGCCCATTCTTAGAGTCCAACTTAATTCCAATTGCCTCGTGCAATCCCCGAGACAGCACATCGTAGTCCTTGCCAATGACACTGGGACCCTCACATGCACTTCGGCCATCCAAACTAGCGCGGTTAATGGTGTTGCCATCCGGAAGCTCACCCCGATCTGTCCAGTAGAGCATGTTCGTAGCGTCGTCGACTTCAAGATCGATAGGCTCTGGGAGATCCTTGAACAGAACTTCGATGTCAGTTCTGTTGAGAACATTCTCTCCGGGAAGGAAGTCGATGTTTGCGCGGAAGATGCGGCCTTTTCCGCCCTTGGAAAATCCCTTCTGTGTCCAGTAAAACTTGCCAGTTGATGGCGAGACAGTGATACCGACACACCATCGAGTCTGGTCTGACTTGTGCTGCTCATCTCGCCAATCACCGGTTTGGATCAAGGTTTCGAGAGCTGAACCATCAAAGTTACAACGCATTACCCTCATTCCTTCGCGATCAGAGAAGTAAACCTTCGAGTTCTCGTTGTCAACTGTCAACTGCTTCGGCGTATGAACTGAACCTTGAGGAACGATTTCCTTGAGGTCCGATCCATCCAAGTTGCAGCTGTATACAGCTCCGTCGTTCTTGGAGAGCTTGCCCATGGTTGTGTAGAATAATTTGTTGGTTGAGGTGGAGATGTCGATACCGTCGGGCATACGTTGGCCTGAGATCAGTGTCTTCAGTGGCTTCCTGTCAGAAGAACCAACTAAGACGCGACCAGCTGTTAGACACGTAGCCTCATCACCAGCTGCCAGGCCAACATCCAAGAAGTAAAGCTGGGTCTCGTCTGACTTGGCTTTCTTCGCTGGTAACAAACCGCCCTTATCGCACTTGGCACCAAGCTTGCCCTCATCGATATACTTCTGAAGAAACTCAACAGGAGTATTAGGCAAGCCGCGCTCAGCAATGTAATGCTGCTCGATGAAAGACACAGTGTCAAGACCGACAGCATCCATCATAGCGACAGGTCCCTTCTCCTTAGCATACCACATCTCCTTAAAGAGTCTATCGATCTCCTCAGGTGTGGAAACGTCTTCGGCGAGAATGTTGAGGACTTCTCGCTTGATGGCAGCCCAGAGACGGTTGTAGATGAAACCAGTTGACTCCTTTCGCGCGACGTAGGGATGGAACTTGATACCTTCCAGCTTCTCGTACAGGAAGGGAAAGATGTTCTCAGCGGTCTCACCATCGGTCATGAGTTCGACCACACGGTAGTCGGGGGGCATATAATAATGCATGTTCAGCACGCGTCGCTTCGTCTCTGGCTTGAGATCTTCAACCATTTCTCTAGACTTATACGACGACGAGTTACTGCAAAGAATAGTGTCCTTTGATGTAAGGCGCTCGAGGTCGGCGAATGTTGAGATCTTGATGGGGAGTTTCTCGGGTACAGCTTCGATGACGAGCCAAGCTTTGGAAACAGCATCGGCAAGGTCGTCGACAGCTCGTACAAATCCTCTGACTGATGAGTCTGAGTATTCTGACATGCTGGTATTGCAGTATTCTACAGCCGCTGCTCGCTGTTCAGGGCTTGGGTCGCGGATGACAACGTCGTATCCGCTTGCTGCCCAGCCGCAGGCAATGCGGCGTCCGAGAACACCACCACCGAGAACGGTGACGGTTCGACCGTCAGTTGAAGGTAATGTGAATGAATCCATGATTATGGCTTAAGTATGTTGTATTCGAGAGACTGAGTGATAGAATATGAGAAAGATTGGTAACAATGGCAGGAAACGTATTATGGAGTCTACTCTCGACATCTTATACCAAGTTCCATTATGGCGGTCTTGCTATCGGGATCGCTCCGATCACTATTAGTCTAGCCGATCCGTCGTTCCGGTACATGGACTCGGAGGTCACGGCATGGTGACGGTGGTCAATGCGGAAGGGAAACGCGCGGAATTGGAGAATGAGGCTCAACCAAAAGTCGGAGTCACAAAGTCGCGATACCGACACTAGCTTAAGCATACGCGCAATTCATGCAATTTTTACAATGGTTCAGTTCTCCATTATGACGAAAATCGGTGTCAATTCAGACACTAATGCCGTCGTGTTTCTGGCATAAATCAGATCCACAAGAGGCGATGGATCATCTCCACCACTCGCCCTCGGTACTTGGTGGAAAAGTGGGTCTGCCATGGCTTTAGAATCTTCGAAGAATAGCATGTTTCCCACTTCAAAATGCTTAGCAGTCTGTTTCATCCTTTCTGCTCTCCACAGATCGCCATTCTCTTCCCAACTTTATTCACTGCTATTCCTTACCACCCAGCCTGGTAAATACCCCAATATCTCAGATCACCACGTAAGGTCTTGCAGATAGGTAAGCGACAAAAAAATTACTTTCTAATTACGAGGTTACCATAATAAAGTAGCTTCAGTGTTTATCTAAGTAAACATAAAGTAAACATAAAGTAATCGAATTATTTCATCTCTTATGCTTTTGGGGGCCAATTCTTCTAATACCATGAGGGTAGGCTACAATTACATCCAGTACTTAACTTTATGATTCTTCTGACCAGCTAGTCAACAGCCAATCTCCTGTCACAGAGCGACAGTATTGAAGGCTGTCATGCACGAGGTAGTGATAGAATGTCCTCATGGTCACACAATCTTAACATAACAATTACAACGAAGAGAGAATAGCGTAAATCATGCCTTAACCTGAATTACTAGAATGAAGCCAACGAGAAATATTTTGTAAGCCAAACCATCATATACAGAAATGCTCCTCTACTCTAAAATACAAAAATTTGATCCGACATCTTCGCTGAAGCCCCAGGCTGTTCAAAGCCCAACCCAACAAGCGCCTTCTTAGACGCATTTACCATCCCAGGCGGCCCACACAGCATCACCTTGGAATCTATCGTAGGCGCAGGCAACTTCTCCTTCATCAACTCCGGTGTGACATATCCCGAACCAAACTTCCAATCCTTAGGAGGCTGATCCAGCGTGTAATACACCTTGAAGTTCTTGGGATAGCGTCTAGCGAATCTATCCAGTTCTTCCCGCAGAAGAATGTCTTGTTCACTGCGGTTTGCGTAGATGAGAGAGACTTCTGTTGTATCGCGATCGTGCTCGCAGATAGCACGGATAACTTGGAACATCGGTGTGATACCAGTGCCACCAGCGATCATACCGATCTTTTTGCAAAGGTTAGGCTGGTACTTCATTGCGCCCTTGGGACCGCGGAAGAGGACCTCATCGCCGACTTCAAGGTGGGCCAGATAGTTGTTTGTCAACTTGCCATCGGGATAAACCTTGATAACCAGTTCAAGAATACCGAGGTCTGAGTTGTTGGACACAGGTGTATATGAACGAGCAACAGTTTCTCCACGTATGTCAGCCTTGATTGTGACGTGCTGTCCGATTGGCAGGCCGAGGATTGTGCTTGTTGTCGGCAGGTTGAAGGTAAGGCGGAAGACGTTGGGTGTAATCTGAGTCTTCTTTATCAGAGGAAGAGGAGAATAGGTTACTGGATCCAACAATCCTCGTTGCAACAAGGTGTCTTGCTGTGTTCGCTTAGGAACCTTCATGTGAGCAGGATAACTGGTGAAAGGCTTGCTCTCCATAGCCAACGTGGTAAAGCGCTGAGCAAGAACAGCATTCGTGATCGCAAGAGAGCCACCTCCAACGATGATTCCCTTGATAAAGCTTGATCCTGCAGAGTCATTTCTGAACGACGCAAGGATCCAATTAGGGACGGTGAAATTTTGTTGGCGGCCAAAGTAGTAGGCTCCTGCACCAGCAGCAAGAACAAAAGTCAAGTTTGCCAATTTTGACAATGACGATGATCCGCTAGCGACGGCCTTTGGTACAGCGACGGGAGCGAGAGGCTTGAGCTTGGGCTTCTTCTTCTCAAAACCCTTGATTTTGCCGACGAGAAGATCTTCCATGATTTGAAAGGCATCTTCTGAGTGGCCTGCGTTGTCGAAATCTTCACTGGCGTCGATGCCAGCTGCTTCTGTCAAGACATCTGCACCACCAGGGTGATCTCTGATGTATCGAGTTACATCATAAACTGACATGCCATTAGTTATGCTGTTACCGTGTAAAGGAAGAGGAATGGGTTACCGTTGCCGTGAATGATGATCCATGAATCGTCAGGCGTGTTATGCTCAGCTACTTGCTTGACGGTGTATTCCTCCATAGTGATTGAGATAGAGGGGATATCGGTGGGCATTAGGATAAAAACGAATACAAGTTTGTAACAACTATAACGACTGATGAAGTCAAAAAAACCGGCAACGCGAGTTTAAAATACGCTTTTAATACGTCCACGATTTACCCCCAATAGCCGCTCAGAAAATCGAAACATTGCCGTCTCGAATCAAGGGATTGTGCTGTTTATCGAGGCTGACGAAAACAAAGCTTTCAGGGGTTCATCGCCTCCACTGCGGGCCGGATCCAAGCTCCGTAGATGAAGCCGAAGCGCGAGCCCCGTTATGGACCCTACATGAGCCGAGGCCGGACTCGACTTCGGACTCCACTCCGATCAGAATGACGTGGCTGAAAATCAATGAATGCTGGTCTGTTCCGCAGTCACGTACCAAAATATGATCTTTGCTCTTTATGCAATTCCGCTCAAGAGCCGCGAGTGCCGCAAGTGCCGGCTCATCCCGATGAATGTCCAATGGGAAGAGAGATATTGATCAGGCCCAGATTTTCGAAAAGGCGGGAATAGAAAGAGATTGACGGATGTAACCATAAAATTTACATGAGACTTGGTCCAAACGTCATTCTTAGCGTTGATGCACATGCCTTGCATACTCCATAATATTTTCTTATCATGCAGGTTGCATGGGGTTTTCGCGGCGAGATGTTGAGGCGAGACTCCTTACTCATGCTCCAGTATTTCTGCAAGCTTGAGGTTCTCTTTATAATTGACGACCGACTCTTGGCCTGTTGCTTGTTATAATTTTGATTCAGAACTTACTGTACACAAAGTGTTTCATCATGTCAACGAAACAATTCCATCTCTTAGGCGAAGCTGCCTCTACAGCTCGAGAAATCGAGCTACCACCCAATGTAGACTTTGAAGAGCTACAGGGCATCGTCGCATCACACTTTGCAATCGTCAAGCCAAGCGGTAAGCTCCAAGTCGGCATTTCCCAAGACTCACCTGCCTAACAGTTTTAGGCGTCGGTTTCGTTCACGATGACCGTAAGCTCAACGCTGTCTCCGAAGTCCTTGAGACGGACGAACCCATCGCAGTCTCTATCAACGGTAACGCCGTCCGAGAAGTCCCCGGCCCAGGAGGCATCCCATACTTTGGCAACTATCTCGAAATCTACCCCGACCATCTCGGCAACCATCAACGACTCTTTGAGAAGTACGGACCGCTTTTTACAACAAACAGCATGGGCAACCGTCTGTACCAAACCAACAGCGCTGAATTATCCAACATCTTCCTTGCTGAAGACCACTACTTCACCAAGGACATTGTTCCTGGCCATCCTCTTCACCCTATCAAGAATCAAGAAGCAGGCGTCTTTTTGGCCGATACGGATACAGAACAGTGGAGACTTGCGCATAAGTTCCTTCCACCTGCGCTGGGACCGAAGGCTGTGAGGCATTATGCGCCTACCATGCAGCGCACAGTTGAGTCGTCGTTCAAGGTCTTTGACGAGCTTGACCAGAAGGGCGAAGCTTGGAACGTTTACCAGTATATGCTGAAGCTTGGATCTCAAGCTGTAGGCAAGCTCGTGTTAGGTATGGACTTTGCCCACTTTGAGGAAGTTGACGCCCCTCTGCATGAGATGGTTCTCAAGATTGCGGAGAACTTGGAACTGAATAAGCGTGTGTCTTCTATGGGTGCTTGGTATGCCAAGATGCCTTTTGGCGATCCTAAGAAGGTGAGGGATACTATGGCTAGAATCATGGAGATGATGGATGAGTCCATTGCAAGAGCTTCGAAGGGTCAAGAGGATCTGGAGCTTCAGGATGCGGCTCTCAAGGCTGACAATGTTGTTGGTAAGTCAGTCGACAAGCTATTATTTGGACACATGCTAACCTTGAACAGACTACTTCCTCCGAGCTACGGATAACAAGGGTAACAAGCTCCCACCTTCACAGTTCGCCCCCGCGCTCCTAGTCGCCACAGCCGCCGGCTTCACGACCACATCCTCTCTGTTGTCATGGTTGATCTACAGTCTTGTCAAGTACCCAGGAAACCAGGACCGTCTTCTCCAAGAACTGATCGACAACGACTGGGATGAAGATACGCAAGTCACAGCCGACACCACAGCGAAACTGACCTTCCTCGACAAATTCATCAAGGAAACACAACGTCTTCACAACCCGTCTTTCCAGCCCGGCCGCACAGCAAAGGTAGATATGATCCTACCGGGCGGCTACCGTCTTCCCAAGGGTGCGGTTGTTATCTCAGCACTACACCACATGCACAATAACAAGGACGTGTGGGAGAATCCCGGCCGTTTCGATCCTGATCGTTGGGATACAGAACAGGTCAAGAATAGACCTCCTGGGTCATACATTCCTTTCGCGACGGGACCAAGAATGTGCGTCGGATTCAACTTTGCGTTGCAGGAGATCAAGGTCTTCTTGCCAAAGCTTGTTTATCGGTATAAGTTCAGTTTGGCGCAAGATGGCCCGATTGAGTACGACCCGTACTTTCAGCTTATTCGGCCGAATAACTTGTATATTCAGGCTGAGAAGAGAGTGAAGTGGCCGCCCAAGTCGGAGTAGATACATAATACTAGGGAGTGAACGGTAGATAATGCAACATATGATTTGAGCTGGTCTGTTAGGTCTATACAAGTTGCAGTGATTCATGCTGGTCCTAATTCAGTTAACCCCCCTGTACCACACTTGACTATTATTGCAATGTCTTCAAATCAAGAGTCAAGCTCGGTGTGCCTTCAAAGCCGGTGGGCATAGTGTAGGTAAAGTTCCACAACTCAAAGTCCCTCACAGTCTGCGAAGCTCCACCATAGGCACCACCAAAGCTCAACTCAAAGTTGGGATCAACGTTGCCAGAGACGTTAACGCGCAAGTTTGGCAAATCGTCCCAACTCTTAATAGTAGGCTTTTCAATAAAAGTTCCCACCAACAAAGAGAACTTCGAGCTCGAGTTTCCACGTGGGTACGAAAGATGAAGTTTACCCGGGGTGACTTGAACGTCCAAAGCGGTCTCGGTTGGGTAAAGCTAAGAAGATATCAGCACTACCTCTCATGCTAGACTATCAATCACTTTTGACTTACCGAGATGAACGATATCTCCTTTCCAGTATTCCATTGAACGACAGCGGGGTTATACGATTCCTGACTCTGAGCAGGTCCACCGAGCGATATCTGTCTAAACGACTGTGCACCAATGGTAAGATCCTCTGAAACCCAAGTCGAAATGTTTCGGGGGACAGTGTCGAATGGTGGGTAGTAAGTGCTGGCTGTAAAATTGTGCTCTCCCTTAAAGGTCTTGAGACCTTGGAGAACTTGCTTGGGGATGAGCTTCTCATGGGTCTTGGACAATGCTGCAAATAGAGGTGCCCATGCGTAGTCGGCCGAGTGGGACATAACTTGGGGCTGCCATATCAGGATTAGCATCTTGCTCGAGATCAATCATTATCGGTGTCCAACCTTTTGGATGAGAGAAGAGTTCTCTTTGCCGATAAATGCCCAGAACCAAAGCGCCATAAGACTCAGATACCGGTTCATATCATACCCATACGCGCGATCCCAAGGACCAGCCATGTTCTTCATCTTCGGATGCCAAAGTTCTCCCACTGCCTCCCAAGTATGTTTAATCATCTCAGGCCCCGACTTTGCCATAATCGAGTCTTTAGGAAGATATTTACTCCACAGCGTAAGGCCGTACAGTGAGACGCCAGTGTAGGTACCTGAGTTGAACTCAGAGAGAGTATTGGCACGATTAAATAGGTTGATAATGTCTTTGGCATATCGCTCGCCGCTTCTTGTCATGTTTGACTCCTTCAGACGTCGTCCAGTCCATCCTGACATGAAAGCTCGCATGATGACCTACAGACAGAATCAGTCGGTGTGCTGTTTAAAGTTCGGAAGACTTACTGGATTGCTGTAGGACGGGTACAGGTTATCTTTTTTGGGATCTAGGTTACCAAAGCGATACTCGTCGCCCTTGGTAGCGTTGTGGAGGGACTCAAGCATCAAGTCCTGGGTTGTCTTGCTGATGAGCTTTGGGAACTCTTCAAGAGCCATGATGAAAGTCGTTCCAACGAAACCTCTCCAGTTGGGGTCCCATGAGTTGTATATATTAGCAGAATAACTGGCTGATCCCACCGACGGCTCCTCGGGTGTTATTTGGTACGCGCCGTACCTCAAACTTGTCAGCTCATGTCGCATTCTCCACAGTATCTAACAATCTCACCACTCATCCGCAGGATTTTTATGTTGCCCAGCGATAATGTTTCTGATAATCTTTTCGGCTTCGGAAGCGTCGCGACCCTTGTTGCGAGCTAACAGTCCGAAAGCGTACCATGCCGAGCTCCGAGTCTCGTGTCGCAGAGCTGCCGCGCCGCTGAAGTCGTACAAATATCCAGCTCTGCTATCATAATATGTATCCATCCAGTCCATGCTTTCAGTGAAAAGCTCTTTGGAGTTGGCCGATAGCTTATCGACGTATGAAGTCGTAGCCGAGGCAGCCACGGCCACAAGGCCGAACATATGCATCCGCATGACTGACAAAGAAGTATGGAGTCCCAATCAGCAGAATTTAGCAAATGGTTGAGGCAACGGTGATGATGAATAAGGAATGAGAGACTTCTTTGTATGAGGTATAAATCACCTAGGTTATATAGTACTGTTCTCTATCACGGAGACGACATTTTCCCCACCTCTCCTTATCTGGCACTGAGTGAACGTTGCAACAATTAGCGGGCATTTACCCCAATGAGTCCATTTTTCACGATGCAACTGGTGTTGGTTTAGTCGATCCGGACTTCTTTCCAGTCTGGACTAACGCTTGGTGGGGAAACGATAAACAAAACAGGGATTAGGATCTGCGGAAGAATAGCTCAATTTGCTATGGCTCTTTATGCAGTTGCAACGTTTAGATATCGTTTCCGGGTACACTTCACTCCTGTAGCCTTGCAGCTTACAACCTAACTAAACCTAGCTTGTGGTCTCTTTTGCTCATCTGTGAACTAAAGTATTCGACGGGATGAGTTGAGTTATTGCCGGTGGTGGCCCCGAGCACTAATGTATTAACGAAGCTTAAAGCAAAGCTTGGAAATTTAACATTCCTCCTGTTCAGTCCAACTTTGTTCATCCATCCCTCCTGGATTCTCTGGTGGTCCACTCTCATACCACCGCCGCCCGTGTTGCGTCCTGAAGAGGCCAACACGCTCGTAATAATGACCAACCTTCTAAACCAGCATCGCGGTATTCTGGGAATCCTGTCTTGGACCGGGGAGAAAAGCCATAAAGCTACGATTGGGAGCACAGGCGAATGACTGGTCATAGGATTCGAGCTTTGAGAAGACAGGTCCGTAAGACTTTGTTGACGAATAAACATAGATGCCTTCGTCCCATATATGCGGTTGCCTCCTTGATTCAGACTCTTGCTGTAAGTGGCGATCATCTGTAACTTGAACGCCCATGGTCCACTCTTCAATGTAGATAGCACTTGAGTAACGATCCTGCAATGAAGGCGGCCGACAATCGAAGTCGATATCATCGAGACAAACTTTATCGCCCTGGTTGTCTTCCAGAAAAACACGAACGTCGTCACGATATTTTCTGCCCTTGTGATATATCCTTCCCACCCAACCCATGACCAACTGGGAAACGAAATTTCACCAGGTGCGAAGCCCTGGAACCTACAAGTAGATGCAGACCAAGACAGGCGAAAGGCAAAGCGTGTTGATCTAGACCAACTGGTCTTCATTTGGGTGCTGCTGCGAGATATGTCGATGTCTTTGAGGAATATTGGAAGCCCTCAAAAGCTATAAACTGGCCTTTTAGCCTTTTCAAAAATATTCAGAATCCCTCTGAAGGCGTTCAAGGCGTCGGAACGATATGTGAGCTTTTTTGTTGAGTATTCTTCGACATGATCCATAAACTCCCTTGGGACTAGTCCTGGAGTTTTGGGTGACAAGGCAGCCATGCTCCACGTGAACGCGTTAATTTTCCCTTTCCTGTAATTATGTAGGAGGTCCAGGTCAATTTGTAGAACCTCAGTGCAGTTCATTCCGTTGCATTCAAAAAGCATCTGGGTCTCAGTGAAAACGAGTCGTCTTTAGATAATGCACTCTCTTGGTAGGTCCAACCTCGGGTGTACCACTTAGATGCCTGGAGAGTGTGCTTTCCGCTGGGTAAAGTTTTTATAATGGTCCGGCCTTTGCATTGGAACTTCTGTTGCTGCACTCTTGGGGTCTTATTAATTCCGGGTAAACCGTAATTTGGACCAGCACCTGCAGCTGCAATAATCGTCAGGGTAGCGTTGGCGTAGATCAAATCCATCTGCCTCATTCGCTGACTCTTGTCGATATCGTCCACTTGGTTGATGCAAATCTTATCTACCCAAAGGTAGAAGAAGCCGAGCACTTGCGTTACAACAAGCGCATCCTCGACTACCTTATCGAACTTGCGCTTGGTCGCAGACTTTGGTGCAGAGGTGGAAGATGAACCAGACACAGGAGGATCTCCCCATACATAAGACAATGCCACATACTGACATCCCATGGTCGCGTCTACCACTCGCCGGGTCCGACAATCGATAATACGAAAACGGCGAAGTTGTGCAAAAGTCTTTCTGGAACAGCGCGTCGAGTGGTTCTTATCGCAATAGTCCATCCACGTGTTTACAAGGCCCAGGTCGCAGCGTTGTGATTGGAGTGTACGGACTCGACAAACGTTTAGAGGTTCGACTGGTAAATCCAAACTCAAGTATCCAGTTACGTCTAAATGATCGCTTGTTGTATAAGCATCAAGGTATCCAGAGCTTCTCGAGTTTGATGTCTCTGGAACGACGCCCAGAAGATTATTGTCTTCATATCTTGGCTGACCATAACTTGTGCTAAAGAATCCTGTCAGGCTGTTGATAGCACTGAAAATTCTCAGATGACATTGCTTACCACTGGCCTGCAGACTAGGCGATGTGACACTCAGGAACATCTTACAAATGTGACAATGAGATGCAGCAAGATCAATAACCGAGCCAAGATTCATGACAAAGGACCAATCATATTTGTATTTCCGAGTAAAGATTTCGTCAAAGTCAATTGCCCGACACCGACTGCACATATTGCCATCGCCAGACGGTGTGACTGAAGAATCAGATGTTGGTTCTTTCTCAAAAGTCGGCTGGCCATTGTCACTGGCAAAGTCTTCGAAGGGTCGCTTGTGAGAGGTCCGAATTGTATGAGCCATAGCACCTTTTTAAGCGGTAAAAGGAATGGTTGATTGATGAAGCGAACATCGAGGATACATCGCGGGTCTTATGCAAATTGACTTCTTTCCGTTACCCCTCTCTAAAGTTGTACAAGCAAAAAGTACTCCTCGTTGAGCTGTTCGGTCAGTGCCCCTCGATGAACCAACGAGTAAGTACGAGTGTCACTTCGAATGAGAGTACATGCCCACTGCTCATGCTGTGTTATCTACTATCGGTACTGATATCAGTGGCTGCCTTTGGACAAGAAATACAACGGGCGCGACATCCTATGCGTTGTAAGTCTAGACTGAAGTGGAAAGGAAGAGTGTTAGTACGCCAACCTGCCCTCGCCAACGCCCACCAGAAAAGCAGCAACACTATTCAGACGCAGTAGACACATCCAGCACGCCAGGATATATGGTATACATGGTATAGTATTGATCATGGAGAAACGCGACGCGACGCGAGGTGGATTTCAGAAACACAGCCGCAGGGAGACGCGCTCGCGCGTCATTGAACGCCGCTCAGAGGTACACGCGCAGGTATTTTGTATCTACACTAAAGTTCGCCAAAAGAGCATTCCAAAAGGTCGGGGACCACACCTTGGCTTCAACGACGATGGGAGGAATGCAGGGGCAGTGAAGGAGCGTGAATGCGGCGTGACGTCGCAAGGAAAAGCCCAATAGCTAGGCGCGATCAATGTAGGACGGAGAGGCGGGGTTATTGTGGTGGGCCGTTAACGAGGAAGCGAGGTGACATTGAGTGCAGCGCCATCGCGATTGATGAATCTGGCCGGCGCGATTGAAGAGAATAACTCCCTACTCAAACAATAAAAGATGCTGGACTTGCATCAGCAGCAAGGCCATGGATCTGACGATGTTTATTTTGAACTGGCGCGTAGAGAACGGGGGCTGATTCCAAGGGCAAGGGAAAACGCGTCCAGCAATCGCCACAAATGTGAAGTGTCACTCAAGCTTGCGATGATCACCGGTACCGGATACCTATGTCAGCAACAAAAGACAGTAAAACCAGACCCTCTGACCTCCAGATTAGCAAGGAAGCTTTGTTTCAAGTTATAAAAGACTACGAGACGCAATAACTCATCAGGATGGTGGGATTGATCGCACATTGGTTCTGTAATTCCCTTGTTGAAAATGTAGTCCCGGGTAGGTTTCTTATCTTATCACCTTATCTTATCCAACAGCTAACGTGTGCCGCCTTTCTGCGTTTTGGAATGACATCAACAATGGGGGTGTCAGAGGAAGTGAAGTATTTTAGTCTTGCTTGAACACCCGTCTTGACTGTCCAGTATCCTTTCAAGGCCGACTACTCTCCGTTTGCCGATCGACAACGCCCATCTAGCAGCTTATCGCGTCTCCACATCTCTTCCACAGCGATCAATGTCCTCGACCTTCTTCCGGACTCTTGTCTTTGACGCGCTCTCAGCCCATAGCTTTGCCGCGCTCTTGATGCTATTGTCGTTTTCTCACTAGCCTCGCGTGTCGCATCCCGCATATTGCATTCCGATCATGCTCTCCCATCTCGACGCGTCTAGCTACGCTTGTAAGCCACGCCGCGTGATCCTCAACGTGCACCATGGAGGGATGACTGTTTGCTAGTCTCTGTCTCCAGCGCAATTGACACGTGAGTATTGATCGTCCGATCTTGTACATACCAAGCTAACGCGTATTAGCTTTCCGTTGCAATAAACCCATCCACGATCCGAACACGAACCGAACCATACGATACGACCGAGAAGAAAGACCAAGTCAATGAGACATGCTCAGCACTGTGATTTAACGAGTATTGGCAAGACCAAGCTCTAAGTGCGAACATTGTCGATATTTGACATCAACACACTGTTCCACTCCCATACTTGCTCCAGAATGTAGCCAAGAACTCGGGGGTCCTGTTTGATGTCTTCAAACAGTGATCACCGCGATCGGTTGATACAAGCGTGCCTTCTCGGCGGGCCTGCAGACTTTCTCAAAGCAGAGCCTGCCCGAGAATTAGCGTGTTCTGTACTGGCCCCATCTTTCTACTTCATGTATGACCACTGTCCCAATATAGGGTCCTCCCCACTGAGGTCGACACTCATTATATCGGCTGTACCGCAGTGACTACCGACCTGGCGTGTTCCAGCCTCACCCTCCGGCTTGACTCCCGTTTCAACCCTCGTCGTAGCCTAACTTCAACGCTGACGTCGGCTCGTTCGGAAGTCATTTACCAGAAGCGCTCTCCTGGTCTTGCACGGTCGAACGCTTCCTAGCCCTGCTGAGTTTGTGGTATCTCAGAACTGGGCTTTACCTTGGTTCAATATGTAGGCCCTTCGGGGAGACCGAACTCATACTCATGGAGTGCCTACATCACAGTACTTTCCCCGTCTCTTTGTTCCTCACGCGTCGCTCCTGTCGCCTTCTCCTTGAGCTCATGCCTGGAATGGCTTGCGTGCTATATCCTTGGCTCAAACGACGCGGCGCTGCGAAGGCGAACCGGCCCAATTGATGCCTACCGGATGTATACCGCGCCACTACATATGGCCTCTTGGGTTTGGACATCCAACGATATACTCCATCTTGCCGCTCTTTATCATCCCAAAGAGATTGATGGTCATGGTTCTCTTACAATGGAGTTCAATAAGGGTTTTCGGACCTTTCGAAGAAGGATATACCCACTGACTCCGCGAATGTAGCGTGCGGGCGGCCGAGAACATGTATGGGCATCGCTCGGCTTGCACCAACAACAGCGAGCTTCTGATAATAGTTGTCGCTCCCTGACATAGCCGTCCCTCTTGCGGTGCACTCATCTTTTTGCCGCAATCCTTCAATAGTCGTCTATTATAGTAGCCCACATCGTGAGTGAACCATTGGAGGCTACGACAATAGTAACTAACACCATACTCGCTGTCCAGGTAAGTGGTAGGCCATTATAGTTAAACTTTATCGTAGACTGGCACTATCGATGGTTTGGTGATTAAGCCAGAGGGCTCTGACTGTAGCACTTGTTACGAGGCAATATATAGAACGACTTCAATATATCGCCTCTTCCCATTCTCCTTATCATTTCCGTCTCGTCTCGTTTGTGGGATGGTGTTTAGTCCAACGCTACCCCTACTAATTCCTAAGTCACCACTGCTTCCGATATTTTCACTCCATTACCCTTGCTCTTTTTAAAGCTTTATTCTTTGTTCCATCAGGCAGTATTCCTTACTGGTCTAGATGGCCACATCGGCGATCAGCCACAACTCGCAAGTGCTTGCATAGTAACATCAAAGATCAGCAGGGCACAACATCTGCCCAATTACCATCATCAAACAATGGACAACGCCATCCACTATATCAGAAATCACTTACGGGCTTACATTAGGAATTTGTAAGACGGACTCGCTGACTTTCACTTGAGTTGTCGACCAGGAGGAGGAGGAGATATCTTTTAGGATCAGTCGCTCGTCATCAGCAGAGCTACAAGAGGTTCTGCTACCCTTGCAGATAATATACTCTGCATTACCAGCACATCGATGACGGTTCTTACACAGCATACCGAGAATGAAAAGCGTTCGTAGAGCTTTCGAAATTAGATAAATCTAAGTTAGATAGCTCAATAATACTATAACACGTAAGACCTCTTCTTAGTTAGGGCCCACGAGGACATTAAAATTAGGACCATTAGGGCCCATATTGTCCCACGCTTCCTTTTTAACCTTTTCTGTCCAGGCCTGATAACCTTCCGGGTCACCATGCTGAAGTGCCATTTCATATGCAGCTCTGGCGCCTTGGTACTGGTGCTTGGCGTGCATGTAGGGAGGGTACTGCTTTGCTTTTTAGAAACCTGCTGCGAAAAGGTTTTACCAACATGACTTACGTTTTGAGCTGCCCAGGCGTCAAATGCGACACCATCAGTTAAGCCCATTGATTCCTCCTGCTCATACACGGCCTTAGCGGCCTGTTCCTGACTGACTATTTGATCGAAGGCAACTTGGAACTTCTCCTTTGAGTCTTGGATACGAGCTTGATCGGCCATTCTGAGTGTCTATGGAAGTGTAGTTAAGAGGTGAAAAATTGATAGTGATGAGGAGTGTGAGCGGAATGTCAGAAGATGGGCTCTGGAATGCGCATTTATAGACAACTTGCGTCTCTACTGTGGCTCTCCATGACGTATGGAAGATTTAGGTATGCCTCTGCAGCCAAGGTAGTTCACTAAGCTTCTTTCCGTCCGATCAACAGTAGCGCTATGACAGTACGGTGCAATAAGTTGCTGTAGGTCTCAGTTTCAGCTAGAAGCTTACCGCCGATCATGTCCTATTCAAAGCTTTGTTACTACTGCTTATCAAACCCGATTAGGAGCGACCCATTTTCTAAAAGAAGTTATGGGCTGGAACCATCATCAGAGTGCAGCTAGATCATATTTCTGGTAATAAAAAACAAGGACGAATTGACAACTTAGCAAGCCGTGGCAAGGGGAAGCATACCGTAGTCTACAGCAGACTACTGGGGGAAGCGTGCGATGACGTTGAGGGTTCTGGGCATATGGTGCTTCAGCGAGAGCAGCCAATAGATAGAATAGGCGGCTGCCTGAAGTCTCCTTGCCTACGGCATGGACCCAGTGAGAATCTGGACCTGCTCATCGATCTGATTGAGGCTAGGCAGGGCTTCTATAGTCTCATGCAAAAGCGGCCGCTCTAGGGTAAATCTTCAAATATATCAATTCTATTTACAAACGCATGCGTTGCACTCGTGATAGGCTTGACCCTGAAGGGGAAAGTACAGTTCCCAGATCCCGATGCCTGCAGGGGTAGATTATAGCATCGCCGTCGCTTTCTGATACCACCGCTCCTCATGAAGTGACTTGGGGAACACTGACTTCTGTGCAACTGATCCCCCAACACTCGTCCTGGATAGTGGCTCACGTCTAGCTCAAGGCTTTCTGAGGAGCGAGTCCACCAAAGTGTACAGATCGAATTAACACAATATCAATCACAGATTGTAAACGTGGTTCGCATTATCTGTGGTTATTATTATGTTGATTTGACCTGTATACTTTGAAGGAGCTGCTTCTAAGAAATGCTCGAAATAGCTTGCCACGTCCTCTTTACTCTTACGGTTTAACTTTCAACTTCTCGTTTGACGGTAATAACTCTGAAGCAATCGGACCGTAGCACATGTGGTAAATGCACTCGCAGATGGTGGGCTTCAAGATATGCACGTGTAAGTAATTAACTACCTAGACGGAGGCCTGTGCATTCCTATTATTGGTGCTCTTTTGCTTGTTCGTCCTCCATGTGTAGTATTCCCCTCCAGTCATAACAGGGTATTTCATAGGGTTCGTCTCACTAACACAAGTAGCCACAGGCTCCAACAGCTTGCTTCTATCAAACCCAAAGAAGAAAGGCGCCGAGTATCTTTCCCGACCACTCTTGTTGATCACTCGGTGAACTGTAGAAACAAAGAAGTCATTGGTCTGTCGCATGAAGCAGTCTGCGATGTTAACGACCAGGGAGCCAGGGATAGGCTTCGCCTTGACCCAAGTACCACTCTTGCTCAACACCTCAAGACCGCCGGCTGAGTCTTGAGTGACCATTGTAAAGCACTCGACGTCTCTATGGGCGCCGATACCATTTTGGTCGTCTGCTGAGTGACTCTGCTCTGGGTAGTGCAAGATACGCATACCGGCTTCTGGCTTGCGGATATACTCGTCGAAAGAGTTCTCGGGCAGATGAAGAGCGAGTGCAAAGATGCGAGTTAGTTGACGTGCTAGACGTAGTAGCTCGGTGTGGCAGGCGTAGAGACCTTCTCGGAATCCGGGGACATCTGACGGCCAGATGCTTACTGAGGCCTCACAGCCTTCGACTGCTTCGGGGTCTTCTTTAGGGTCATAGGCCCAGTTGAAGGCTTCGCTGAGATCTTCACTGTGTTAACACAGAAACATTCATCTGTTAACGATAAACCCACCTTGATGTTTCCATCCATTACGATTGTAACACTTCATCGGGTGATATCCAACATACTCATTGGGTACCAACCCAGTGAACACCTCCATCTTCTTCTCCTCTGGCAAAGCAAAGAAACGCTTAGCTTGCTCCAGAGCACCCTCTGCATACTTCCCATCAATGCCCTACTGAACTGTTAGATGAGCTATCTGTCGCTGTACTAGCCAAGACTCACATGGTTGATTAGGTAGAAGAACCCAATCTCTCGTGATGCAGTGCGTATCTCATCAGCGACAGCCTGCCGGTCCTCGAGCTTGTCGCTCCAGATTCGGGATGCATCGATAACTGGGATGATATCAAGCTCGGTTGATTGGTTGGAGTTAAAGCTGAAGACGTTTCCGTTTTGAAGGGTTACGGTCTTAGCTTTGCTTGTGGGGGTGGTTTCTGTTGCTGATGTGGACATGGTTCGTGATTGAGGCAATGCTGAAATTGGATGCTGTAGTAGCGATATCTGTTGTATTGCCCAACTTCAGACCGCTGACCTTATTGTCATTTATATTTCTACGTTACGTGTTGAAACTGTAGCATCTGAGAACTTCTACATGACTTTCTCCCGACTCTCCCCAGCCAGCTGATTGTGGGCCAATTTCTAAGCTGTTAAATGGTTAAACTGCTAAACTTTGTGTCAAATGATAAGACTACCTGACACTGCCCACCAATGAGACGCTCTTGATTGAGGGTTATCGCTTCCCCGCGTTCTTATCGTCTTAGCCGATCAACGGTTCCCAGGTTAGTGGACGAACTTATTGCCTATCAGCGCTAGCTTCCTCTGATGCACCCCAGATAAAGCAATCTCAAGATAGATCGGGTATTGTTCGAGATACGATCATAAACATGGGGTCCATATTAAGAGCTCTTGTTCCTCACAGGGAAGTGAGTTGTTTATTCGGTTGAGCATTGAAACATTCACTCAGACTTCACCATAAACGCCCTCGCAATGGTAAAATCATCAACCTTCTCAAGCTTCGTTTCCAAGTTCGAGGTTCAGCGCGATCAAGATGCTGATGTCGATATCTACGTCAACAAGGATACTCGTCTACTTCCCTCTTCAAGACGTCTCTATGGCCTTTGGGAGTTTGTCGGCTTATGGATGGTCACCGGATCATTCAACGTCGGAGGTTGGACAACTGGCTCTGCCTTGATCTCGCTCGGCCTTAATGTCTGGGTGAGTCCTCTCATGACCCTTAATTATCGAATTTGATAACTGACATCTGGCATTTAGCAATCAATGTTGGCCATTGTAGTTGCGCACACTATTGCTGGACTCCTCTGTGTCGCTGGAGGCCATCCTGGTGCTAAATGGCACATCGGCTTTCCCTTATGGATGAAGCAGAACTGGGGTATCTGGGGATATCTCTTCCCTATGGTAGGTCTGTTCTAGTCCTGTAGTTTGAGAAATAACACGGCTAATCCTTTCGCAGGCTATTCGTGTTTTCTTATCATTTGTCTGGACATCGACCAACGTCTGGTACGGCTGCCAATGTCTAAAAGTCCTCCTTACCTGCATCTGGCCTTCTTTCCGAGATCTCAACACGGAGTTGGCGGGTGGAACCATGCAGACATGCGACATAGTATCTTTTGTTCTTTACCTCGTCCTCTGCGTACCCTTGGTGGCGCTCAGCCCTGAGAACTACCGAAAACCATTTTTCATCGCCTCAACCACTGTTGCAGCTACTGTGTTTGCTCTTCTTATCTGGTCGACTGTCAGAGCTCAAGGTGGTGGTGCTTTGTTGGCTGATGTGTCAGGCGTCTCCGGTATCGCTCCAGCGAAAGGAGGACAGCTTGGATGGGCGTTTGTCACTGCTGTAACTGCGAATATTGGTGGTATCGCTACGCATATGTGGTCGCAGTCAGATTACACGCGGTACGCTCGCAAGCCAGGTGACCAGATATTGGCTCAGCTCATCATGGTCCCCCTCGGCACTATTGTCGTGGGCTGCATTGGCATCATCTGCACATCTTGTGCTGCAACTCTATACCCCGAGAATGAAAAGTTGCTTTGGCAGCCATACGTCTTCCTCGATACCATCCGAGAACAGGAGAACAACCGCAGAGCCAGAGCAGGTATCGCATTTGCTAGCATTGCCTTCATGTTCTCCCAGTTTGGTATGGTAGTTGCGTCTAACCTTGTTGTCGCTGGCATTGACTTGGCCGCTCTTCTCCCACGATGGTTCACTATTCGGCGAGGAGCTTATGCGACTCTTGCTTCTGCATTCATAATGCAGCCCTGGTCACTCCTCAACAGTGCTACCAGCTTCTTGACCGTCGTCGGCAGTTTTAACGTCTTTCTCGGGCCACTGATGGGCATTATGTTTGCCGATTACTTCATCCTTCGCAAGCGCACCATTAAGCTCAGTGAGCTATACTCCAGCTCACAAGAGAGTATTTATTGGTACAGAAAAGGCTGGAACTGGCGCGCTGCTATATCATGGATTCTTGGGGTCTGGTTCTTGCTTCCTGGACTTGCGCAGAGGGGGATGGACCCCAGGGGTTTTTGGGGTGGCTGGACTCGGCTTTATCAGATTGGATGGTTTGCGGGATGTTTTGTTTCTGGAGCAATCTTCCTCGGTCTGGATTACTTCTGGCCTATGCCTGAGAAGCTTGCAGTTGATGATGTGGACTACTTTGGCACTTTCGGCGATGCTGATGTTCTTCGGGATGTTGAGGAGAAGGGTTCTTCAAGCTCACTGCAAGATGATAAGCGGAAAGTCGACGAAAATGCCTCTGAAGCTTAGCTTGTCAGAGTACATCTGGTACTTATAAAGCCATATTAAATTCTTTGCACATCAAAGCAACAGCCAGTGACACCTGACCGTAGCTACGTCTCTTTGCTCTGAACTATGTGCGCTACCGATAATTGCCATCCATGCACAGCTGCAGCTGAGATGCCACTGACATGACATTTATGCGACAAAGAACTGCCCTGCCGAAGGACCGACCGAGTGCAGCTTCTGGAAAACAAGGACTTTCCATTGGTTGTTTGATCACCATCGATTGTTAGATAGTTCTCTTAGATCCTCTCCGGGGGAGACAGACGAGGAGTCTGCGTGTAGCTAGATTGATATATAACGAGATGCGGGAAATAAGTACCCGGTGGTCGATCCCTGTTTCAGTCGCTTTCTGTACTTGCCCCCGCCTGATCTCAGTGACTATCGTTCTTACGGTTCCAACTCCGGCCCCTGGTTTTTGTCTGTAAATATGCTATACTATGTAGCAAAACTTAGCAAATTGAGGAACTAGGATTTATTGCCAAGAATTCCTTCAAAATACGTGTCCTTTTGCTCTTCTTTTACCACCTTCTATTATTTGCCTGAAGATAATCCAGACCTCGTCCACAGTGGGCCGATGAGAATTAAGCTTGCATTGTCGGCCCCTCCTCCCGGCGAACTCAGGATAATGCACTGAACCATGCGGTGGATCTTCCGCCGTGTTTTCGGATTCCTGCTTCTGCTATTGGTGGTTACTCGCTATTTTCTTACATTTTAACATGGTTCCATGCAATCGCCTCCTTTCGGCAGTTCAAAGATTAGCTAAGAAAGAGTGTGCGGATACTACCCCGCCAAACCCAACCCGGGTATTAGGTATCCGGAGCTTACACTGTCAGACTACAACTGTGTCTTGATATATAAAGCCTTCCATTGACTGGTAATATCATCTTTGCTTTTCTACTTTCAGCTTCTTACATATTACACAAGTTCTGACTTACATCTTTCATCTCTATACGTTCGTGACCAATATGGCCAACTACTCTCTTAGCGACACCCAGCAACAGCTCATCAAGGACGCTGCTTCATTTGCTGACAAGGAACTCAGTGGGGCACGTCAGACATACCAACATCTGTCAACCCAGCGAGAAAGATTCTTAACAGTCAGGCCATTCTTTCAGAAGATTGTTGAGGCTGGCTACCTCAAGGCCTTTATCCCAGCGCCAGATGGAGGAACCTGTGAATCCTTCCTGGGCATGTCTTTGATCCTTGAAGAGCTTTATACTGCTGACACCAGTGTGAATGTCGCACTTATCGGAACAGCTCTTGGACTGATGCCCTTGATCCTTGGTGGTACAAAGGAACAGAAAGATCAGTTCTTGAAGCCTTTTCTCAGTGGCAAAGGTGATGCGCTTGCCAGTCTTGCCCATTCTGAGCCTGGTGGCACAGCCAATTGGCTAGAGAAAGGTGGCAGAGGACTAGGTGTCACTGCGAAGAAGGAGGGAGATTATTACATTGTGAATGGCGAGAAGGTAAGCACGAAACCAACCTCATCAGTTAAGAATCTAACAATTCCCGTAGCAATGGACAACCAACAGTGGTGGTTGGGATGAAAAGGGTGCTGCGCTAACTTGTCTCTGTGTTCGCTATTCCGAGGATGGTGGCCCTGAGAAGCCAGATGTTGACCCTAGGGATAACATCATGATCTTGCTTGTTACCCGAGACATCATTGAGAAGAACGATCCTGATTCCTACAAGATTCTCTCAGAGCCTGAGCTCATGGGACATGGCGGTGCCAGTGGCCCCCACACAAGGTATACCAACTTCAAGGTCCCCGCAGACCGTCTTCTCTGCGCACGCGGCGACGCCACAGCCACCGTGATCGAGACAGCATTCGGTATCACTGCGGCTCTGGTCGGTGCACTGGCATGTGGTACCATGCGAACTGTTTTCGAATCAGCCCTCAAGTTTGCCAAGGAAGACCACCGAGGCGGCAGTGTCCCCATCATTCAGAGGCAGAGCGTGGCAGATCTGCTTATCAACTGTAAGATCAAGATTGATATCTCCCGACTTATGGTCCGTAATGCTCTGGATAGCATTGATAGAGGCAGAGGAGACACTGCTAGCAGACTTGAAAGCTGCTTGCAAGCCAAGATCTACAGTGGAGAGGCTGCTGTGCAGGCTATCTGGGAGGCGATGCAGGCTGTCGGAATGTAAGTGATCCCTCTCGATTGATATATGCAACAACTAATCTGATGACCTATAGGAGATCTTACCTTGCTGATATGGGATTCGGAAACCTTCTCAATGATGCGGCCGTCTTTTCCTTGTTTGACGGAGGCAACGTTGGTGTTAGGAGGAGACAGTATGAGAGAATTATGCAAGCTGCTGATTACGAACCATGGAAGGCTTCCATGTAGAAGGAATCAATAATGTTCATGTTTAGCTATTATTTAAGAAATAGTTGAATGAAACTGCTTTAGTTAAATTACTCGCTGACGTTAACTTTCCATTGTATACAGCGCTCTTTAGCTCAAATTCTGAGGTGCTGTCTCCGATTATCGGCATTACAAAAATATTTTACTTCCCCGAGTTAAATTGGAATATGATCAAACGTGCTACACGTGAACTATTCAATTTGTATATTGCAATACAGTTTATGCTCGGCATTCTTCCCGAACATCGTCAGTCTCTTAACAAGTGGAACTCTCGGTTATCTTTGGACCGAGCTAAATTGAGGGGAAATAAAACTGACCTCTCGGTCCTGAAAATACAACTCAAGAAAGTCAGCAAATTAATTGAGCCATGTTCGAAGAAAGGATCGTCGACTTCAAGCCCTCAGATGGTTCGATTCCACTGGTTGGTGCAACTATCGTGGTTGACCAGTCAGATCATCCAGGCGTGATCCGCGCCGCAAAGGACCTGGCAGAAGACTTTAGCCGTGTGACGAAAGGAGATCGCAGTCCCCTTGTTCTGGTCGGATCAGAAGCGGATTATGCACAGATCAAGACGAACACTGCTATGTTGGTCGGCAGTATCGGGTCTAGTCCGCTGATCCAGAGTCTTGCCAAAGATGGCAAACTTGACACGAAGACAATTGATGGAAAATGGGAGTCCTTCTGCACAAACACCCTCACAGGATGTTTAGGTGAATGTGAGAAAGTATTTGTTATTGCGGGAAGCGATAAGCGAGGGACCATTTTTGGCGTATACACGCTTTCGGAGCAGATCGGCGTGTCTCCGTGAGTCCCCTCAACGTTGATTTCTGAAAGGAAAGCTACTGACTGATTCTGATAGCTGGTACTGGTGGGCTGACGTTTCACCAAAGCATCACACTGAGATTTATGCGATCCAAAAGCAGACCGTCCATGGCGAACCATCGGTGCGACACCGAGGCATATTCCTAAATGATGAAGCACCTGCATTGACAGGATGGGTGAGGGAGAAATTTGGGGGATACAATTCAAAGTTTTATGTCACTGTTTTTGAACTACTTCTCAGACTCAAGGTAGGTTTAGCCCATCTCATTGGAAAATGTGTGCTGACAATGTAGGCCAATTTCCTATGGCCAGCAATGTGGCCCGGTTATCCCAACCCAGGAGCATCTTTCTTCACAGATGATCCCCTCAACCAAAAGCTCGCAGACGAATACGGCATTGTCATATCAACTTCGCATCATGAACCGATGCAGCGTCTTTCAAATGAGTGGTTTGCTGAAAACCCAGATGGAAGCTGGAATTGGTTGACGAACAAACAGAAAATCACTGAGTTCTTTGAGCACGGTGCTAGTCGTGCCAAGGGTTGTGACTCTTACTTCACACTTGGTATTAGAGGCGAGTATGATAAGAAGATGCTGGCAGAGGATCCTGCTTCCGTGGTTCAGGATGCGATCGAGACGCAGAGGGATGTGATCAAGAAGGTTTATGGGAGCGAAGACTCTGTGCCTCGTATGTATTGCCGTCCCGGAGGTATAGATGGTTACTGACTGATTCCCAGAGCTGTTCGCCATCTACAAAGAAGTGCAGTCTATGTTCGAGACTGGCCGATTGAACGTCCCAGAGGATGTGACCTTACTGTTCCAGGACGATAACTTTGGTACCATACGCCGACTTCCCACTGTTGAAGAGTCGAAGAGAAAGGGCGGTGCAGGTGTAGGTACAGTGGTTTATAGTCTATACTTCCACTAACATTGTTAGGTCTACTACCATCTTCAGTATGTCGGTGATCCACGAAGCTACAAATGGATTAACACGAACTCTCTGGTAGGTCGATCGCACCTCAGAAGGCCTTTACTAACTAGATATACAGGGCAAAGTATGGCATCAGCTCCAGCAAGCCTATCACCACAACGCAAGAGAGATCTGGGTTTTCAACGTCGGTGACCTGAAGCCGCAAGAAATTCCTATCTCTTTCGCTATGGCCTTAGCATGGAATGTCAACAGCATCAAGCATGATACCTTACCCGAGTTCTTTAACCAAGCAGCCGAACGGGAATTCGATGGCGAGCTTGCAGAAGAAATCGGTTCGATCTGGCATCAGCACGATCGACTGTTGTCATTGAGAAAGCATGAGCATATTGAGCCGGAGACCTTCTCGATTCTTCACTACAACGAAGCCGATGCTATCTTGAACCGCTGGAAGGAACTGCTTGAGCGTGCAGAAAAGGTGCATGGTCAAGTCGTGGATGAACAGAAAGCTGCGTCATTCCAGCTTCTTCTCCATCCCACTAAAGCGTCATACATATACAATGCCCTGCGTATCAACCAAGCGCGCAACAGGCTCTTCGCCCGTCAGAGGCGCAACTCCGCTAACAAAATTGCTCAAGACGTCCTGGATCTGTTCGACGCCGATTTCGATCTGTCAGAAGAGTACCATGCTCTTCTCGATGGGAAATGGAACCATATTCTGATGCAGCCGCATTACGGATATGAGGATACTTGGCATGCTCCATCCCGAGATATGATCAGTGGTTTATCATTTGTTCAACGACGCCAAAACTCAAATCCTATTGTTGGTCAGATGGGCGTTGCTGTTGAGGGTCACGAGGGTGTTCGCGTCGGACGTATAAACGAAGAGTCGGAGAGGACGCATCCAAGCAAGCGAGATCTTGTTCCTGGTCTTACTTTAGGATCCATGAGTCGTTATGGACCGGACTCAAGATGGTTCGATGTTTTTACTCGAGGTGTGCCGACTATCAACTGGTCTGCTTCGACTCCTCAGTCCTGGATCATCTTGTCGCAGACTCAAGGCGTGTTGGTTCCCGGTCAAGATGACGCGAGGGTCCAGATCTCCATCAAGTGGAGTGAAGTACCTGATAACTTCCAGGAAGAAGTTCTCATTGATGTTAAATCGCAAGAAGGGGATTTCGAACAGGTGCACCTTCCTATCGACGGTCGACGAGTTCCGCAGTCATTTAGCGGCTTTGTGGAGCGAGATGGTTATGTCTCGATCCCTGCCACTGTTAACTCCGGCAAAGATCCTTACTGCGTACTCCCTGATGCAGGGAGACTTGGAAGTGGAACATTGACTCTTGCACCCGGGACCAAGAGCGAGGCTTCCTTTGTAGAGTATCCGTTCTTTACCTTCACTAAGACTTCCGAGGCAACGCTAGTACTCTATTTCGGTACAACTCTCGACGTCTCATCGGAGGATATCCTGACCTACGATGTGCAGCTCAACGCAGACCAGAGCCATACTTATTCCTTGCAGAAGAGGACCCCGGAAAGCGAAAAGAATGCGGCAGATAAGGGATGGGCGTCAGCCGATGGTTGGTTCTTTGCTGCATCAGATAATGTTTGGGTGCGCAAGCATAAGCTGGGCCCGCTGAAAGGTGGCGCACATAGTCTCAAGATCAGACTGGGCCATGCGAACATGTTGTTTGAGAAGATTGTGGTTGATCTTGAAGGAATGCAAGAGAGCTACTTGGGACCTCCTTCAGGCGAATGGTTCCAAGCGGATCAGTAAGTCACACAGAGAAAAAGTAGATAATGATGTTGGTCCGGTTATGTATTAAATCTGAAGAGGACTTTTATGCTAAAGAATGCAAATGCTATGGATTGGTAGTTACAGTCTATGTGGATAATGTGTACATGGAAAACAAGTCATTGACAAGATCAAGCTTAGCAAGTAAGGCTGAACTTGAGCTTGCGGTCCTTGTTGGCAATACCAAAGTACTTCTCAACCTCAGTGCTGTGAGCAGGAGTATCGAAAGCAGTGAACCAGAAACCACTGGCATCCTGCTGCTTCCAGAGCCAGCATCCGACGGTGTTGTAGAATTGCTGCAGACTGGCAGTCGTGGCAGCAGCCTTCTGGTAGTTAGGTCCCTTGGTAGGCCAGCCAGTCTCGCCAACCCAGACAGCAGCCTTGGAGTTGACAGCCTTGACGTGCTTCTTGACCTGCCAGTAAGAGTTCTCGAAAGTCTTGGCACGAACAGCATCCTTGATGGGGATGCCCTGCCAGTAGGGGAAACCGTTGGTGATAGCAATATCGGAGGCCTTGGTGACAACATCGTTTCGGCCGTCGACCCAAGCGGTCCAGGTATCGGTGTGGCCGACCTTGAGGTTCTTGTTGTACTGGTGGACCATACCGCGGACGTCGTAGATCTGCTGTGCGAGCTTCTGGGGGGAGATGTCCTCACGGTAGAGATCTTCGGAACCGACGCTGATGGCGGCGATCCAGCCGGTGCCGTGCTTCTTGATGGCGGCCAGGAGAGCCTTTTTGTCGCGACCGAAGTGGGCATCGTCGGTGGCCCAAACACCAACAAGGATCTTCATGCCAGTGGCCTTGGCAGCGGGGACAGCCTTGACAAGAGCTAAGAATGATGTTAGTACTTCCGAAGAACGTATATCATAGTAGTCTAAAACTTACTGTTGCAGTCATCGGCAGAGTAAAGACGAACAGCGTTGAAACCCTTGTTCCAGCTCTTGATGGCCTGGAAATCCTTCTTCCAGTCGGCCTCCCACTTGCAGGCACCATCAGCCCTGTTGGCGCCGATGCTGAAACCCTTGTAAGTTCCAGCCAATGCCTCACCAGACATCATGAGAGCCACCGCGAGGGTGCTGAGAGTGCTGAAGAGCTTCATAGTGAATTAAAGAAAATAAGAACTGATTAATAAGCGAGTGACAGTTGAAAGAGCCAAGAAGACAAAACGTTGAAAAGAGTTGGGACGAAAAGTTGGTTTTATCATCGGAAGATGGAAATTGGCGCCCCTTTTTTCTTGCCCCCTGTCCTCGTATTGACCCCTGTACGTGAGGCGTTCTAGACCACTTTACCGTAAGTGCGATGCTATTTTTACGCTTTGCCTTGTCATGGAAGCGCGCTAGAAAGGACGGTGTCACGCGGAACGTCGGCTTCGCCAGGATGGAGTCTTGTTCCTCAATCTACCGTCAATTAGAGGCAGATTCGATTTCATGCTTAATCCATCTTCGGAAATAGAGGAATCCAATCTGCGTCATTGCGGACCTGTCCGACCGAAGCTGGGGACTCGATCAAGTCTATGACGGAGCGTGATTTTTGTGCCGTCTTATCACATTTGTTACGAACTAGGGCTCGGGTGATCACTCTTGGCTTTCGATTGCCAGCGCGATGATGATCGATCATTGGTTGATCTTATTGGTCGATCCACTCGCGATCGCTGCCAAGTCTCGTAACTTTTCACGAGCCTACCCTAAGGCCATAGCCAGAATCATCAGGTGCACCTCCCCCACGTTAAGACTGGGCAAGTAAAGTACGTATGGAGCGTAGAATATTGCTCGTTGAACTTGTCGTGGTAGAAAATCGAATGTATGAGGCATTTGTAGCCTTGCTTGGTTGAAATATGAAGGGAAATGAAACGATTGTCGACCTTAGGTCAATTTTGCGAGCGCGTTCCAACACCATCACGGCAAAAGCACGATACTAACACTGATTGCCTCTGAAAGCAATTTTGGACAAGCTTCCGAACTCTAAAACATATTCTACTTGAAGATTCAGATACACAGGAAATATTTTTGGTCCTTACAACAATATGAAGCGTGTTGTCAGAGATGGAAACAAGTCCCATCTTGACAGAAGCCGGACCTCGGCTTCACTATCTTCCGCCAACATGCCGCTAAAAACCATCTCGGAGCTTCGGGTCATCTAACGCCGATCGTGAGTGCCGAGGTACAGTTCAACCCCAGAGTCTGGGGGCGGCACTTGCTGGATTAGCATTGGATTGAAATCGATGCCCCCAAAGCTAACAGCACAAATCCATTGGTGGAATTATTACACTATCTGGGCCATGAAAAGGCAAAAGATCAACGAGCAATTGAGCATATAGACACATATCCGAGTATATAAGCTACCTGGAGTAATACATTGTTTGTAGAGTTTAATTTTGTCTCTATCTATAGTTCGAATCGAAGCATCTTAGGTGACCATGAAATTCTTATCTGTGGTATCGACATGCCTAAGCATCTTGGGCAGTGTCCAAGCCGCCAAGTCACCCTTCTTCATCTTAACAGGTGATTCCACAGTTGCTACCGGAGGCGGCTGGGGTGATGCACTCATCAACGGGACCAGGAAGCCTGGCGCTGGGATCAATCTTGCGAAGAATGGCGCTACTACAGTTTCCTTTCGAGATCAAGGTCTTTGGGATCAAGCAGTAGATCAGGTCAAAGCTCAGAAGAGCAAGCACGAGGCTATTGTGACCATCCAGTTTGGCCACAATGATCAAAAGACTCTTACTCTGGAGCAATACTCTGATAACCTTTCTACTATGGTTGGCGAGGTCAAGAGTGCTGGCGGAACTGCGGTAAGTTGACCTCTAGCTTCCTGACCACATATCTGATGTCTGCAGATTATCATCACGTCACTCACCCGTCGTACATTCAAGGATGGCAGTGTGGTGGAGAACCTTGCGAAAGAGCGAGATGCAGCGATTGCTGTAGCAAACAAGACTGGGGTCCAGTATCTTGATCTCAACGCAGCGAGTACCAAATACGTCAACGCCATCGGCCAAGAGAACGCAGACAAATACAACGAGATAGAAGGAGACCGCACGCATCTCAATTTCTCTGGAAAGACTATTTTCGGAAGGATGGTGGCTGACATGTTGGTTCAGAAGAGGCGTGATGTGGCTCGATATATCAAGAGCAACAAGAAGCTGACCAAGCTCATTGAGGATGGAATTTATGCGACTGGGCAGGAGTAGCTCAGCATAGTGCAGGAAGACTGGAGGAGCATGGTCAGGTTATAATGATAGGCTGTTGTAACAGCCAGGCCAGCTCAAGTCTTTTAAGACGGCAATCTAGGGAAGGCTGAGAACAGTATATGCTTGCTTGAAAATATTATCTTTGGCAACTAAGTGGTATCTTTGTAATATAAAGCAGTGCTATAGCTAACAAATTACATATCGGAGTAAGTGTAGCAGAGAGGACCAGATTGGGTGTCCATGTAATCCTTCACGACAGGCTCCTTATCAGCAAGGTACAAGACAGGCATCTTGTCAGTGATCTTAGCATCAACAGTTCCTGTTGGGGTGACTCGCATGCCGCTGTAATCAGAAAGACGGGTCTCGTTGCGTCCTTGCCACTTAGCCCAAGCACGGTCGACGTTGGCGTGGTGGAGGAAGAAGAGAGGCTCGTTGGGGGAAGTAGCAGGGCCCATATCACCGAAGATAACACTGTGGACTGTGAAGATGTTAGCATGGAAGGGGAGACTAGGAAGTAATGCACATACTCTGAGCGTGAGGAAGACCCTCAAGCATGCTGGACATATCCTTGTAGGTATCAAAGGCGTAGATAGTGTTCATAACCTTGGAGTTGTAGGCAGAGATCTGCATATCACCAAGGATCTGGTCGCCGTTCTCATCCTTGCCCAGACCACCGTTGAACTCACGAGTGAAGCAGTGTAGACGGTCACCGGGGGTGTTCATGTCGGGCCATCCCATAGCAAGGGTCAAGTTGGTGTTGGCAAAAGGACCATCGACGACACATCGTCCAAAGCCAGGAACATCACTACCAGTGCGCTTGCCATCACCACCGAAACCGGTCTTGGGGTCAAAGATAGGAGAGTTCTTCATATCCTCCTTATCGGCATCGATGGTCCAGTCCCAGTAAGGCTGAACACCCTTGTAGTCGCACTCATCCCTGAGAAGATCCTCATGAAGCTGGACGAACCAACGGTGCCAGGGGAGGAAGTTGGCGACGAAGTGAATCTCGGTGTTGAGTTGGAAGTGGGTGTAGACGAGGTCGTCCATGCGGGATGTGACGGCGTTAATGTGGGCGTACTTCTGCTCGGGAAGGTTGCGTGCGCAGACGGCAGCTCGGAGGTATTCCTTCTTCTCGGCGCCGGTGAGTTCACGCCATTCCTTGCGGACGACGGGGTCTTTGCAGGTGTTGGTGGCGCGTGTGAGAGGGCTGGCAAGAGATGTGGCGGCAAGTGCCAGGCTGAGAAGGCTTTGGACGAGCATTTTAACGAATGTATTGGTAACGAATGTGATGTCTGAGCGAGTGACAGATTATTAGGTCCAAATTAACGATTGGCTTGGGTTGGATGAAAGAGATCTAGAAGGGTGCAGCGGCCCAATCTTATATAGTCCCTGATCTAACAAGTAGCAAGGATAACTCACCTCCTCGCTCCAAATTCTCGGGTTGACCCTCCCACTAGTTCCCTTGGCGTTGCATTGACGTAGTAAAAAAGCCAATCAGTTGATCGAAGATCCATTTTTGATCTGTCAAATCTATAAATACGAGCTTGGATACTCGGTCATCTCCTTCTTCCAGAAGCCAAGCGTGCTCAAACCTCTTAGCATTTCTCTTAGTGGAGTCTACGATCCCCATAATCTTCTTTTAATAGCTGTAAGAACTGGGGGTGGTCGGATACCAGGCTGGATCAAGACTAGCCAAATGCTCGGACCAACCTCGCTTGATGTAACATCACCATCACTGAAAATCGTCCGAGACCTCGTGTAGCTTTGGGATTGTTTTCAACGGAATAAACTAGAGAACCTCATATTACTATCCGAATTAAGTACCCAGGTCGATAAGTAACAGCATATTTCATGAATTTATGTAAAAGCTATTGCTAACTAATCAATAGTATGTATGAGCCCCATGTCAAACTTTGCCTCATTTACCAAGTTGACCTAGGGGATTTCCTTTTGAAAACATTAATTACTGTGAAATTATTTTCTGGCCTTATGTCATGGAGTGAAATGGCACATTCGTGACACCGAGACAATTCATTGTCACGAAAGGTGTTGCTAAGCATTAGTCGCTCTCTGCCTGATTATCCGCCTAACTGAAACCTCGCCTGGAAGTAATGCTGTTGTACGAAGATGTGGAACATTACTAAAGGCTATTGCTTGCTTGAATCAAATGAAAGACAGATTCCAGTGACTGCCGAGAAAGACAGGATGATATTGAATAAATCCCCATTCTTCAAACTCGGAGCTATCTTACCCTTGCTAGCAGAGTAGAAAGCAACGTCAGTAAAATAATACTGACAAACGCGTAGATTTGCCGAGCTTTTAGGCAACGTCAAGCGAGACTAGCAAAATTTGTTAAACAATGAATAATCATGCTGAGTGTTAATAGCTATCGAGTTTTTGTTTTCCGGCTGTCCTAAAGGAGCACGTGATTTAACGCTATCACTTCTTATCTGCCCAGGACTTCAAAGACATGGCTGATCATCCCTCAACAAACTCATTCTTGATCTAATGTCGTCTGGCGGTGCGAAAGCGCGAAGAGTCACACAGGCATGTGACTTTTGCCATCGTCGAGGACTCAAGTGCAAATCCGCAGAAAATCCCTCGTCCAACGGACAGTCATCATGCCGAACCTGTATCGAGTTTGGCGAACAGTGTACTCGCAATCGGAAGACAAAGAAGCGCGGAACCAAGCGACATAAGGCTAACCCTTCATCAGAAACAAGTCAAGTCATTGAGGGATCCCCTCCGGGTTCTGATGTGGTGATCTCATTAGAAGCCAAGAAAGTCAAAACTGAGTTGTTGGATGTCTATCTCGATACTGTCCATCCCATGTAAGTATCGACGTCATGTCAGATACACAGGTTGCTCACTGCTCCAGGTTTCCCCTGTTCTGTGAAAGGGAACTCTGGGTTGGATGGAGAGATGGGTCTTTCCCCGCCAGCCCATCAGATTATATGAATCTGGTTTGCATGTGTGCACTCAGCGCCCTCCATGCGAATAATCGCGCACTATTCAGTGATGGCAACCCCACGTCAGAAACATCAACACTGGCGCAGGCTTACCTAAACGAAGCAGAGACACTAGTCGCTAGTCGCGATAAGACTACTGAACCTATAGAGCTTATCCGCTCTTACGGATTCTTGGCTTTGGTGGGAGCTCAGAGCGGGGATAGTGTACTGCTTCACAAATACCTGGGCCTGTTCCATACAATATCGTCTCGGACAAACTTTCACGACGAAGCCAATTGGGCAGCCGAGATCAGTGACTGTGAGAGAGAAGTCAGGCGTCGTCTTTGGTGGGCTATGTACAGACTCGAAGTCCATACCGCGTGCATGTTTGGTACAATGATGCGATGTTCAGAAACTCAATGCGACGTAGGATACCCGTCAGGTCTCCATCATCCTGCCTTTGTGCCAGGGCGTGATGGACAGTTTGAAGACTGGTTTTCTGGTTGGAATCTCACAACGGACCTGTATCGTCTGCTGGAACATGCTGTGTTGAGCCTCCGCTCCAGACGCCGGAAACAAAAGTCAATACTGCAAGACTACTACGGACCGGATATCTCTCAGATCATGTCCAGACTTTCAGAGCTACAAGGCGAGATTCTCCCACAATTTGAGTCAGTCGCGTCTCGATCGTCTGACAGCGGCCGAAATCGATGCGGCTTCCAAACGTGCAACATTCTCTGTACCATTCATCTTGCCCGGATGATGGCTTCGCTCGCCAACCAACAAGGTATTCAAAGTGTATGTCAAGCCGCACGAGATATGATGGAGAATATGAGCTCAATTCTAGATGAGTACATACGTGCTACAGGATCGCCGCTGTTGCAACAACTTGCTGGAGTAGGCCACATGCTATTGAGTACAGCCAAGAAAGATGGGGCGACGAGCTCTCACTATCAGGACTTCCGAGAGGTGGTGACTCTGATCGTTGACCTTCTGGCCCGCTTCAGCGAGTTTAGTTCTCTGGCTGCGGATGCGAGGACCAGAATATGTGCCGAGTTACGAGAGTTTGACGAGAATGTCCAAAGTCTTGACCAAACTTCGGTAATCGAGAGGGATGAGAGCATAGACGAAGTCTCTGATCCAATGTCATACTTGGATCTTGCGATACTTGATGGGCCATTCGATGACCAGGATTTCATGAACGCCAACCTACTGAAAGGATTTGCCTGGCCAGATCTAGGATAACAAGGGGAATTTCCAAGATGCCCTGTTCTTTAATCTCAGCATGTAATTGTTTTAACGCCCTGACGAGTGATGTTTATGCTTTTAAATAGATCAATTATAATACCATTGCTGTTCATCTTACCAATTTCACACTGGGTACTGAAGTAACGTCGCCTGCAAAGGTAATGTCGATGTATAATTAGGAATGGTTGATATAAATGTTGTATCTAGTTTAGATATATCACCTCTAGATCGACGCGCGCTGAATCGCATTCATAGCCATGGCTGTGACAACGCCTCTACTTCCAATTTTGACATCCTTTGTACCGTATCCCCAAAGCCAGGCCAACTCCCACCCGCCATCAAGTTGTTGCTGATCAAGCAAGATTTCCAGGTCTCTCTCACTCTGAAACCCTAGAGACTGCGCACTCAGCGCTCTTAAAGCTGCCCCTAGAGTCTCATCATTGCAGCCCATTCTTTCACGAACGCATTCAACAAGCAAATGTCTCATACGTTGAAGCTGTAAGTCCTGCGGACGCCTGTCACAGAGATCTGCGAGATTGTACAGAAACCAATCTGGGTTCTTATAATAACGGCTGCCATGAAGGTAAGCCCGAGTTTCAAGCATGCGACAGAGGAACTCGTAGACTCCGGGGAGCTTTGTGAACCAGTCGTTGATAACGAAGAAGCGGAAGACGTTGGCGCATATTACATGGCAAAACCGCGGACGAGTTTTGCTGAGCCAGCACTGTAAAGTAGTAAGTATCGAAGTGCGACTTAGTATGTGAAACTTACGAAAGGTAAACCATCCGGGCTCAAATGAGAAAGTATCTCGTCCCTGGCCTGCAACTTCAAACTCATAGGCATATCTTCCAAGACAGCCATAGCGAGCGAAGTAGTATCAGAGTCATTCGGATAGGCTGCATTCGACATCGATAACGTTGGCGACTCGCTGTGGAAATAGTTCCAAGTAGGCCCCTCGCTTTCCAATACAACCAAGTTCCTGCAATCGTCAGCCCACGGCTCGGGAAGGCAACCTGCACAGTTGTGAACATACCTGTCCCCCGTATTCTGGTGAATGATCAGCTGCGAATAATTATCCGGTTGGACCTGTCCCATACTCAGCGTGCAGAACAAATTTTTGGCATTACGTTGTAGAAACCCTTTTGCCCGCATGACAGGATCCCCGAACAGGTTGTGGAGTCGTCTGATGAATTCATCAGTGTTGTCCAACGGAATGCCCTTGAATCCTAGACTCTGAGCAGCAACGACCCTGTCAATCTTGTCGTCGACAAAGATACAGGATGATGCTGATACTCCGATTCGTTCCAAGCATTTGCTGTAGATCGCCATGTCTGGCTTTCTTTCTTGAATATCTGATGATGCAATGAAGCCGTCGAGAATACCCCAGCTTTCGATCTCACTCCTTAGTGCGTCTAGTTCAGGTGCTGGAATGTTCGATAGAACAAAGACCTTTATTCTGGGGTACGTCTGCTTGAGAGCTCTGATTGAAGATATAAACAGCCTGTTTATCTCTGCACCCTCTCTCATCTGCTCAAGCGCCTCGATCCAGGTTTCGAGATCAATGCCAAATTCTTTGCAGATCTTGGTATAACAGTCGTCTTCTGAAGTAAGGCCTTTCTCGTAGTCATACCAATCAGGAGAATCGAGTGCTGACTTTATTAGACTAGCAGAGACCTTAACAGTGTTTTTGGTTGAGTAATTGACAAGGACACCGCCCAAGTCAAGGACGAGGGTGGTGTATTCCTGGCGCGATGTGGTGGGCATGTTGGAATTTAGTCTCTCATTGAAGTGTTAGTAATATGTGGGAGGCTGAGATCGGGGTCTTATAGCTCACTGAACGATGGTGACTATTGCCATAAGCGATGTTCTGGTTGGAATGCAACTGCAAGTCAAGTCCGAGTCGTTGAGGATGCAAGCAGGGGAACCCTGTGGTGTTATATAGAGGTTCTTCCGGCGAGAGGCAATTGCATGTGACTGCTAGAATCCTGCAGGTTACCAGATTCAGAAGTCTCATTCTTCAGAATCACCGTCCTTAACAAGAGCCACTCATTTCACATAATCTTTGAATCAAAGACAATCATAGCATTGTTAATATCAACACCTAACCCGCAACTGGTTTAGGTTCACCCTGGCCAACTTCTGACCTATAATTGTTCCAAGATCGACCGCTGCTATGTGATCCAGCCTGCCAAGGGTATGAAAGGGAAAGCGTTTTGATACCCTATTGGAGGAAATGGCCGACAAGGAACTTTTGCTGGAGCAGATCCGGTTGTGCCGTGTCTCATTATCAGGTGGTGACACAAACAGCCACAATATAATTCCGACATATGCCGGCGACAAGACCACGGGTAGTATTAATCCGAGTGTCTCTGACTATAATGACAAAGACAACGCCGTTCCTTTGTTTCAATCAATACAATGAAGTTAGCCCCACCATTAGGAGAGTTCTTCTGCGACGGGCTTGATAGATGATAACAAACAAGCTATCTTCAGGATTCCTCTGTGACGCTTCCAACTCGAGTCCTGACTGGCTTCCTCTGGATCTTTCTATCCGCCGACATCTCGTGTGCTGCTGGCTCATTCGCAGGCATCTCCGACTCCTCGTTTGATGACATATTGATCTCTTCGGGTACCTTGGGCGCGGATCCCTCGAGCTCGAAGGTTGGACGTACGATGCAGTCGGAGTGCAACTGTGGCTTATCCTCCTTTGGCTCTTCCTCGTTGGCCACAGGCCCTTGCTCTGCCCTATTTATTCCTCTGCGCTTGTACCAGCGGAAGAAGAGAAAACCGAGTAGTAATAACAGCACAACGGAAGGGACAACAGGACCAATGATTACGGCAATATCTGGACCAGATGCTTCAGACATGTATTAGTCATTGTAACCATTATGCCGGTGCAGCTCACCTTCTGGACTTGACGATGATGTTGCCACTGGAGACGGAAAGTCTTGCCATTCAGTTAGCTGAGTGCCTTTAGCAGTCAAGCGAAAAAGCTCACACTTGAGTGTCTCCGTAGCTGGTTGAGTGCCTAAAGTGTACACTATAGGTCTAGACTTGTAGTCTAGAGCCGTCGTCACAATGCAACCCTCGCAGGGAATTGAAGGAAGCTCAGTGGAAGTATCGGTGGCGTTCTTGGCACCGGATTCTAGCCAACAAGAAAAAGACATATGTCAGGCCATATTGTCACTGTAGCTGTATGATAGGCAGATCACCTAGCGCCATGGTGTACGTATCTTGTGTCGTCACTGCTATAAATGGATGTATTTGGATTCGTAAACTTACAGCTAGAGCCAAAGATTATGCTACTCTACGAGCACTTTTGCTTGTAGCCTCATCGAGACTAATGCTATCGACATGACTGCTAGAAATGCAAAGTCTTATTTGCAAGAAATCCTACCCTCGGGATTCTAAACAAGAATAACTTACCGAGTGTGTACAACTCTGGAATTGCCATTGAACTGATTACTACTTCAATAATATTGGCCCTGCTTGCACCTTTCCCTGATCACACATGGAAATCGCTTGTCCATTCATGAGTCCTTGTATATATGATTTACCGACGAAAAAGAAGTGTTCTTTCTCATATCCGAGAATTCTCAATGTGAATACTTCAAATCACAGTAACGGCTTTGCATATTTAATTGCTGCGAATAACGGTCATCTAGAGGTGGAGGATATTTTGAGGAAACATGTTGTTTGTATACAGCTTTAGGCTTCAGTAATTATAACCCTTCTTTGAAACTGGAGTTGTGTACATCCCACTTGTGCCGGCTGTTGTGATGGCTCAGGTGGTTTTCTAAAACCTAGCGATTATGAACCTTCCTATTCCTGGGTCTTTTGTCGATCCCGCTTCTTCATCGTGTATATCTCCTTTGCAATTTGCTTTACTTGACATCCCATGTGTTGCGCCATAGGCCACATAGCAGCATACTTTAGAAGGGCACCGATATTATAACGCATGCTTTGGCGGAGGTCATCATCATCTTGTGCCACAAAGGCCAGTGCCCATCTACTGAGATGGATTGTCGATGATAGTGTTACCATGTAAGCAAAGAAATGAGTATGTTTGAGGAGAGGAACGCGATGCATGATCAACTTGCTGAGCTCCGTCGCAGACCGGATAGTTCGTCTAGTATGTGAGTTGAAGGTATCCTTGGACAAGGCAGGCGTGTTCGGTGCGCAAGCCTGAATGTGGTAAGTTGGCGACGGATCTAGTTGTGAGTGAGGCTGGTGTAGTAGAATAGTGATAGCGTGCCACATCATGATAGCCTGAAACAGCATTTCATCTGATTCGCCCTTAGCATAAGTGTCGTATTTTGAAGGTGGTAAACGAAGCATCCAATTGGCGAGGAGCTTGTCGATATGTTCGATCTCCGTTGGCGTCCTTTGGAGGATGCCTAGGAAGCAGGCACATTGAATTCGATAGGCATACGACGACAATGGCCTGCCGTCGAACGGCCCGATGTTCTCCAGATTATTTGGTTGCTTCGGGGGAGGTATTTCCTAAATCTTATGAATATGGCGCAAACCAGGGCCTCTATCGGGCGACTTACTCCTGCGAGATACTGGGACTCTTCACAAGGCAGAGCAACATTTGAAGGGACATCGTACAAGGTAAAGATGTCCGTTTGATGCACACCAGACATAAGGGCATCGACAACATAGAGCTCCCACCATGTCCTCCGCCAGCTCTCTTCAACTATCGGAGATCCTTGCCCGTTGGCGGTTGCAAATAAATGGCTGTTCATACCTAATTGGATTGAGATATCCCGGGCTTCTGCCATGAGATTCCTGGCCTTTTGAAGTCGATGGTTTCCGTCAAGTCCAATGGCAAGAAGCAACCTTGCCTGCACCAAAAAGCCGTCTTTGACAGTGTTACCATCTATTAGACGAGATGCCTCTCTGAACAGGCTGGGGGAGGTGTCTCGCTCAATATATAGGGAACCAATCCACCTCATAGCAGCAAGCAAAGGCTCCAAGGGAGTCTCTTGTGCTAAGAAAATAAGAGGCTCCTTTGGGAGTATAAACGGATGGGCGGCGTAGAAATTTCGATAAAATGACTCAAGGTAACAATCCCTCTGAGGAAGTGCCCGGGGCATTTCGTAGTCAAAGCCCAGGTGCGGATTGCCGCTTATGCTGCCAAGCGGTGTCTGGAAGGAATAGATAGACAACGTGCTTGAAGGGGTAGTTTGAGAAAACATGCCAATTGGGGGCCCTGTATCAGTACCCGAGTGCTCTGGGGCGACGCGCGAGATTACGGAGGGATCGAGGATGGAGGGAAATTCCGCTGCGGACAAGGGGGGGACGGGATCGATTGCTGTCTCCGTGACCGTGACAAGTGGACCATGGTTCTTCGTTGCCTCAAGATGATCAATGGATTCGGCGACCATACGTTTACGGCCATTGTATCCGCGACGGGAAGCGACATAGACACAATCCTGATTGGCAGCTCTGCAGCGGGAACAAGGACGTTGCCCGTCGCATTTCAGATGCTTTCTACGCTAGAGGCAAGACTAATATCAACATTCAGCTCGTTGAGAGTAATGTGGAGAACTCACGCAAACAAGACACGCAGCCGGAATTGAAGGATAGTGACGGCGAGGACCAACAGTCGCACAATGCGTTGTAGATGGTAACATAGAGGTCGTATGTTTGTGAGGCCCAGCAGACGGCTCCGAGCTCTGAGCGGTGAGGATCACGAGCCGATTGTTCTCGCCCGGGGGCGTCTTGGTCTCGTTGACTGCATTTCGCGCGTGCATTGTGTAATAGTTAAATTCTTCCCAATAGTAGAGATAGCTTCTGGTTAGTGTCAGAGAGTTTTTAAGTATAGCAAGGTAGCTGTGTATGAAAATTCCAGAATTATCAGAGGGCTGACAACATAGAAACGCGCGCAAATGATAAAAATGCCACGGTATATTTTGAAATTCAGCCGCTCTGGCTTTTTGCCGCGTCCTGTTGATCCCGGCAGTATTAGCTAATGGCTGACACGGAATTTGCCGAGACTTTCCGTAAATTCTGACAGCGCAGTTTCAAAAAGAGCTAGAGCCACCACTAAGCCACTGTTACTGTAAATGACAGGGACTTTGTTTTGAAGCATCGGCCTAGCGGCGGTTTATTCTCGCTGATGAGGTCAGAATAGGTTACCCTGAACTAATAAGCCCGGTGAATTTAGTTAGATAGCAGTTACTAGAAAAAACCTGGAACATCGTTAAGTATCTTGCGAGGACGGAGTTCTAGTTGGCTGTGGAATTGCAAACATCTCATGGTCTTAGCTGTCTGAAGAACTTCAACTACGATGTTAAATTAACAATCATACAAGGAGGATATTTAGCAGATCTGGGAGGAATACTGCAGCCCAAAATTCCCGCTATATTGTATCTAAATTACCCTTCTTGTTCCGGGACAAGGCCTAACTGCACTCAACTTATCCACGATCGCTTTGCGTCGTGAATGCTCTATAATGACAGTTTGGTGAACATTGTGGTGATCCTTGATCTTGGGAGCGATGGAGTTGATGAACTACGTTAATTAGTCACAATATTTGCGTATGTATGAGTTTGTAAATATAAACGCTTGGACTTGATTCCGTGGACTGAGGGGGGAGTAACGATTTCCTTAATAGTATTATTAGTAGTAGGGTTAAGATTGGACACTTCAAAGTCACTAACTTTATTACTACCTACAGACAACCTAGCACATCCAAATAATGCTAGGGATCCATAAGATATCGGGGATCCACCTAACATCGGGGATCCACATGACAGGGGACCCGCATTCATCGGTGATCCCTTGAGTGTCAGGGGTCTACTGATTGTCGGGAAACTTAAACACAACTAAATCATGCCAGATCCTGGACTAGCTAAGATTGATGTAACCTCTATCTTACGCTCTTAAGGTACACACCGCTATCATCATGTTTTGAAGGATCTTGGCAGTGACTTGAAAAGATCTCCGTCTTACTCTGGGCTGCTGGCAGAGTAGACCACACCTACACTAGTACGAAGATGGCAATTTCACCCTAGCTTACCCAACCTTACCTACGTGCACATCCCAGATAGCTTGTCAGGGTAAACATCTTCCCGCTTTCCCGTAACTCATTGACACTGTTTCCCAACGGTAGTGCGAAGTCTCCACTGCTCGTTTCGCAAGGTAGCATAGGGTTGCTCCTTGACTTTGACAAAACACCTACTGATGTTCACTTGTAAACCTTGGCGAATTAAGTTAGAAGCATACCTGTGCGGGCCAGAGTCTTACTCCAGTCTGGTACGGCGAACTCCATTTTCAATGTAGACAGATGCAAGGAACGATACTTAGTCTCCACGGCTGTATGCAGGGACTTCTAGGTTAAAGTGCAACACATTTCCTTTCAGTTTTACGAATCCATCACCACCATAACAACCCGTATTAACTTCACTTATCTAAAACCCCAGAACCTATAATGGCTCCCCAATGGCTCGAAAAGTTCATTGTGCGTGTTGACGCTACACCAGAGATCTCTTCAGAGCCAATTTTGACTTTTCAATACAGCACGGAAGCTGATCACGAACGAACCGTCAGTGTGGCTGGAGCATCAACTCCTGCTTATGTCATTAAGCGTAAAGCTAAGCTTGGCGGTATCTATGGAGATGAATGCCAAGTATTTACTACCGCTGACGGTGGACGACAAGTGGCTTCCATCGACTTTCACACATTCCCGCCAAGAATCGAAATTGACCTCCTTCAAGACGCGGCAGACGCCCGCAAAATCAAGATCAAAACCTACAAAACAAAACGGGAATACGAAGCTCCAAGTGTTCTTGGGGTCCTGTATTGGAAAGGCACAGGCATGGTCGCTTATGGAAAAGCCTCGTGGGAGCTTAGGAGCGATGACGATCTTGTTCTACAAGTGAGCGTGGACGACACGCAGAGCAACGGTATTATTAAGCTGTTCAAAGACAAGCTCAACGATCAAATAATCGAAGAACTCTTAATCGTTGGAATGTCCCAGATTGAGGAGTACAAGAGAACGATAAGACTCGGCAAAACAAGTGCTGCTATGCTTGTGTTGTAATAAAGGTCTCAAGTTTCACGACATATTTCAGACCCCTTGGAGTTGAGACTGGAATGGAGTGGACTTGGATCCAGCTGTCAATTGGCACAGGAAAGGTTAACCTTATACTTATGGTTAGCTAGTATTAGTTCAGGATTGGTGAAATACAGGGGAAACAGGATTTAGTAATATAAATCGACATTATCCTTACCGGATTTATATCTATTTGACCATATGATGGGTGCGGTAAGAGGGGATTGGTTGCTGCGACTGTGAGGAAGGAAACATGCAACCAGTCCAGACAATGAATTGGAAGACCAAGCAGTCTACACTGCGAAAGCATTCAAGGAATATGGTGTATTTGACGAAAGTTGGGCCGAAATCGTGGATGCATGGTTTGCGAATGCTCTCGACTAATCACGCTTATCGATTTCAACATCTTCAGCAAACACGTTCCTCTATATTCACTATGTCTCATATCACCAGTTCCGTGAGGCAGTGAGGTTATATCTGATGCCATATCCAGCCATCTCGTGTTACTGGCCTCAGCTTTGAGTAATCTCTCACTGCTAAGTTGGCGATAAGAATGACGCCATCTGAACGAGACCTACCACCAGCGACGGCAGAGCATAGCTTCAATGAGCTCCACTGAGCTTCATATGGACCTTCGAGCTGAAGGGGCTGTGCTTGAATAGAATACGGCAAATCATTGGAGGCGTACTTATTCTAGACGGTCGATAACGGCACAGCATGGCAATGCCTTCAGACCCTGCACACAGCCGCGCATTGACCAATCGGAGAAGCGAACACCGGGGAAAGCGACTGACCCGCTGACGTGAGCCCCGAGGTTCGCTGACAGTGGCTGCTCGAGCTGAAATGCGCAGACAACTTGATCAGGACTTTGCACTTAACGAATCCAGAAAAAACTGGCAATGTTGGTAAAGCACCGGATCAAGAGTGCAAGATGGACCTCACGGGATAAGAATAAGGAAGTATAAGTAATGCCCCAGGAAACAAGTCGGAAAACAATTCTTCCTTCACTCATCACCGCTCATCCTGCTTGTGACCAAACTCAATGATCATGAAGAGCCTTTTTCTTTCTTTTCTGTGGCCTCTTGTAGCCAGCGCCGCTATCTGCAAGCCGCCCCCCTCCAAGTTGAGAACCGCTTGCAAGTTGGCTGCAGTTGACAACGTGGATATGAGCGTTGGCTTCGATTACAATAGGGACTGTGCCCCAAGCACCGGAACTCTCAATGGTTTCATGATCTTTGTTGACTTTTCGGATGCCGAACCTGCTGAAGGCGAGACGCCCCGAGCGCTCTACGACGCCGTGGTCCCCCAATCTACCGAATGGTATAAGCAGGCCTCTCATGGGGCTCTGTCCCTCAATATCACAGCTGATTTGTCCAAATTCTACCGCATGCCCGCATCGGCTGCATCCTATGGCTGGGAAAGAGGTCTGACGTGGGCAGAACATCAAGAATACATTCAGGATGTTCTTGACGCCTATACAGCTAAAGGCACTCGGCCCCCACCTCCTCAAACAGATGTTCTCTATGTTGTTCCCGTCAAAAGCGTCGGTGGAAGAGGGATCTCCCGATCCATCACCTTTGCCACGCGGGCCAATACCAGACAGGGTGAATGCGTTGCCAGGAAGACTGTGACTCTTGGAACAGACGCATTCATGACTTGGGGACCGAAAAGCTGGATTGCATTGGCTCACGAAACTGGACACACCATGTGCTTGGCCGACCTCTACCCATTTGAAGATCTTGGCTTAGGTTACTACGTCGGTGGCTGGAGTGCAATGGGGGACGTATCTGGCGTTGGACCTGATTTCTTCGCTTGGGATAAGTGGCGGATGGGCTGGATTGATGATACGTCTGTCGACTGTGTTTCGAGACGAGGGACTACACAGCACACTCTTACCCCGTTAGAACTAATGGACTCTGCCAATAACATCAAAGCCGTCGTCGTCGCCGTCAACACAACCTCGGCACTTGTCGCAGAGGCCCGTATACCCGAGGGGCTCGACTCAGGCATATGCGCCCCCGGCGTCTTGCTCTATACGGTGGACACATCGGTCAAGACAGGCTACGGTCCTATCCGTGTTCTAGATGTAACCCCAGGTTCACGTGGCTGTGGTACTGGTAGCGTCTACGACAAAAACGACGGCACGCTGTCCCTTATCCCGGGTGCAGTGAGCTCGTACAGCGTCCCTGGCTGGGGAGTTAAGGTTGCTGTAGTAAAGCAGACAAACACGAGCTATACTATTGAAGTTGATACCCATTTCTAGGGGTTAGAACTCATACTGGATGGGTTTTGGTGGTGGACTATACAGGATATGAAGGGAATTCAGCAGCTTGAGTTATATATTCAATAACATTGAAATCCCTATGTTTCTACTCTCTTTATTCTTGACTCGGCTAAACATGCTTGGACACGTGTGGCAGAACTACCTACCGTTAGCCATCGCTCCCTGTCCGTGATTCCGCTTAACTTTGATAACACAAATGCCTTCCGTCGTGGTTTCGTCTCAAGCTTTTTCTCATTCATCTAGGAACGAAAGTATTCTACATATATCCATTCAAGAGTCTTACTAGTAGCTATTTAATTAAAGGTCTATGTGGTTTAGAGTAAATCTATGTAAACTTAGAACTATACAAGATGGTTGAATTATCGTAGGCTAAATAAAGGCTGTTGGCAGTGGAAAGGTAAGTGTAGCTACTTCACGTGAGATGAATTTGGGTCGTCACAAATCGCTATAATCTTAGGGTATTAAAGTAAATCAGTCCACATGCTGTTATGACAGAGTTTGAGAAATGATTGAAGGTGGGGAAGTAAGATTTCGTATCTGCAGCACTCCCCCTCTGATAAGCATTATCTCTCATCTCGTGAGAAGTATCCGCAATATTGTGTACTTAGGGGGAAGCGGTGTGATCCGAGCCCTTACGCTTAATTGAATGTAACCACTCTCCGCATTAGTCACACTGTTGTCAGATGTAAGTGACACAGCCACGCCAGTCACAAATTGACCAATGAACCTTTTCACCAAGGCTGACAGATTTTTCACCTTCTGTGATAAGTCATTCTTTCTCTAGAGGGCTGTGGCCTCCCCTGCTGGAAGCTACCTCGGTTAAGTCTGGCTGAATGAGCTAATGCTGCAACTTCGGCTACCCCGAATGGACTAGATTGGTCGTCATGCACCAAAATGCAGCAAAACATGTTATAACAAAACATCAATCGTATCATCAAAGCCGAAAGCCCGCTTACTTCGATTATCTAGATGTAAAATGATGGACCATCCAAGGGACCAAAACTCAGGTAGCGGTGTTACCGAATTGCGGCTGAGATGATGGGAATGTAACTAAATGAAAAATTGCAAAGGTACCATTAATGTCAAATCCACCATGTCGTAGCATAAGAAGATGACAGACCCGCGCACATAATCCCACCTCAAGAGTCAGAACCAAGCATCCCTACATCAGAGACGCAATATCGAATCACAATGGACGTTGGTGTCCCCTTTAGCTACGATTCATACTCAAACCGATTCGACCCTCATGATGAAGTCGACGATAGCTATGCCGAGAAAGCATTTTGTCCGGATTCCGATCAAACAGTTCTCCTCAGGAGGCGATATGTACGGAATAAGCGTCGAGGGGCTTTCGACACCGCCAGACTCTGCTTGCGTGTCTTAATCCTTTTACTCGACCTTAGCATTCTGGGTTTGCTCATTCATGGACTCAACGTTTGGGGGACAAAACCAGAATCTGTAGACAGGAACGGAGACGTCTGGACGAGAACTCAATGGTCTTCAGTGAAAATGGTTCCAACTTGGTTGATGCTAGCAATCGCAATATTCGCTTCTTTCGTACAGACGGTAGCTATAGCAACCCATTTCACTTTGGTAAGTTAATGTCAAGCTACCAGCGCCTATTAGCAACATTCTAACGTTACGATAGCCTCGGTCATTGCGTGACGGCTGGGCACATACTGCTTCCGTACTGGGCAGCTCCAGTGTTGTGATCGCAGGCTGGTTTGCCGCAACTGTTTACATGATTATTGATAAAGAAGTTCTTCAGCATAGTCACTGGGACTTGTGGTCTTGGTCATGTCAGAACAGGGCAGGTTTATGCATAGAAATAGTAAGATAATACTCTATCCCATGTGAATAACAATTACTAACAACCACTTATAGTCCTACACATTTGGTGCCAGTCTTGCTGTTATAGTACTTGAAATTATTGGCCTGGTTTTATTTATTATCTCGCTAAGAGGGGTATATATTATCGGAAAGTACAACCGGGCTAGTACAATCTATTAGCAGAATTGAAATCCAAGCCTATAAACACTTGACCCTGTACCATCTTGTGTGGTCAACTGCTTCAGAGAAACTTTAAATTCCTTGTTATATATTGTAGCTTTATTGTAACTATGCAGCACCATCTCTTCAGCTAACATTTATCGTTATCATATCGGAGAATGACATTAAACAAGCCGGGATCGTGAAAGCGCTGGCCCCCTGTAACCCACCCAGTAAGGTCGCCGGCATAACTAAAATAACGACACTCATTGTTGCAAGCCTTGGCACCATTGGCAACATCATCCCATGACTTGATCCATTTCTCGAATGGGTTCTGTTACAGTTAGTACTCTTTCATCGCTATATACATTAAAGTAATCATTTTATACACTTACGTCGTTGCATAGATAGATAGCGGCTTTGTCTGAACAACTAATTCTATCGCAGGCCCTGGGGCCAGGACGAATGCGGAGATCGCCTGGGATACGGCGCAGGTAGGCGATCCCTGTACTAATGTGCCTTTCTTCGGCAACAGGAAAGTTGTAGCAAATGTTATGGTCACGCTTCTGAAGTGCTCCCCTTGCTTCCACTTCGGGAACTGCAGTAGTAAGCTCCGACTCGTGAGCTTGTATATCTTCTTCGATTTTTTCCAAAGCTTTGGCAGCATAATCGGGATAGTCTGTCTTTAACTGATCCATGACCTTCTGGATAGTACCATGAAAAATCACAGGAGGCTTTCCTTTTTCAACTTGAATTCGCCAAGTAGGCTCTGGGGCGTTGTCGAGTAGTTCATCTGTAACGCCGGCAACGGGCACAGCGGAAGCCAGAGTCTAAGGGTATGATTAGATGATGTCAGGTAATGCGAGAGATTGTCAGCGACAGACCAAGCTGCTAAGGGCCAAGAAGGTGACGATAGATTGACGCATATTGAGGAGAGGTAGTTGAAGTCGGAGAGTCCTTTGTTGTTCCTGCTATGTTTGAAAGGGACTGATGACGCTTCTGCGATCAATAAACCAGTTGAGAATCTACTCTCATTTATAGTTCTCCAGTTGAAAAGACATCATGCTTACTTTGTCAACTATAACCTATTATTAGACATTATCTTCAAGCGCCCCAAAGCAATGGCCTCAATCGGTTACATCGAGAAATCCTTCTGAGCTACTGCCTTTGACTTTATTTGTAAATACTACACTGTTGTAGCGGCACAGTTCTTGGCGTTGACTGTAACTATGTCCCCAATAGGCAGCTCTAACATACTCCGTCTTCCATTACAGCATCTTGTCGATTAGATTGTCGCTTAGATAGAGGCGTTGCTTCCAATAGGTCAACATAGCTAAAGGGGATAGAAAAGACACTCTAGCATTGCAACTGGGATTTTAACTAACCCACTAGAGCTAGTAATTATAGGTAAGCACAACTGTATATTTATGACACAGGTCTCGATATACAAATGGATCTATCTTATAGGCTATAGGTATGCACTCGTCTCTATCGTTACTAATCTACTCACTCTCTTCCCCCTCAACCGCACCTGTCTCCCTTGTATCCACCTTTTCCCTCAAAACCATATTTTGCTGCCACCCAGACTTAACGATATTTAGACGCTGTGCCGTCGCCTCAGGGTCATCCAGGTCCTGGAAGCTGGTATACTGGCCCAAGAGCAGTACGTCCCCGGGGTCCATCTGCATGCAGACGGTCCGGAGCATAGCCTCGGCCAGGTAGTAGCACCGTGCCTGGGTACTCATACCTTTGGAAGCCAGGATCAACGTCGAACGCATGGCGTCTGCCTCTTCGCCCCCGGCCTCGTTACTGGCATGTAGCTCGCCGATGGCCATAAAGCAGAGGTTGGTCAGGAAAAAGAACGCCCACGTGTTGTACATGTCGAAGCCGTGTCGTAGGTAGTATATCCGGAGGACAATTTCATAGTTGCACCGCGCTTCTTGCGCAATTTCTTGGATGCTTTGACCCTGTAATGTCAGCTTGACCTTGTCCGCCGGGTCAAGATCCTCAAATAGGCTCGTGATAACAGCCCAATACTGGAAACTGTCCCAAGTATTAGTGATTTATGATAGCCAGCAGAACTGGAAGGATGTCTTACTGCACACTAAGCTGGGACGGCAGAGCTGCATTCTCTGCCTGCAATGGTGCCGGAAGCTCGTGGTACCACGAAGCTAGTCGTGAGTAGAACCGCGCTCTGTGGTGCAACTACAACCGTTCGTCAGGGCCCTGAGAGGCAATCACACTGGCCAAGTCCCTAAGGATAACGCGGAAGTTGAGCTGCGCATGGTAGGTTGCCGGGAATAGCGCTGGCACCACTACGTTACTCAAGGGATAACGAACCCAGAGCTCGTCGTACCAAGCCGAGTCATGACTCGGGTCTGGGATAGACGTATAAGGCTCTTCATTGAGGAGTGGCGGGATCTTTTTCGCGTAGCTTACGATACTATCGTGAATCAAGTCAGCGAACGTGTAAGGCTACACATTAAACGGATGGGGAGCATAAGATCGTACGCTTGCCAGGAAAACACAGCCCACGCTGTGAATTCGCGTGCCACTCGCCAATCGGCACTGAGTGGACTGGCCACAGGTCCTAGCAAGCCCATGCGCTTAGCCATACCCACAGCCTGCATCAGATAGCCCTGCGAAATCTCGTCCATAGCCTGCTCGTTAATAGTTTGGTTGAGCACCAACAGCGCCTGGATCGTCGTTAGGCGGTCCCGGTCGCCCTCAAGCTCGAGTAGGCGCCGTGTCTCGGCCAAGAATAGGTATCCGTAGTTATTGGGATCCCAGTACTCACTACGCCGCGATAGCTCGGGGGTGACATGGCATGAAGCGGCAAGGACAGCGTTGACCAGCAGCGAGCTGCAGAAGCGGCGGCGGCCTGCGCGTAAGTCAAGTAAGAAGAGACCCTTATGGAAGTGGGTGAAGACCGGCCATGAGTGGAGGAGGTACGTCTGCATGAGCCTTTGAAGGAAAGCCGGAGTTAACTGGACGCTGGTCCAGCGGGAGATATTAGCGTCAGTGAGAAGCGGCTCTAAAAGGGTAACAGCGCTGAAGGGCTTAGTGTAACAGTCCAAAGGGTGCGGTATGGAGCTGGAGGACGGCGTCCGGGGCGCCTGGGAAGATGAAGATGGTGCATTAGACACCGGGTCAGAGGCTGAGCTAGACACTGGAAATGGCGGCTCAAAAAGAAGGGACCGCAGGTAGCGACTCTTGCTTCGAAGTAGAAAGGCCGGCATCTCCTTGCGAAAGGGAAACTCGTAGCCATAGCGCGCCTCGGGCATAAGGTTCAGCTGCAGCAGCACATCGCCATGCTCAACGCAGCGCACAATGTCGTTAGGTGCGTTACCACGGCGGACGCTATTAAAGATAGCCAAGGCCTCATCCCCGGAGCGGTCGCGCATAAGCTCGTACAGACGGCGGAGACCCGCACTGCCCTTATCGCTGTCCGAGAGCTTACGCTTCAGGGACGTGATCTGGGCGTCCTTGGACTCGTTCAGGCTGTAGACGCACTCAGCCCGGTTGTCAAGACACTTGAGACATGGCTGCGCGCCGTTACACTAGATGGAGGATGGATGAGCAAGCGAGAAGAGTTTTGGGGGACTGGGCCCCGGTACCTTGATTTTCTTGGCACGGCAGCTGTCGCAAGCTAGCTTGACAGTGGTCCTCTTTGGTGGGAGCTTGGTCTGCCTGGGTAACCTTGGAGTCGCGGCCGGAAGCTCGCTATCGGAAAGCTTTGGCTCCAAGCGACGCAGCGCCGCCATGCTGTCTGTTTTTCTACTCAGACACCGGCACAAAAAGGTCGTTAGAAATGTGTTTACCGCTCGGCCTGTTTTCTCTGATAGTGTCCTCGACAACTACTCATCATCATTAGCAAATTACCGCTAGACCAGGTATCTGTTAGCCCGCAAAGTGTCCAGCGCGTTCTTACCCCTCTTCTGTTTTGAGACATGCATAGATTGACATGATTGGCCCGGGATAAAGTTAGCTAGCCTGCAGAGCACCCATTCAGTTATCAAAGTCTTTTAACAGTAGTATGACCGCCAGGCTAAGTAATATTTACTATCGGAAGGCTTACTGGTACTGAGCTGACCAGAGATCCCATATGTTGGATTTGTCCCCGCGTCTGGTCAACGCACTTGAAGTAACATTCCTTGTCACGCCTCGTATAACACAACCCTCAGCCTTGTCTGGAATCTGTTCCTCGTTGAAAAGGTCTGTTAGCCATTGAACAGCCGCTCCATAGCTATTGACTGCCTCTTCGTAGTGCGAGCCAACCGAGTTTCTTTCGAAGAGAATATCAGCCCCAACACCACAGTACCTCTCCACCAGTGCATCCGTCTCAGATATCTTAGCGATCTCATCAGGAACAGCCTGGTAAATAAAGAGTGGCCACCGCGGAACACCGTAGTATCCCATGACGCCCTCCCGATTGACAAGGGCCAAGATCTTGGGATCGTTAAGGATACCAGTACTATTCTGGAAGTACTTGTTGATATCCTGATTGGCATATGTCGTGCCTGACTCGGAAATGGTAAATCCTTCAGCGGCTGAGAAGCCTGTCCTGTTGTATTCACCGCCAGCGTTGAGCTTGGAGACAAGGTACTTGCGAACCTCGGGGTATTGAGCAGTCAACCCCAAAAGTGCGTTGGGGATCAGACCAGCTGTAGCTTCACCATTAACCGATTTCATAAGAGTGGTAACATTGGCCGGTGGAGCTCCAAGAGCAGCACCAAGAATAGTTCCCGATGTCAGATCGGGCGCGTACTGTACCGCGAGTTCTGATGCCCACTCGCTGGCTAGTGCACCACCAGAGTAGCCCCAAAGAGCAACTCGAGAAGTGTTCGTCAGACCGAGATCAAGGGAGAGAACCGCACGGATCGAGTCCAAAGTCGCATAACCAGATATGATGCCAGCTGTGAAAGCGCCTAAAGGGCCCTCATAGTCAGGAACAGAAACATAGAGACCGGCGCCTAGAGCAGTCGTGTAGCTGGCAGAAGATTCGGTACTTGCGCTATACACACTGTAGCTAGGACCGGCATCGACATCCGGAGAGTCATAGGGTACTTGAAAAGAAAGAAGGGCATTCTGTTGGGCAGCACTGTTGGCACCGGGCTTGGGAACAAAGAGAGTAGTAACAGCCCAAGTAGGCTTAAAATGACTGTCGGTTGTGCGATAAAGAATATTGTAAGAAGCTGAACTGTTGGCGGTGATACTGGTCAAGTTGCCTGGGGCAGGTCGAACCCGTAAAACAGTCCCAGGCGCCTTGTTTTCGAATCCAGATGGCGCGGTGTACCATGGGTCTTGGCTTGGCGGAATTGGTTCCGTCAATGGCTCACTCTGGTTGAAGAGTGGACTCTCAGCGGTGGAAACAAATCCAAGCCATAGGTTCAGAAACGCGACCAAAAGAAGGGATTTCATCTTGAGACAGAAGTTGCAGCAGCGAGCTGTTTGCAATTATCAGGCGAGTACGGATACATTATTTATCTGAGAAGCTCGGTGCATTTAACGTTGGATTCACTATGTTAATAGTCCGAGTAGAGAGAGCTATTGGCCGTTGATGCCGATCTGTGACTGGGGTAAAATGAGTCATTGTGAGTTGAATCCAGGGTAGGAGTTTGAGATGCAGCACCACAAAGATGTCTAGCAATTGCCAGACGTGGAAAGAGGCAGTAAAGCAAGTATGCAATAGAACATTTTCTCTTCTTTAATCCCAATTTTAACAAGGTTCTGTACATGATTGAGACGAATTGACCTACGCACAATATTTGGTCCGTGTGAACAACGTTACTCTGTTCCTGTTGGTGTTTTGACCCATACATTGGTATCTGCAAGGGAGTAGCCTCGGACTCAGTCAGGCTCCGGATCCGTGGCCGATAAACAGCCAAAAGGTGGGTCAGCAGTCGTGCTTTGACCAATGACATCGCCGCGTACTGAGGACCCACCGTTCAATCAAAGGCTCATTGACCCAGTTTGATTAACTGAAGTACGTACCCCTTGTTTCAAGGCCTTACACATCCAAGGCCTTCCATCCGTGCAATCGTGCCATCAATCGGTTAAATAGAAACGCGCCGAACTATACGCAAGAAAAAAGAAAAAAAAAAGAGAAGAGTAATTGATCAACCGTTCCTGAAATGTGTGATTTTACTATCGTGATTTATCAGTACATGTTGTCATTTGTGCGGCCTCAGTTTCACCAGGTCCTAGTCTCCTCTCTCGTTCTTCTTTTCTCTATTAGATCTTGCTCGGAGCTTGCCTCAATACGTGAAGCGACTGCTCCACATTGCCGTCAGAATAGTCTCTACTAACAAGCCATCAGAAGGAGTTTTAGCGCCATGAACAGTAAAAATATGGACATCAAGTCAATCCTGGAGAATCCTCGCACGTACAGTAGAGTGTATTGCGCTTCGACTTTGGTAGGCGTCTGCACATATGCTGCGCTGATCATCATTTCTACCCCAAAGTCTGGTGCCGCGTCTCTACTACGATACTCCAGTCCTGCGGTCGTGCTTACAGTGGGGCAACATCTCTTCCAAGAGCTCCATGGTATCAGCGGCAGTCTTTCCCATCGAAGTGTGTCTCTGGCGCTCACAGCGCTGTTCATACTCCAATGCTGCAACTTCTTGGTTATCAAACGATTTGATGCCAATGACCTAGCCGAGGAAAAGATCTTGCGACGCTCTGATAGCCTGGTCATCAAGGTATATCGAGTTGTCTGCCTCATTTTCAACGTCCGAGGTATCGGAACTCCCTGGCAAGCAAAGCATCTCTCCGACTTCCCCAAATTCTATACTGGTCAGAACGGGAGCCGAAAGCCGACTCGCAGGCGGTTTATCGCTCGCCAGCTAGTCATCGTCGCATGGCAATATCTCCTGCTCGACTTTATCTACGCTTCGTCGATGGAGACACTACCTGAGGACACCCAGAGAATGTTTGGCCACGGAGTAGAGTATACGTACCTGGACGCGACCTCCGAACAATGGATGGGTCGTTTTATCGTTGGGGTCGTTGCTTGGGCGGTACCAGGACGTGTGACCATTGACTTCACATATCGCATTTTATCGATTATCGTGGTCCTATTCGGGTTCTCTTCGCCGGAGCAATGGCCTCCTCTGTTTGGCAGTATCTGCGATGCATACTCCATTCGGGGATTTTGGAGGTAAGTCAAGACTCTTACAATTATTGAAATAAAGCCAACTAACTTGATAAAGCACATTCTGGCATTCCTACTGCCGTTGGACTCTGACGACGATCAGCAACTTTATCTGCAGGGATCTCCTGCGACTTCCACGACCCTCTCTCGTTGAACGGTACATGAACGTTGCAGGCGTCTTCCTAACATCGGCCATTATCCATATGGCGATAGATGCCCATTGCTGGTGCCCGCCTTCCAAGTTACCTGCCTTGGCTTTCTTCGGCTCTTGTGTAATTGGTATCATCATCGAGGACACCGTTCAGGAGTTATGGCGCAAGCTCATAGGTTATCAGAAGTCTGCAGGAGTTCCTACATGGCACAAACTTGTTGGCTATCTTTGGGTATCGTTCTGGTTCGTCATGACGGCACCTTGGTATCTGTACCACAACACTCGTTTGCCCCCTGATGATACATGGGTGGTGCCAGTAAGCGTTGTAGATAAACTTGGCGATGATAAGGTAAAGATGGTCTTGCTTATCGGCGGAGTGGCGCTACGCTTTACATTTGGCATTGAAGTGTAGGAGTGCTATGAGAACGAAGTTGGAACGTTTGAGATGAAGAAGCGCTGGTAGGCGGCAAGCGCAGATAAGGTGCAACGGCTTGAACGATTCTGAAGTATAGACTAAGTACTGAACACAGAATAAAATATACTGAAGGGATCCATATGGGAGATGTTGAGCTCTGTGCATAATGAATCTTAGAACAGATCGTTCTGGACAGATCTTCATTCTGAAAAATGTGGGAGGGAATTGTGTACTACGATGACCCTTATCTGTAACGGTCGACGATCTGACATGTAGTGTACCGAAGACATGCAGCAGGTTTGGTTCTACTCTCTGTCGGTAGATAAGGGGGTCATGTAAGGCCTGACAAGTGCTTACAGACTAGCCAAATACGGGAATTCGGGACGTTTCTCAAACTAAGCTCCCCAAGCATTCATATTTACGGTGTGATTTAGTAGAGCTGCCGAGCATTAACCTAAGCATTCACTGAAGGTCTAAAACATGTTATCTTAATATCGACGCCCGCAGCCGCAGCCTCGAGCGATTATTCTACCTCAAAATTCATACCACTTTCCAAATCGAAGCACAAAACCAACATGGCATCCAGTCTTCCACCTCTAGTACCAGAGAAATACCGATGGAGTTCATCTGGACTCAAGCCGGGTCACATCCAGCGCAGATGTGTCGGCGCAGAGGCAATCGTTGGGCTGGAGTCCAAAAACCGGAAGGCTCTATACGATCTTTACATCACCACCTCTCTTCGCAATATTGCACCGGCCTCAATCTCGCTGACGCTCCGCAAGCTCAAAGAGATGTTCGAGCTAGCTCTGTTGGAGGCTCGTTTTGAGCGCCCCGAAGCTGCTTGTACCGCATCCTGGGACGAAGAGGTAGCGGCCGTCATCAATTACCAATCCCCAGAGAGTGATGAGTCTGCTCGGGATTGGGCGAGGGATTGCGTTCACGTGATGCCTACGTCCATAAACGCTTTTGACCTTTGGAGTGAACTAGAGGAAGCAAGAGCTACTGCTGATAACGACACGCCCTCCAAGTCAATCGAGATCTTCTTAATCGCGGATGTCCCAACCCAGCGATCACCAATCCCTCAAGACATGACCATGGAGGTTTTGTTTCACAACAATCACTTATTTTGGGACGGTATAGGCTGTCGCAAGTTTATCGGCGACATCTTCCGCCTGTTAAGTAACTATATCGATGTCGACGATGGTATTGGAACGAAGACATTTTCCTGGAGTGAAGAAATCAAGAATCTCAACCCTCCGATTCTTGACTCATTGATGTTGGATGTGACAACTCTTGGAGAAGAGTTCGATAATAAATGCACCGAGTATACGAATGCTCTGGTTGCCAACTACGTGAGTGGAAGCAGTCGTCACGTAATTATTGCACACTGACAGTTACCTATAGAAAAGCCGAGGTCTGAAGTTCCAACCTGGCCTTGGCCTTCCACGCTGCGTCATTCACAAGTTCAGCGCCGAAGATTCTATCGCTATCGTGAAAGCCGTCAAAACCCGGCTCGGCCCAGGACACACCATCAGCCATCTAACTCAAGCTGCAATTATTCTTGCTCTTCTGGACACTCTCAAACCAACTGATCTTACTGACGATGAAGCATTCATATCACCAACATCTGTGGATGGCCGGAGGTGGATGCGTCCGGACATCGCCAAGAATTTCTACGCCATGTGTCAGACAGCTGCAGTGGTTCGGGTTGAGAAACTCAAGTCTATCGCTGTCAGCCATCAAGATGAAAAAGATGTACAAGTGAAAGCTCTAGAGAGTGCTTCTAGGGACGTTAAGACCTCTTACGATCAGTGGTTGAAGAACCCCTTCCAGGAAGCTCTTGGTCTGAGAGTCCATAACTTTGAGGCAAATTATCTACACTCGTAAGTTGGTACAGGTAATACTCGAGATGCAGGTACTAACACGCGCACGCTCCAGCAAGCCGATTCCATTTGATGGCGAAGCAAACCCGGTAGGTTTCAAACTCATATGTTTATCCACTTATGTATAGTACTAATATCGTCCCGATAGTTATTTATCAGTGATGGCATCAACGATCGCTTCATTCCGCACGAAATTAAGTCTGCTTCCACCGGAGAAGAGCTTTTCTCCGTTGAGAGCATTGACTTTCTGGTAAACCAGTCTTTGCCATACCTGTACGTCAAGCATCATATTTCTATGTACAAGCTCTAACGAAGTTATAGGGCGATTAGGCTGGATAGCTGGAAGGATGCATCCACCCTCAACATTATCTATAATGATGCCAACTACACGGAGGCTGATGTTCGGGATTACCTGCAGAGTATTGTTGAATTCATGATGGTATTCAAACTTTAGCCTTTTGCGGGGGATGTAAAATATCCATAATAATAGGCTCACTGCAAATTACTTTTTTTCTATCTCTTTCCTTGTAAGATTGGTGCGTTTATTTCAGGCCATACCTCCATATTCATATCTTTTCTTTGACATAAGCCAAGCCTTTCTTGACTATCACACTCCACTTCCCGTCTGCTCCACTGCAACTATCCTTGTTGAGACTTGATAATAGCTTATTATCATAGGTGTAAAATTATCCTTGCGACTTTACTGCGTTCGTCTACATGTGTCTTGTTTTGCCAAGAAATTATACCTTCCTGATATAGAAAGTCGGTTATAGATGCGCGCAGCCCGGGCCCGAGAATAGACTTTATTGCCCGACGATCCGATCGATCATTTAGACAAGGCAGAGATATCTCGAATAGCTAATCGCATGACTTCTTCTGGGCTTCATTCGGATCGACTCATGAGTCATTTGCTACTGATGGCACTGGAGCACTAAGTACTATAAATCACCGATTGGAGCTGATCAGCGCATTTCGAGGTGCACTGGCTTTTCTTCCTTGGCCTTGTGCGCCTTGTTTAAGAAATGGGATTGCGTCCCTGGTCATGCAGAGCGTCGTGGCATAGATCTGAGGGGTTGTCCTGCCACATTTGTTCAAGTAAGGCCCCGGAGAGATACGAGACATCATTCGCGTTCCGCCTATCGTAGGAATCAAGCTATTTTAACTAGCACCACGTAAAAGACGGCTGGAAGAAGTTATATTACTCCTTCACTGTTAATACCCTTTAATAATCTTAATTAATTAGAAGAGACAATTTAGAAGATAGTAATTGCTCCCAACAATAAGAACGTGTTCTAAATACTCACCTCCTAAGAGTCGCTTATCGTCACACTTTCGATTTGTAGCTTAAAGAAAAAAGTTGAAAAATGTAGACCGTTAGATCTGATACTACTATACTCATGATGGGCATAAGCCACTAGTTTAATATCAAATCATGCAATCATCTATGCTACAATAGCTTGGGCATACCTACTGTTTCAATACCGTCATGCTATGACTCCTGTGACAGCTAGAATGAAGGTTTTTTGTCATGCAATACAATTTTCTTTTACAGTTCTTACAGCCTCAGTTGGGTACAGTTGACAAGCTACCGTGATTCCTCAACTGCAGGATTTCAAGGTTCTCAGAAGTCTGAAGCAGGTCCGAGGTAGCTATGTAGGTATATGATCGTAGATGCTGTAGCAGAGCAAACAGGGCCATGGCACTTTTGCATCAATGACGCCACGCAATAAAACATTACCTATCATTCACAACTAAAGCAATAGTGGTAAGATGGAAAGTGATAGAGGTATTCAAGTTACAATGAATGACTTCTGCCAACAGCCAGGCTATCTTTTTTCTCAGAGAGAAGCACGATGCAGTCGACTAATGTTCGGGATCCAGAAAAACATTGGCTTGTTCTCTAGGTCAGCTATTTACCCACCTATCAGAACAACAACAGCTTCATAGTAAGGCATAGATTAATTTGATCTTCACGTACCTGCTACTTATAAAGCTTGGCTGGCCACAGTTATGCAGATGTCAAGGAAGGGACATTGTCACCGGGTGGACTAGTGATCCTTTATGCAGCTAGACCACGGTCAACGAAAGGGCTAGTCTTGGCGTTCCATTCAATTGCAAGGAGTAGAATCCTATCTTGAATATACACGGTGATCTATCCAGAATAGAGAGGAGAAGCCTTGGAAAGCGTGTCATGCTGGCAATGAGACTTTATCCGGAGTATCTACACGAGTTTCAGCAGTAACTTTCTAGTACGTCATTTCCATCAGTTGATCTCGATGATATCAGGCAGAATAAACGTCTTTAAAAAGGTATAAAGTCAACGAATATTCCCCTCGTAAGTTACAGAAGCATCAAGCAAACTCTTTTCTTCAACTCTCTACTACTCATACACTACAAAACTTCAACCCAAGTCTTTACTATACTCAACACTATGAAGTACATCAACGCCCTCGTCATACTCGCTTCTATCGCCGCCGCCGCCGCTGTTCCAGCAGCTGTGCCTGGCTCGGAGCCTGATATCTCCAAGCGTCAATGTGACAGAGACGCTGTTCAGAGATGTATTCTGGCTTGCAACATTCAGTGCATTGCCGCTGGGCCTGTAGGATATGCAGCCTGCAGTCAGGGATGCAGTAAGTTTCACCGAGTTCTACTATCATATTGCTCATCACATTAACTTTTACCAGCTCCTGGATGCGGCCCCGCCAATGGCTGCTAGATGCCATAGCATAATCGCTGGTCAAATCTACCCACTCTGTAGAAATGGCCCAGATCTGAGGCTTACATTCACGTAGCCTCAGATACTATTGCGATTGATAAACAACATGGACTTGGGGCTTGAAAGTGGCTCAATCGGTTTCATATTACTCTCGTTTCTATTGTCGACTACCTGAAACCGTTTGCAGAGGCCTATAAGAATCCATGGAGGGTCGAGGGATTATATTATGTAGCTCAGCAATCCATCGAACTTTAAACTGAAGACTTAGGAAAGCTTCCTCCCGTTTACTTCTCCATAATCTTGAAGTCTTCTCTCCTCCGCATTACAAAGCCAGTCCTTCTTCGGGGAATACTATGTACTGCACGTAGATTATCACCGAGAGTTTTAAAGCCGTTTAATTGGAGAACACAGCCGGATCACTTTGAATCTAATGCAAACATGGATAAGAAATCCATATTGTAATTGTACTGTTTGAAATGCATCATCCTTTTCCCGAGCGTGTATGGTAAATTAATGTTGAGAAGAGGAAGGTCGCTTATCGATTACAGATAAGCTGATAAGATAAAGGAGGAAAGATGTAACTAACCTACATCTGGGCGAAGAAATTCAACGGCCTCCTCAGTGGACAAGTCCATGGGCATGGTACAGCAGGGGATAACTGGCTGACTCAATGTGCCGCTTTGAACTTTCCCATAAACACCGAAACTTAAACATCCACACACGATACCGGTGGATTGTTGGTCGCACATGCGTTGTGTCTCTCCATTTCGGCGCACAGGTAGAACTTGCGCTCCTTAGCCAGCCAACAGAGTCAGTGTGGAGTCGTTTCTAAAGTTTTGTATGCCTGCAACAATAGCTAGTCCAGAATAGGAAACAATACATTTCGACTCATCTTGAGTCTCTGGTTGTTTAGTGGGTCTTCAGTTCTATAAGTACAACCAAAAGGACGCAAACAATGCAACCTCACCAACAAACTCATTTTCGTACTTCACAATGACGGCACAAGACACAACAACGCAAAAGCTAGACATGGAGCTGGACATCATCGGGCAACAGCCTCTCATGACCGAGATCTACACTCAAATCAGCTTTGTCTTTCCCGTTACCGATGACTCCACTCATCCCGCTATCCTCGACACATTCAACAAGGGTCTTCAGCGCCTCTCACAAGCGTTCCCGTGGGTGGCTGGCCAGGTGAAGAAGAATGAGACTGATGCCCTCAGAATTACTCCTTTTGAAGAAATACCGCGAATGATCGTCAAGGACCTTCGGAATGACCCTTCTGCACCTACCATGGAGGCCCTGAGAAAGGCGGAATTCCCAATGAAGATGTTTGACGAAAACGTCATTGCGCCACGGAAGACTTTGCCAATTGGCATTTCGCCTGACGAGCCAAGTCCCGTTCTCATCTTCCAACTCAACTTCATCCAAGGCGGTATTATTTTCACAGTCAATGGACAGCATGCTTGCATGGATATGACAGGCCAGGATGGAATTACCCGACTTCTATCTAAGGCCTGCCGCAACGAAGAATTCACCGAAGAGGAGGTCAAGGTCATGGCCCTGGAGCGCAAGGGTCTTGTCCCTTTTATCGATGATTACAAACTCGACAATGAGCTGAGGCATCAAGTCGTCAAGCCCCCCTCAACCGAGAGCGCGCCAGCTCCTCCCAAGGCGAGCTGGGCGTTCTTCTCATTCGGCCCCGAAGCCCTTTCTGAACTCAAGGATGAGGCGACCCGAACACTTCAGGATGGCGTTGATGGAGCGGCCAAGCCTAAGTTCGTCTCAACCGATGATGCCCTGTCGGCATTTATCTGGCAGTGCACCAGTCGCGTCCGTCTTCCCCGCGTAGAAGAATCGGCCCGAACTCTATTCTGCCGCGCCGTTGACGTCCGAACCCAGCTTGATGTGCCCAAGGACTACCCTGGCATTCTACAGAACATGGCCTACAGCAGTTCGACCTTGTCTCAAATATCCAACGAGCCTCTTGGCGCTGTGGCCTCTCGTCTACGATCCCAACTTAATCGCGAGTCTCTGCGACGTCGGACACAAGCGTTTGTTTCACACATAGCCAAGCACCCGGGTGTCCTGTCTGTTACAGCAGATGCCGACCCATCCACGGATATCATGTTGAGTTCTTGGGCTAAGACTGGATGGTGGAACTATGACTTTGGTCTTGGGCTGGGAAAGCCTGAGAGCGTAAGAAGACCGATCTTTGAGCCTATGGAGAGTCTGATGTATCTTATGCCCAAGAGGCCTGATGGGGAAATTACTGCTGCTCTGTCTTTGAGAGATGAGGATATGGAGAGATTGAAGGGCGATGAGAGGTGGACGAAGTTTGGACGGTTCATCGGATAGAGTAATAGTGAATAAACTTCGGAAATAGGTACCAACAATTGTGAACTATCATCTCTTCATTCTCCGACGCCCTGGGTAGATAAGCGCCTCCAGGAAGACTTTTTTATGCTTTGTTCATGTTGTCATCTGAAATCTATACTGACCAGCGTAGTTCTAACGACGAGATAGAGTTCAATCTTGAAAATGTAGGGTACGACAACTAAATATGTCTGATCTGGGGATCGGGGGCCAAAGCCTGCTTACCATAAATGAAGATGGGTTTCCGAAGTTTCAAAACCCACGTTCGAAAGACAGCCGTCGAAGAACTTATATATATCGCGCGATCGTTACTTCAGATATGTAGGTCACTATCAACCACATTCTATACTAGTTACACGCCGCAACAGTACTAATAAGAAACGGATCTCACCCAACACTTCGTATTGCAGATAAAGAATTGATTCAAAGCTATACCTTACTAGTACATGATGTTCAGAGGGGATTGACTATATTTCCTCCCGCAATTCCCCTTCAACCTTGCCGTAAATGATCTTATCTAAATCCTCGGTAACGTCTTGCCACAAGAATCTGCTACTCTCCCCAGCGACAGTGATATTGGCGCCATCCGTAGGAAGAGCAACAACGTAAATGCGATCAGCCATTTGTCGTGCAGATGTCGTCAAAGCATTTTCGAGACGGCTAGGCAAGAAACCCAGAAAGTCAACCTCGTTAAACTGCTTCGTCTTATCCTGATAAACCGCCACGCCTCCAAAGGGATGGTCGGGAGTCTTATTCTCAGCAACAAGAAGGATAGTGTCGTTGTATCGCTCCGGGAAATGCAAGACATTTGCGGTCTTGAATTCGTGGTATGGGGTCTGTTTTATGGTAACTGGTGTCCCGACCTTATCATTCACGTTGAAGCGGATGAGTTGGCCGATGATGTTGTCCGGAACGATCATGACATCGCCGACATGAGCTATGCCAGTGAAGCCGTAAAGACGAGGAGGTCCGAGCGGCTCAGCGACATAAAAGGTGGAAACCTCCTTGTTGGGAGTTACTCGCAGGATGTTGGATGTATAGGTGCCCAGGACATATGTGTTGCCGTCAGGGCCAAGACTGGCGTCGGCGTAACCGGCATAGAGACCGTTGTTCAAACGGAGTTGGCTTGTCACCTCCTTCATCTTCAGGTCGATGCTCATAAGGTGATCAGGTCCGGATACGTTGAAGCCATCACTGTAGAAAGCATCTCCGTTGTCAATGACGACTTCAAGAGTCTCGGCTTGGTATGCATCGGGCTTGAGGATGATACCACTGGCATGCAGAGGATTGGGACTAGCTGAGTTTCCAGCATGACTGAGTCCCGGGAAGTGAATCGTATCGAGAACAACGGATTTGTAAGGATCATAAGTGCTGACTGTGGCGTTGTATAGGTTGCTGGAAAATGAGGTTAGTGGCCGTCAGCTAAAGTTTGGTGAACGAAGACAAACCTGACGTAGGCGACGCATCGCTTCTTGTCCCAAGCAAACATCTCAGGGTATCCCATGTAAATGTCATAGTTGAGGTCTCCCTTTGGTAAAGGTGGGCATTCTCTGGCAGAGCTGAGGTAGTTGTTTCCAGAGATCCATGTAGAAGCAGCTTCGCCAATGGAGCTTAGGTGGTTCATGACAAGTTGGGGCAACATGATGACGTCTTGACGAACAAGAAAACGGAGTGATATCGGCTAACTTTCGTTCTTGACTGATTGAGCTTGGAATGTAATTAATATTAATAGACATCGAGAGTTTACTGTTTTGCCCAAACCTGCCAATTGATTGAATGGTCGGTTGATTATTCACACGCAGCTAGAGTTCGGGTTACCTAGCGAAGCGTTAGTGGGCCTAGCGACTTGCGATTTCATTGAGCGTGACGTGATTGGCCAGATCAAGGTTCCTGACCCGACAAGCCCCTGGAACAAGGCCTACCGTCAGGTTTCGGTGGAAAAATACAGGGCTGTACAAACTAGCCGACTGCTACATCTGATTATGCCGAATGTCAATGAAGCTTGGGATGTGATAGTAGGCCACAGAGATGTGATGGAAGTTTTCGAAAACATAGCTATGCAAGATATGCTTGCGGTCTAGGGTTGGTTTAGCCACTGGGGGGAACTGATGGATTACTTGCTGATTCAGTTGTGTTGAATACAAACATTCCGTTCTGTAAATATTAATTATTACTATGTATCTGCCCGTGGAGGCTTTCAATATTGGACCACTCGTCGGATTGCCAATCTACACTTCGTCTTGTTATCTCACTACTATTACTTCCATTTCGGCCACCAACAGTCACCTCTAGTTCAGCCGTCATGCTCATCACGCTGGCACTAACGCTGATCGCCCTCTACTTGTTGTACAAGTGGGCTCATCCAAAACCCATATCCAAGATCCCTTACAATGCCGCCGCTTTGAACAGTCTCTTTGGTGATTTACCAGCCATGGTTCGAGACACAAAAGCCCACGACCAAACTCACATGGACTGGATTGTCCAACAAATGAGGAATCTCGACTCTCCCATTATTCAACTATTTCTCAGTCCTCTGCAACGTCCCACTGTCATTCTCGCCGACTTTCGCGAAACGCAGGACATCATGCTTCGCCGCAAGGAGTTTGATCGATCAACCAACATTCGCGGTCTTCTGGAGGATGTTATTCCTGACCATCACATTTATCAGCAAACGAATTCTGTCTTTCGGACGCACCGCAAGCTTGTGCAAGATGTTATGTTACCATCTTTCATTCGGGAGGTTGCCGGCCCTGCGTTCCATGGAAATATCATGAGACTCATACAACTATGGGAGGTGAAAAGTTCGATTGCCAATGGATCTCCCTTTTGTGCAACATTGGATATCCAGGGCGCTGTTTTGGATGCTGTTTACAGCTTCGCGTTTGGAGAGAACTACAAGTCCAGTACTACGCTGCCCAACATCGCCCTTCTCGAGAGCTGGAGGAAGCAGGGCAACCGCAAGCTGACTGGGAACGATGGACCTTTCATCTTTCCCGAAGTCGTCTTTGACGAACTCATTAACGCAACAATCGATCTAGCCAAGGCACCACAAGGACTTCAAGGTTCTCCAATCGCCAAATGGATGGCAAAGATCAAGATGAATTTGTCACATTTCAGGAAGGTTAGAAAGATCAGGGACGAGTTTCTGATCCGGAGCCTCCAGTCTTCTGTTTCCAAGATTGAGAGCGATGAGAAGTTCGAGGTTACCTCGGCGGTAGAGCAAATGGTATTGCGCGAGACTGCGCTTGCAGAGTCCGAAGGCCGCAGTCCAAATTATTACTCATCTATGATGCAAGGAGAGGTACGTATTTCCACTTGAAGGCTAACATTTCAGAGATCAATACTAACATGCTTTGTCTAGCTATTCGGACTGATCCTCGGAGGTTTTGACACAACTAGCACTACCACACTTTGGGGATTGAAGTTTCTCACCGACAACCCCAGTGTCCAGCAGCGCCTTCGGGAAATCCTGCAATCTTCATTCGCCGAGGCAAAGGTCGAAAACCGCTGTCCTTCTTTCCGGGAACTAGCGGCTGCTCGTATTCCCTACCTCGAAGCAGTGATTGAAGAAATTCTCCGATGCGCTGGAGCCACTCCCGCCCTTCAACGTGTGTCAACGGTAGACACACAGATCCTGGGCTACCATATCCCTAAGGGCACCGACGTACTTTTCCTCACTCATGGACCCAGCGTATGGCGTCCTGGCTTTGCCGTTGATGAGAGCAAGCGAAGCCAGACTTGTCAAACTGCCGGGGAGAAGAAGGATCAGAGTTGGGAGGCTATTAATATTGCTCTTTTCAAGCCTGAGAGATGGTTAGTAACAAAGACCCTGTCTGCTGAGGATATGGAGGAGTTCGAGGAGTTCGATGGGACAGCTGGACCGACACTGGCTTTCGGCTTGGGAACGCGAGGTTGTTTCGGCAGAAGACTGGGATACCAGCAGTTGAAAACATCCATTGCGATGTTGGTTTGGAACTTTGAGCTCCTGCCTTGTCCTTCGCAACTTTCCAGTTACCGCACTGTTGAAGGTCTGACTAGCATGCCGGAACATTCATACATCAGGCTCGCGAAGGTGGATCTTGAAACACCCGAGTAGACATTCTAGACAGATGGATCAACCGACTTTTGTTAATTTGTAAGGCCTAGAAAGTGGAAAGTTGACGGATGAGTGTGGTGTCGCAGTGGGGTATGGCCCAAAAATGGCAAAATCATCCGAATCATAGCGTCGGTAGAGTGAAATACCGACAGACCATTGAAGTTTATTCTCAATCAAACAAGACAGCTTTGGAAGGAAGTTGCCTGACGATGTACTTGATTACTATTTGAATTATTTATAGAGCTATCAAGCTTCGAATCGAGTAGAATTACCAACTGTTAACATTCTTTTCCAAATGTTCAACTACTCCGTTTGGCCCTTTGTGGCCTTCACAGCTGGCACAGTACGTTGATGTAAAGTCAAGTGAAACCTGCTAACGTAGGATCCTATAGTGCCTCACGTATCTCGTGTCGATTCTGGTGTACAACCTTTTCTTCCACCCACTCCGTAACTTCCCCGGCCCATGGCTTAATAAGATTACACAGATTCCCCACACTCTCCTGATGCTCTGTGGACTCCCCCACAAGAAACATCTCGAACTTCATCTAAAGTATGGTCCAGTCGTAAGAATCGGACCAAACATGCTCTCATTCAACCACCCCGATGCCATGAAAGATGTTCGTGGGCATCGAAAGGCTGGTGAACCTGAACATGGCAAAGACCCTATCTCGGTACAGTTTGCTGGTGATAACATCGTTGGTAGCGATCGTGAAAATCATACCCGTTTCCGTCGTGCTCTGGCATATGGCTTTTCAGCCCAGGCTATGCTCGAACAGGAACCTACCTTCAATTCGTACGTCAGCCAGCTATTCCGACAACTACATGAGCAGTCTTCTGGTGGTAAGAAACCTGTCGACATCGCTAAGTGGTACACCTTTACCACGTTCGATATGATTGGAGATCTGGCGTTCGGAGAATCCTTTAGTTGCCTTGATAACTCGACTTACCATCCGTGGGTTGCCCTCGCCTTCGAAAGTCTCAAGAGCGTTGCATTCTTAGCCGAGATTGGTCGATACCCAAGCCTTGCTCCTCTTGCTGGCTTGATGCTTCCTCGCGGTATGCTTACCAAGTTTGCTGAGAACAAGGAGTTGGCCAGTATGAAGGTGAAAAAAAGACTAGACACCAAGACCGACAGGCCAGATTTTGTTGGCAAGATCACACAAGGGTTAAAGTCCAAGGGAACCGTAAGTTCTTGTTATTGATGTTTGTCTGTGTAATCTGAACTCACATACTTCTTTAGTCTATGAAATTTGATGAACTTGCATCAAACGCCTCTGTGTTGATTGTGGCTGGTTCTGAGACAACAGCGACTCTTCTATCTGCAGCAGTCTATTTCCTCTGTGCCAATCCCCGTACCCTGGATCTCTTGACTCGAGAAGTTCGGACTACATATAATCGAGGGGAGGACATTGATCTCATATCTACACAGAACCTACGTTACATGCAGGCTGTGTTGGACGAAGCTTTGCGTATGTATCCTCCGGTGGCAGGCGGTGGGTCTCCTCGACAGATAGCCAAAGGTGGTAGTATTGTGGCCGGCTACTACGTTCCGGAGAATGTAAGTGCCATCTCATATTTTCAAGCATTCTTATGGCTTTGAAAGTTTATGCTAACACTGTCTACAACAGACGCTGGTAGAGAACGACATGTGGGCATTGCATTATGACCCAAAGTACTTTACTCAACCCCATGACTTCATTCCTGAACGCTGGCTCGGTGACCCTCGGTTCAAGGATGATCGTCTCGACGCCGTTAAACCTTTCTCGATTGGTCCTCGAAACTGTATTGGCATGAAGTAAGTCACATTGAAGTTATATCGTATGTCCATAGTCGTTATACTGACAAAACGTATAGTCTCGCATATGCTGAAATGCGTATGATGCTTGCCAGAACAGTGTGGGAATTCGATCTTCGTCTTGCCGAGAACTCCTGTAATTGGTATGACGAAAGTCGTGTATATCTTGCATGGCATAAGCCTGCGCTCAATGTGTATCTTACTCCAAGCTGATACCAACACTTGAGCTACGCGACATGGATGAAGCTCGACAGTCCTACAGAGGCTAGTCTAGCAGGAGGTGAGATGTTCTTATATAGAATTGCCCTAGAGTTGTATTTAGGACGTGTGCATATAATCGGGTTCTTAAGTTTACTGCGAGTTGAGGATCCATCCTTCTATCACCATTGACCGCGGTACACTAGATCTATATTGACTGAAAGATCCTGGGGGCAGGTGGCCCAGTAGTAGGTCAAACACAGACCATACTAATCGGCTCGGGCTACCTGATCTACACCATCTTACTACAGGATCGGGTCAGTAGCAAAGTAGCAATACATTTATACATGGCTACTGTGAGATTTGAATCTCATTGATTACGTACCGATTCAATTGTGTCACCCGATTGGCACGATCCCTTGAGGCACATCGGAAATGATTTGTAGGTAGGTCACAAATAGACCTTTTTCGAGGTATTGTTAGGACAAACAAGTCGTAAACAATTTATGTTGAACTCTAAATCAATTGCTACTATATAAGAGAACAATTTCCAGACGGACGTATATTCAAGGCAAAAGATAATGCAATATCAATCGCGGTTAAGGGCGAGAGGAGTCCTTTGATGAGTAGCGAAATCAATCTGCACAGCTACATAACCCAGTAGAATCTCCAACAACAAATGAACCAAGAAACGCAAATTCCTGTGCATCCGACCCATTCCATCCAGTCGCACCATAAGATCTCTGATCCTCCTCGAAGTCTAGTAAGCTAATTCTAAAGCGCGATCTTTCGAGCGCTTCTTGCGCACCTCGATGTCAAAACTTAGATCCGTAACCCAGATCGTAAGCGCCTCGGGTTAAGCGAAGGCACACTGAGTTTCGGGGCCAAGAGTCGTCGCAACGCAAGAGTCAAGACGCCAAAACAGAAAGAAAAGAGGATCTGCCGATGTCGGTATACTGTCAATTAGATTTGGCGTAGTAGAATGTTTTATCAAGGCCTTTGTGATTGACGACCTTTACCTTGAAAGTTGAGCTAATATTCGGGGTCGAGAAGGACTTCTATCTTTGCAAATGATATCCACAGACTAGGGGATATTGTCGTCTTGAGATCAGATCTCCTCATGGTGTATCCAGGTCCAGTACTAGCAGATACCTAGCTATCGGACCCGGGAGCAAAACGCGCCGTAGACTTTTACACCGAACAGTATCGATTGCAGCAGCCCGAAACGGAATAATCCGCCGATGTAACATATCTCAATCGAGGGGATAGCTTGCTACCAGACGCTAGTGCTATTTTGTATCTTGCCACATACGCGAAAGTTGACATTATGCATTTTGAAAGCACTGCCGTCCTTGATGCCGGGACAGTGCGGTGGTTTTGTTATCGTTTCCCCTCGTCGAAATTCAGGCCTTGCGCTCACGTTTCAGTCACTGGCATTTTCGCTTAGGTTCCTATGACTCAAATTTTCAGCCTTCCTACATGGAACATTCGGCATTTAATACCTAATTTGATGCCCATGGCCATCGTATGGAGACATAATTAGCATGGTGACTCCCCTGCTCGACTCGGGACTTAACAGCTAAACAATTTCTCACAAGAAAGGAACACGAACACGAGATCTCATCCTTCACTTCATTCATCAGTGCCAACTTACCGTCTCCGCAATGCTCGCAGCCGCCAAGTTGATTGATGGCCTGGACGCAGACCTTGAGGTCTCTTGGCTAGAAGTCTGCGCTTACTCTGGGGTGAGCGCCGCGCTCTGCGCCACAGTTTGGATCGCTGCCAAGGCATGTTGAGGATTCAGTCACGGAATCTGGCTGCGAGGGCTCGCCTCGGAAGACTAGCGCTGGTCGACCACGTCTAGTTCGCGTATCGAGAACATCATCAACATTCCTACACTACAATCTCCTTCAGGCACCCACATTCCAAACCAACCATCAACAATCTACGAGTTGAGCAAGTTAAGGTCTCTGACGACCTGAGAGGGACAATGCACCGACAGCGGAGGAGGATCTTGGGTCTATTTTCAGATAGCTGCCTAGTCGCACATATGCAATAACGTTAAGGAACAAGAGAACAACTTATGAATGAATATACGAACAGTTTAAGGTATGATGATGCGTCGCCACATCGAGGAAAGTGAAAAAGGTTTCTCACTGTTGTACACAAATAACTTGCTAGACGAGGGCCGAATTCTCATTAACTACACCTAAATCACAGAACAGGTGTTCTCGATTTAACTAATGTAGAGCCTCATCCTCTAGATCTTGAAAGGTCCGGACTAGAAATTCTGTATATTTATGTATTGAGGAATCCATCCTGAATGAAGGAACGCACGAAGAAGCGGTGGTCACCAAATAACCCATTGTAGTGCTATTTTATATTTGTATATCTAATCTACAATTCAAAACACTCCGTATACTAATAATTCATTATTCTCATCTATATGTCATCTAATTCTCAACATAATTTGGTCTATCATGTCAGTAGACCCTACCAGCTTGTCATACGTGGTGTAGCTATGGCTAGATACCACAACGGAAGAGAGCTTAGCCCTAAATCAAAAGAACTGGAATCCCTTGGAAATCCATAAGATCTTCCCAGTTCATAGCACCCTCATCTGTCTTTAGCTCCCGCTTCTTCCAAGCCTCCTCCAAGACTTCGATGACCCCATCATATTTCCTCAAAGAGCTCCAAGTAGAGCTATAGGACCTCAGAGTCACCCTGAAAAACCCCCTTTGGCTGGGCAAAGCCATACATCCTGTAAGCGCCAAAGGCCAGATAATGCTTACAACAGCTTGCAAGTCTGGTAGCTTCTCCAGCAGCAGAATCGTTGTGGATACGCTATCCTGGACCTCAACAAGGTTGTGATTCAGGCCCGATACGACGGTGTGCAGGTATGTCGTGATAGAGGCTGCGTAAATGTGAGTGATGAGGTCTCTCAGAGTTCCTTGTGTAGGTGAGTTTTGGAGCTCCTCTGTCACCATGTCTTCTATCGCCATAGATCGTCGAGCAAGGGTTTTCAAGCTCAAACGGTTGTGATCCTGCTCCTGGCGCTTCCAGCGATCCAGCTTACCCACTTCCAAAATAGTCAGCATGGCCCAGTTTCGGCACCCTAGCAACTCGTCTAGCTGCATCAAACCTGGTTGGTTCATAAGATGGCTATAATCCTCGAATGGCGACGCTGGACCAACAGATATGCAAGATAGAATACCAATTGTGGCAAGAAAGTTTGATAAGAATCTCAGGGCTGCGAGATACTCGAAGCTCAGCGATGTCTGGACGAAGTCCCCATCCGAGTCGAAATCTGATTCGTTTAATTCGCACCATATAGAAGATGCTGGAGGGCCTGATTGTAAAGCTGTCGACCAACCGTCGACTAAAGCTGGAATAAGTGTCTTGGCTGCCAGAAGATGAACGTGCCAGTCTCCCCTCGTCAGATGAGAAGACTAACCCAAGATGTTAGTCACCGATTGAATGCTCAATTTCATTCGCCGATGGTACAGCAAGTGATTGGGTCAACTTTACCTCGAAGCTCACGAGCTGAAGCATACAGGCTAGAGCAATAACGGTAACTTTCAGCTTTATCATGCCTGAAGTATTATCTAGACCACCCAGCAATTTCTGAGACTCCTGCAGTGCAAGGACATAATAATACGTCTTTTCTCTCTTCCATACTGCAGCTTGTTCGCTAGTTGATGAAATTGCAGTGTATTCCTTATGTAGTAGAGCCAAACATAGTGTCGCATAATATGTAGGTCGAGCAGAGGTGAGGATAGTAAGCAACCATTCTCTCTTGCCTACGCAGGTGCGTTCATGGGGGAGGTATTGAAGAGGAAAAACAACATCCAGGTAGTACATCAATAAGCTTGTCTCTCTTTCTTGCCTTGGCTTGGGAAGATCCATGATATCTGAACGTAATAGAAATGATGTTCTGCGAGAGCAGAGGTAATCAAGTAATGTTGTGTTGGTTGGTTGGCACTCAGGTCATGTTCATTTGGAAGTACAAGACCGGGAAGCGGCGAGATTTCTAGCGACGTAACGCGTCACAGCTCGAATGCACGGACACAACTCAGCAGTTAAACGGCACCTTTCCTGCCGGTTTTGTCTGCCGAATTCAATAAGAATCCTAGTCGCTCGACGCCACGACATGAGCTAAAGAATTTGTATCTCCCACACAAGTCTTCTAGAGCTATTCGGTTGTGTCTTATCAATCGGAGTTACATATAAGCGTGGCCTGTATACGTCGGTCCCGACGCTCCTTCAGGATCAGGATGACCTTGTAGTGCTTCCATCGCCTTGTTTTTAGTGCATAAAAAGTCCCTGTAGCCAAGTGGGCCACCGGCATTTTGCTTACCACGCTCGATTGAAATTACCTATCCACTCTGTACCTATAACTGTCTGAAGGAAGAATTGAGTTTCATCGAAACATACTAAGAAACTATAGCCTGCCATTCACAACAAAACGAAAATCCAAACTTATCCTCGCATATACCAGCAGGGCCTGTTCTGAGACTTACCATTCGCTCATTCCACAGATTCAAGCGAACTTACGATGGGCTCGTGAGCCGGTTCCATGTCCTTCGACCGGAGGCTTGCGAGGTGAGCCACGGAAGGATACGCCCACTGGGCCGCGGATACAGCTCCCACGGTGGCAGCCTGTTCATAAAACTTGCAGAACTTCTGAGATTCTTCGGTCTCTTCTCCCTTGACTTGCTCGTAAATCTCACTCAGTCGATATCTGCTGTCGCACAGGTGCCAGGTGACGTAGCCGTGCATGAAGCGCTCGATGGTTTCCATCACCTGGGGATCCTTGTCTGAGAAGACGGCTACCATCTGCTTGGAGGAATGTAAGGTATCCTGGGTGAGCTTTTCCAAAGCCTCATTGAGGCTTATCTCATAAGATGTAACGTAGTTGGTGACAAGGCTGATCTGATCCCGTTCACCGTCAAACTCTTTGTAGAATGACATGAGATCGTTGACCCAAACCATCCAGTTCTCCATCTGGGCAATGGATGACGTGATTTCCAGGAACTGCTTGCGCTCATCAAACTGATCCTTGGGCCACAACGAAGCACCAACGCAATGGCCAAGACCATTCATGCGCCGAAGGAAGCCAGGATAATCATGGGATCCCGGGTATCCCCCAAAGTTGTACTGTTCAATCCAACAACCCTCGAAAACTACAAAATCGGGTTAGCTTGTTTATATAAATAGCGCGGATCAAATACTGACAGTCAAGAGTGCTGCGGATCAAGTTCAACGAACAGAAAGGACCGAAATGTCGGAGAACATTTGGGAAGTGTTCGTTGACGAGTCTCCACCAAGGATGAGCTTGTTCCCTGCCAGCCTGCAGATCATCGAAGTAGTTCTCCATAGTGGGATGAGGATCATCTTTGCTATCATCCAGAACGAGCGTATAGGTGTAGTGGATTGATAGATCTGCCATTAGCTCTTTGGAGATCTTGGCCCAACTGTAGACAACCATGCTGACGATGGTTTGGAGTGAAGCCTGCAAGCGCTTGGGTTCAACCTTCAGTAACTGTTGCTGGCGAGGTTGAGCGAAATGATGAGCAGCCTTAGTGTAGGCATAGTGCAGGTTCTCGATGCGTTCTTCTCGAGTATAGTTGGTGTCTCGATATTTGATGTACTCCAGAAGGCGCACAGTTGTGTTGAGAAAGTACTGTGTCGGGAATTTCTCCATTGTGATAATTGAACTAAACGAAGTAATTTCAATAGAAACCACTAATGGTACTTGTTCTAGGTAAACAACCAAATACAACTGGTTGCTGCCTTCGTCTTATATCGACCTGTTCTAACGAATAATTGATAATGATAAATTGATTGATAATAAACAGTCATCTCAGGATAAACCTCGTTTTCTCCTTTAACTTACATGCCGACTTGTCAGGCCTGAAGATTGTTGGTATGGAATCTTGCGTCAGCTAGCAGTGGTAGTGTTGTTACCATATTTCTTGGGACTCCTAGAACCTTGGAAATCCTTGACCAGGATTCAAACCCCAGCTTGAAAGTTCGGTCGGTTTTTCTGCAGTTTGATCGCATTTTGCAAGGCTATGCATGCGATTAGTACGGAATATTGACCGCCTAGCTGGAAACCGTCCTGTGGGCCTGATCGCAGGGGTGAGTTGCTAGCTTAGCCATTCGCTATAATCCACTTCTCATTGGCCGCATAGCGACGTCCAGGCCTCTTGAACGACCATCGGCGATGCGCAAACCCCTAGCTTCGCAAGTCATGGCACTAGCATCTCGGAACTTCCCAGAGGCCCTTACGCTACAGGCTTTATGCTAGTCCACGTTGGCATATAGACAGCTACAGCGTAATCCTCCACATTCAAGACTCGTAGCCAAGTTAATTGCGCTTGTACGATAACCTTGAGCAGCCTTGACTCTGCAAACGGCCGCAAATCCCCTTAGTGAGGTATAACTGGCAGTGCCTTGTGCGAGAATTACCGGTCTGAAGATACCCACAGGCTGGGCTTCAAGATACCATTCCTGGTCTGTGCATTGGATGTCTGGGTTTTAAATAGATAGTTGAGCCAGCCTGGAGCTCTGCTTAAATTCCAGAATAAACCGAACAAGGAATCTCTAACTTTTTCTTGTTTATTGGGAGCCACTATCCTATGATCAACTCTCTCGGCGATTTTGTAGGTTTATATTCGTTTGCTGGGCAGTGACAAATACTAACCCACCGAATCAGCCAGGATGGCTAACGCTACCATCATGAGGAACCGATTACTACGGACTGCATGTGATCGCTGTCATAGCCAGAAGCTACGATGCCCTCGTCCATCAAAAGCCGATAGCGATAAGGGCGACAAGACTTGTAATCGCTGTCGAAGAGCTGGAAAGATCTGTGTTTTCAGTAAACGTGGAAAGTCTGGTCGACCCAGCAAGATCGTGACGGCTGGAGCACGGTTGAGGTCGTCATTCTTGGCAGAACCCGCGGAAAGCGAGATATCTACGAGGGGAAGCATCACATCTCCATCCCCGGAAGTTCCGAACCCTGAAGCCATCCTGGATAGTGTTACAGTACAGTCTGAACCTGAGGCTTCCAAGGAGAATATTGGATCTGTGAGGCATAGCGCGGAAGATACCCGAACTCTCTCGTTATCAGATGTCCCACTACCGAGTTGTACGCTTGGTCAAGAAGCAATGCCAGCCCCCACAGTTCTTGCTGTCTTGACTGCGAACTCTGACCATCAACCTCTAAGCCTTGAGACAGACTCCACACAAACCCTCAAGGAAGTCGAGATAGACTTTCCTACGGCCTATGATCTCGGCACACATCAGTTCAACACAGAAACCCAATCTATCCCCACGCCTCAGCTGTCCGAATCGCCAAACGGACTTGGCAGCGAAACATGGAGCGATTTCCTGCTTTCCAGCAACTTAAGCTTCATCAACGATATTCCCAATCCGGGGGTCCAATTGCATCAAACGGTTGATAAACAAGGATCAATATTCAACAATTCAGACCCTGCAGCCTTCGATTTATCGGCATCTGGCCATTTTCCATTTTTGGACTGTGGTAACGCGATAGATTCTCATCCTTTTGGAGATGTAACTGGGGTGCTGTCGGGCCTCAATAGCAAGATTACATGTGCTTTAGCCAATTACAAAGCCATGGTTATGATCGACGACTCTAACAACCTGCAGCTGTACCACGTTGTACAAGATATAATTGACATATCACGACAGTTGATTGCTATTACAAAGCAATGTTTACCCTACATCCCTACCACGCCTGACTCGTCACCTGCAAGCTCACCGTCTTCCGCAGTGGATGAATTGCCGGACGGTTCATCCCGGACCGGTCCCACTATCTGTAAGCCCCCTGCATCAATCTACCCTAAGCCTTGTCCTACATATCTGACATCTCCAAGTTGATGAACATGTCAATTGGTCTCGAGTGATCTTCCCATTTCTTGCCTGTTACTCTCTTGCACTGGACTATTTCGAGCTCGTGCTCAATGGCTTGTACTCGGTGCCTCGTTCTAGTTTACAGTCATCTCTGGACGCATCCTTGATCCCGAATGTTTTTGAGCTCTTTTTCACTCAGATACAAGATGCTTTCGTGGGAAGCCAAACATCTCTGCTAGACCCACCTCATTCTTCTGAAAATAGTACAATCGACGGGACCGAACTCAATGGTATTGGCGAGACGCCCCTCAGCGGTAAGAATCAGAGCGTATTGTTTCTGGACACAGCGTTGGATGAAATTCGCGAAAGAGGGACACATCTTTGGGATCGGTCACGGAAACTCGGCATGACGCGTCGTAGATAGTATTAATTGAAGCACAAAGCAACTCCACGTTCCTGGACCATGGCGCATGAATGATCGTGGTCGGTTATTGCGGCATGTAGGAAATTCTACCACCTGCCAATTGAGGCAGTTCATAACTTAACTTCCGAACAGACAGCTTTACCCGCAATTCATCCTCGATGCGGGTCTCAGATTGGTGTGAGATTTGGCACGCGGCATGACATCAAGGGGCGGGCTGAGCCTCTTCCAGGGTGATAGGTTACATCTAGGCAACCGCGAAGGATTCTGTGTGACTTCGACAGACCTGATCAGGACGATTAAGGTTTTATCGCCCTGGCCGATCTGGCTGGGACTCGACGAATAAAAGGTGGGCGAAGGATTACATATGGGTCCTTTCGTGATGAAAAATGGTTCTCAATTTTAAAGATCCACCAAGTCAAGGCGACAACCCACTTTCAAACGTTTCAGCTGCGTACGTACGGAGTAGTATTAAGTTTGATCAAGGAACAAATATGCACGTTGCTAGTAAAGCTGCTTCTGAATGATGATCGCGTCAGGCATGACTGCTCATAGTCTCCTCTTGTGTATCCGCCTATAATGATCCCGCATATTATCCACCCGACTGAAAACTCGCAGGCATTGCCGTCCATCCTGGTCATGCCAAGGGCACTGAACTGTCGGCTTATGCTTGGACTCGTGTCGCGCACGATCCTTCCGTGTAGCAAAACCCCTCGTGCCATCAACATCTCGTAAATCTTGAGCCGACTGCGGACATTCTGCATAGCGACAGAAGAAGCGCTTGAAATGTTGACGATAATGACGCCGAAAGTCACGTCCGTTGTCAAAGATGGCGACTGACTTGCAGTTTGGGAACGGACATCCACTGGGTTGTGTGAATTTGGGAAGTATGATCAGATCGCTTGGCGTGGCGTCGATGAGATCGTGGGATTTTGTGACACATGGTTCGATAGGTGGTGTCACTAGGCCATGCTCGAAGCGAACGTTAGGAACCTCGTACAATTGCTGAGGGTCTAAATCCACCGTAGAGAGAGGATAGGCGCAGAAGTCGCTAAAATCCGCCGATAGTAATTCTGTCTCTAACATTGGCGGTGCATAGTCGTTGAAATCTATGGGAAAGCTGTTGATATGGTCTGGCGAAGAAATACGATCAAACAACGGTAGGGCGCTCCAAGACTGGTAACACGGTTGAGGAATTGTAGACATCATGAGAAAATTGGAACATGAACATTGCCATCAGTCAATAGGTTGATCGACTATGGAGTATATAAAAGACTTGGCTGTTGGGTCATGAGTTGATGATGCTGGGGAACAACGGTAGTTGAATGGCAATGGTCTACATGAGATGTAATAAGCTTCTAAGCGAGCACATGTGAACCACCACGGGCCACAACGGACAACGATTATCCCACTCTTCACAGTGGCGACTAGAGATTCTGAGATGTTACTATGTACCATCTTCACGGACTCGCCGTATGCAGAAACACCAAGTAAGAGCCGCCGTCTTCGAGATCTACAGGGCCCGCTGAGGTGAAAAGGTTGCATGCATATCAGGCAGTGATCTACCAAGAGGACAAATACGACTTCGTAATGGCGCAGATGCCGATTCGAACACTGTCTGAAATAGCTGTTAAGACCATGACGAGATCCCATCATCTCTTGCAACTGCCTAAAGGACTTCAATTGTAATTGGATCATCTTACCCTAATCTCAGCAAAGGTATACTGAGAGAAGAGAGAAGATGTCGGTTCTCCTCTTTACAAGCTTTCACTAGTCTCCAGTAAATGATTCGAAGGTGCACGGGATTACCTAAGCGTTCTGCAATGTCTAGGGTCTCAAACAAACACAGACCTGGCCAGTGGGGACAGTAGAGTGAGGCGGTCATAAACTTTCTACGAGTAGTACCAGTCCATGCATATTAAACTCCTGCTTCTTTTGTATTGAAATGGCAGGGTCTTGGTAGATAAAGTTCTCACCTCGGTCCCGACCTTATAAACTCAATTATCACTGTACGAAGCTACAGGTGTATGAAACACTTTCTTCCACGCGATGCGATTGCCGTAGCTCAGTACCTACGCCCCATGTTGCCGCGCGGCTGCAAGCCTTCATAGCGGGCTGCATCGGCATGTCTCCTCCTGCACGTTTCTGTTCGGTGCATGGGCTCGATAACTTCAGGCCCGTCAGGCCTCTCGCATCCCTCTTGTATCGACGTACTACACATGTGAGGTTGTGTGTATAGTAGCTATGGTTAGCACGACTGGGACACGGATGATCGTAACAGGAATAATGTTCCGATTCTTATGCGTCTTCTCAATACAGACAGATAGAGTGAGACAGGACCGGACTTTCACTACCAACACAGCACCTGCGATCAGGTATCAATTGTATATAATAGTGGTAATTGTTATATCTATCTCCAATATGTCTATCAGTAAGATCTGGTTTCCTTTAACAAGCATTGCTACAAAGGGTTCTGGGCGACACAACGATGATTGACAAAGACTTGATCAAGGGTGCCTTAAACATTCCCATCAGCCATGCTGTTGGGATACTGGCAGCGTCATCTATTATCTACTTCCTCGCTACTTGTTCCTACAATCTCTATCTCCACCCGTTGCGAAAGATTCCGGGACCGAAGCTAGCCGCAATTGGGCCTTATCTGGAGTTCTACCATGAAGTCATCCGAGATGGCCAGTACCTATGGGAGATCGCCAAGATGCACGAGAAATATGGTAAGATAGTTGATAGACTGCTCCAACGACTACTCAGCTGACAAAAACGTTCCAAGGTCCCATTGTTCGCGTCAATGCTCGCGAGGTTCACATTAAGGATTCATCATACTATTCCACGATCTACACAGCCGGTTCCCGAAAGACTAACAAGGACCCTGCCACTGTCGGTGCTTTCGACGTCCCCACTGCTACTGCGGCTACTGTAGATCACGACCATCATCGCTCTCGTCGCGGCTACTTGAACCCATACTTCTCCAAGCGAACTATCACCAACCTGGAACCTCTGATTCACGAGCGCGTCTCCAAGCTGCTGTCCCGATTCCAAGAGCATCTTGACAAGAAGCAAGTTCTCAGTCTTGATGGTGCTTTCTGTGCCTTGACTGCCGATGTTATCACCTCCCGATTCTACGGTAAACATTACGACTACCTCAACCTTCCGGACTTCCACTTTGTGGTTCGTGATGGGTTCTTGGGTCTCACCAAGGTCTACCATTTGGCTCGCTTCCTGCCTGTCCTGGTCACTATTCTCAAGCGTCTTCCATATAGCTGCATTCGCATGATCGCACCCTCTGTCGCTGATCTTCTCCAGATGCGAAATGAGATCCAGGACCGTGGTGCAGGCGAGTTTCTCTCCAACAAGAGCTCTGAAGCTAAGGGCTCTATCCTTTTCGGTGCACTCGCTGATACCCACATTCCGCCTCATGAACGTACTGTTGAGCGAATGCTGGATGAGGGTACCGTTATCCTGTTTGCTGGCACTGAGACTACTTCAAGGACTTTGGCTATCACCATCTTCTATTTACTCACTCACCCGGAGTGCCTGAAGAAGCTTCGAGACGAGTTGAGCAGCCTGCCCAAGTCTAAGAACAACCAGCATCCTCTCTCCACCCTTGAGAATCTTCCATATCTGAGCGGTGTTGTCCATGAAGGGTTCCGTTTGGCCTTTGGCCCCATCTCTCGCTCAGGCCGTGTGGCTACCCAGGAGGACCTCAAATACAAGAACCATGTCATTCCCAAGGGGGTAAGTTTATTCTTCACCGTTAAATGCTTACAATTACTAACATAAATCCCAGACTCCCATCTCGCAATCCACCTACTTCTGTCACACTGATGAGAGTATCTTCCCTGAACCCGATAGGTTTCGACCTGAGCGTTGGATCGAGGCTGCCGAGAAGAAGATCCCACTGAAGAAGTACATCACCAACTTCTCTCAGGGCTCTCGGCAGTGCATTGGATATACGTAAGTGGCCCTTGACTCCGCTGGCTGGAAAGACATGCTAATATTGCCAATCAGTATGGCCTTTTCTGAGATGTACCTGGCTCTTTCTCGAATCGCTCCAGCATACGATATTGAGCTTTACGATACCACCAAGGCCGACATTGATATGACTCATGCCCGTATCGTCGGATACCCCAAGGCTATTCCTGGAAAGACTGAGCATGTTGGTGAAATCCGGGTAAAGGTCCTTGGGCCCTTGTAGGGTATAAGGGTAGTTCCTGGAGTGAACTCCATTTCCTCCAGGCCTCACTTGGAGCACTTCTTCAGGACAGATGGACATTAAATTTAGTATCATCTTGCAAGTGTTGGGAAATTTTATCAGCTGTAGCTACTGTACAATTCGTTTAAACTCATGGAGACATCATCAGTGTTATGTCTCCAAATCCGCTAGTCTACTGCTTCCATTTGGACCGACCCTCCTCCATGAGCTTAAATTCCCATTGAATCCAGATGCTTGCCATTAACTATTACTTCTGTAAATGACCAGCATCTTCAGCGTCGACACCTCTGTACTCGAAATATTCGGCCCATTCTCGATCCTTGATAAGGTCCTCTGCTAATCTCTTCTCATAAAATATCGCAAACTCACAGCCCTCATCAGACTCAGGAGAGGGATCTCGCGGTGGATAGATAACAATAACACCCTCAGTAATGCGATCAAGCAGATGGCGATATGTAACCGGCTTGGCAAAGCCAAAGTCGGCGGCGGTTATTTTCGCATCTCTGTGATCGGTCTGCAGGATCGACATTGGAGGCTGTCCATCGACACGAACATTGAGAGACGTCTTGTCACGAATCGTAGCGACCATCTCGAGCGTCTTATCGAGATTCTCCTGTGTGACACTGTCGGTCAGGTGGCGTATGTATGAAGCTAACTCAGAGAATGACCACTCAGAGATTATCTGAGAAACGGTAGGTTGTTGAACAGGCGCGGTAGGAGAAGTCACTGCAAACATTACATTGTGTTGGATTCGAGGTGGGACTTTGGGACTGTGCGTTCGTCTTCTCATATCAATGGCTTCGCACCACCACAGTGTCGATGATGGATCAGGATTGAAGACTGAGGCTCGGATTCGAGTAAGGTTGCGCCAGATGAACGCAGAGAATGCATCGTATGTTGAGATCCAGCTTCCATCAATCGGCATGGCCTTGGCTTTGAGCTCGGCTGCTTTGCTCTTGGGTAAATGAAACAGCAGCGACACGCCGACTTGATGCCCTGGGTGACGTTCTTGGGGAGCTGGACCATCAATCTTTTCATCTTCTTGTGGCTCATTTTTGATCAATCGGGAGACATCCAGATTCAGAGGGTTCCAACTGGGGAATTCGGTACGATTTATGGTAGCGTAACAATTCTCGGCGAGCTGGTGGACAAAGCCGGCCCAGCCCATGACATCGTTGGTGTAATGATGATGATGGATATTGAAGACCAGCCCACCACGAATAAAGTTCGCTTTAAAGGCCGAAACAACAGGACTATTATCGGGATGGGCCTCTGGCTTCTCGCCATAAGTCATTGGGGGCACACTCCATTGCTGGAGATCACCAAGTGTCACTGCACTGAAGTGTGTCTTCTCCAGGTCTTCAAATGAGGGGTACTTGTCTGCATCCTCGGGCGCGTCAAGCCACTGAACGATGAAATCGACAGTGCTATCTCTCTTTCTAGTGAAAGAATGGCCGCCATCAGGGTCTTTCTCGATAGTGCCGCAATAATGGCGCGCCTGCGCTAGAGTTCTCTCCAATCCAGATTTGAGGACTTCAACAACTTTCGATTTCTCCGATTCTTCCAATCTGAAGAAGAGCGCGTAATTATTGTAGCTGCATACAGTAAGGTAATCAAGCGTAGTCACTTTGAACCTTTCCTCTTTAGGATCATTCTCCCATCCAAGGGGATGAAGATGGTAGGTGTCTTGTTTAGGCATGGCGTGGGTTTGCTAGTTGTAACTAGAGGCTTTTTGTGCAAGAACACGATGATGAAATTGCGGTTTGTCCAAGTTCTCCATCGTGAATTGTGCGCTAAACATCCAATCCATGTTTCATTGGCCTGGAAAGATCTGGTTAATTTCCCGAGCCGATCCCTGTATCCTAGGGCTCAATTTCACCCTCTTAGAACCGCTCGCTTACGAGCGTCCGAGTAACTATTGACAAGCTATTGAAGCTTGACAGATCGTTTGATCTGGACTGAGGTATCGGTAATTCAGGGGAAAAGCTTGTTTTGGCAATAGTTACTAATAATCATTCTTTAAAATATGGGCAGTCCCCATGGTGGCTTCTCTTGGCAAACGGTTTGTCTTGGCAAGCTGTCTGTCTTTCGTTAACATCTGATCAGCCTTCACTATGCGTGTCTCATCTTTTACCGTCGCCTTTTTTATGGCTGATGTGGTTGTCGAGGCTGGAGTTTGCAAGCCAGCACGCAAGTAACCGCACGTATCTGTCCTCTCCACTGAGTACTGACGTTTTTCAGGAACAACTACTGCAGAGTCACTCGTCACTTCAAGTGTAGAATCCTCCACAGCACTTCCTGCTACCTCTACTGAGCTCCTTTCTACCGTCACCATCGAGGAGACCTCAATTGCTACGACAGCCACGGAAGCTGATGTCACCACCGCTGGAGAGGCTTCTACAACTACGATCGAGGAAGCTTCTACCATTACTGAGGAAGCCTCTACAACCACCACTGAGGCAGGGTCATCTGCGACACCTGGATCAATCGTAAGCACTGGGCCAGTCGCCGGCCAGACTATGAAAGGAGACGGCTCGCGATTCGTACCCCTTTCCTTCGCATCATCCGACTCGACCCAAACCTTGGTCTTCAGTCTTCTCTCCAACGGCCAGCTTTCCACAGGTGGCAACAACAACTACTTATGTATGAGCTATAGGGATGTGGGTGTTCTTGGCCCACTTGTTCTATGCCCATTCGACAATTTCACAAATGCTCCACTCAAGTGCTCGCGGGCTTCCAGTGGTACTCTCTCTTGCACTGCGCCAAATGGATCTTGCACCACCGCAGGGACTTGCCAAAGACCCAACAATGCCGCGCTATTCTTTCAGTTCTATGTCGATAATATAGGGACAGGCTATTTTGGCCCTGCTGGCGACTTCGCTGGCTTTACGGCTCTCGACTTAACTCTTACCGAGTAAATGACATTGATTCGGATACACATGTAGCAGTAGAGTAGTGACGAAGGGGTATACGTGTATGTTGAATTTAGCTGGTTAGAACATTCTCTCTTCTAATGTTAATTACTTCCAATCCGTTCATGAAACAGAGATTTGTCTCTCCAGTACGGAAATATCAGAGGTTTCCTCCTCTAGAGACCCAAAGCTAGATATCCACCAACACTTCCTGGCCTCCAAGCTAGCCATGATAATTTCTCTAATGCAATGCTTCACTCATAGGCTCAGCTATCTTTGGCGGATAGCCAGAATCGTATGATGTATCTGCCCCCTGAGCAACCGAGTAGTATACCTTTGGTGTGCGGTTAAAAACCAATCCGGGATGGGCAACAAACAGACAGAACACCGCAACAACAATTAATCTGCGCCAACTGTTAGTTCCAGATCATTAGTTCAAAGCCAGGCAAGAGAAAACTTACACTCCTTCCAACGCAATAAACAAGTCCTCATGTTTGATCAACTCTCCCGAGTACCCTTCCTTGAGCTCATCCGCACGGAAGATACAACGAGCCAGAGTAGCCAGTACCGCAATGGCAAGGAACCCAAAGAAGAGTTTGTCCCTAGAACCGAGGGTTTTGGACTTTGTAGATCTCAGATACCGGAACATATAGTCTGCAAACAGGATACTGAATGAAACAAGCATGATGACTTGTAGGATGAGTCCTGCCATAGCGACGTCGACGCCAACTTGGCTGGCACCTGAGGAAGAAGCTGACAGGCCTCCGCCAGTCCCTTGCAAGATGAGCGAAACAATGTCCATAGGTACATATACCCAAGCAAAGTATTTAGTTGGGAATCTAGCGAGGCTTGGACCATAGTGTTCGATACTATTGAAATGTCAGTATGATTGACTCCTCTTAAAATTGGATGATAACTGACCTTTGGCCCAGAGTGACGTAGATTGCCGCACAGTAGAATACGGGAGCTTGTGTAATAGCAACTGCAGCAGGTCAGTATGTCTAACCTCCTAGATTCAACAACAAGACTCACTGATTTGGGTGATGAAAGCACCAAAGCTCCATGGATTTACCCACAAGAGAATTCGCGCAACGTAACCGGTTACCTCATGGGTACAACTCAGAATCATACACCACATAAACCAAGGCGTCTTCCATCGCCAGCCTATGTAGGCATGCACAAAGGTGGCGATAGTGAAGAGGGCCGCGAAGGAAATGTTGGCGGCGAGAGAAGGACGGTAGCCATATACGCTCGCTTCAATTGGGCAAAGCTAGACTTGGGTTAGTGTTCGATACTCCCGTAATCATGGTCGTGTTATTAAATCAGTGAGCTTTAGATGTGAGACGTACTTCCAGGGTACAGTTGGCCTTGGGCCCAAACATGACAAAGTTCCCCGTGTCGTTCATGGTCGGAGTGTGAGTAAGGGTCGAGTTGAACAGTAATTAGAACTATACAAAGGGCCTGGTTGCTTGAAACTACTCAGAGGTCATATCTGGGTTTTTCTGGTCTCTTTATACAACAATGTGATCTACATAACACTGCCTCATTCGCATTCGCACACAGATATTAATGATAACAACATATTGTTTTCGTTTACATGTTTCGCACTAAGACGCCGAAGGATCACTCCATGTCAGCAGTAGTGAAACAGGGGATTTGAAGGGACGATCCCTGCAGAGGTGATCATATGGAGCTGTTGTTGATGCCGCCGTACCTGCTTGTTGTTATAGACGTGCAGTATTGGCCGAATTATTGAGAACTTGGCTGGATGGTAGACAGGATACTGGTCAAGCTGGAATACCAAGATTAGATCAACAGTTTAGACGCCATTCCAAATAGACATGATCAACAATCCCATCTGGAAATGCCCATATGAGTGATTGTTACAGTACAAAAGTGTCAGTGTTGTCAGGATCGACAATGCTTGAGATATGGCAAGCGTTGCGGGCCAGCCAATCCCCATCATGTTCTGTACACCGTCACGAGAAGATAAAATTCAAGCCAGCTGGACTCTTCACAAAACAGCCGCCGTGTTTGCTATGGTGTCAAGAATGTCTCTCATTCGGATCCTTCAATGGAACCAACCGTCAATGCAACCGTGTAAGCAGATTAGTCTAACCTCGTTTGAGTTAGCCATGCGACACAGCCAATCATCAGCTATCACGCTGAGTCCACTTAAGCAACTAGGATGTTTCTGGTCATTTTCCCCAGCCATGGATAATAAGCTTAACCACAGTCTACAGGGATAGATCATCCAATTCTGCCTTACGCTTGGATTTGTGAGCATCCCAGCTACGCGTCTCGGTCTTTGTGTCATATCGCCACATGATTTTGCAGTCTAGCAAGAAACACCGAGATATGCGGTAGGATTGTATATCTAATTTGGGTGCCATTCACCAAGCAAGAATGTCTCTTGATTGGAGAATGCAAAATCCTTCGTCTCCTCTAATAGTCCAGCCATCGATAGCGCTACCTGGAGACCCATTTTCTTACCAATTTGACGGATTATCCCGGCTGCCCATAACCTTTGCTCTGGAGGGGAAGTCCTCTGGACGGCAGCGAAGAAGAGTGGCCAAAGGAGCAGGAAACCTCCCGGAGCTGTGTTATTATCCTCCACGTCGATTGTGGGGTTTTCATCGTTTTGTCGATACCCAAGATGGTATGCCGCGCTGTGACAAATGCCATCCGCCATAATCCGCAGTACCTTGTATGAACTTTGCAGAGATTGCTGCTGTTGTTCAGTGCCATGTTTGAGTGTAGCTACAATGATCGACTCGTGAACTAGCAGTCGCGCATTGCGATAACAATTCCACAGACACGCGATCCAAGGATTTGTGTAAGTATCGTACTGGAGGTCGTATCTGCTCGAAGGCACGCCATCGGGTCCGACAGATCGATACGACTTGTACTCCCAGCTAGCTGGTAATGATTGCGCCCATTCTTCCATCATAACATCAAACGGTAGAAGTCGATTGGAGATAACATCAGGATCAGTAATCTCCTGGTATTTCAGTTCGGCTCGAGCACCGGCAAGAGCCTCGTTAATCTGAGACAGTTGGTTGATGGGGATATAAGCTTCTGTTTGATGTGGCTCTGCCCACTGGGACCATTTAGCTATCTCCAATGGGAAGGGTTCCTGCAGCTGATGACATGTAGTTATCTGGCGTCGGGTTAGTTCATGTATGTATGTTACTAGTAAACGCACCACATTACCATATGACGCCGCATCTGCATGAACAGCTTTAAACCAACCGGGGTCTGAAACTGCTGAGGACCGCGCATCTCAATACATCGAGCCGCTGCGATGATATGTTGGCTGAAGGCCTTCATTGAGCTCGTATCTGCAAACGCAATTGTCTAGCATATTTAGCAGACATACCAAGCCCGAAGCACTGAATTTACCTCGAAGGTTCCCATCAACAGAACAGCTCCAAGTGTCTCATCCGCAACCCTTTGTACTGGGTCCTGTAGGGCGTTCTGCAGCTGCTGTATCGCGATTTGGTAAAGTCGTATCGACTCAGAGCGCCATTCTGAGACGTTGCCAGCATTGGAAAGAGCAGCAAATCCTGCTGCAGCCACCGTTGTGCTAATTAATCCGAATGCAGACCTTTCATTCCAGATCAAGAAGGGAAGATATTCGTGGCTATCTTGCAGCGCCCCATTTGAGACATCGAAAGTATACTGTCGTATAAAGAAGGTCGTGGCTCTGTCTCTGAGTGGTGATGATAAAGGCCGCTTCCAAGTCTCCGGCTCTGTGGTCAATGTTATAGCTTGACCTGCGTTTCTTCTTGCCATGTCCGTGGTAGTTTGATGGCGGAAGATCGCTCCTGTATTGGAGGGTCCCGGACAGGTCCATCCTGCAGTCTTGCACTGGGTACACTCAGGTAACAATAGATCACACTATATATCATTAATTTAGTTGTAGGAAGTCTCGTGAACATGGAGTGCCGCACCTTAATTTTCCGCTGCTTACATGTCGCACAACCGCGACTTGGCTTTCCTGGATTGACCATACCTACTTAATGGTAACTTTTGAGGTAAAGGTGATCTCAGGTCCGGGCCTGACGAGGAAGCACGAGGATAGGCTAATGTGGCTGGAGTATTGTTGATCCGCTCCTGGCCCCTGGCTATTTCCAAGCTAATATCTGGATGCAACAGTACAAACCCAGGATCGATCTGTCCATGAGCAGTGGGGTACCATATTCAGCTGACTCCGAACGTACTTTGTCGGGGCATACGAATTATACAAAGGGTCCGGTCTCTAGGCTCATTATAGAGGCTTCTACAGCACTGCCATCTTAACCATCCGACTGGTTTATTACAGATATTCACTTATCGTCTTTGCATGGGCACTTCAGTAGCAAATTGAACATTATATTAATATTGGTGAAGTGAACGAAATCCTTTTAACAAGCCATATATATACCACAAATTAACCACCCAAGCTCTCAATGAATCAGCGCCAGTCTCTCAGGTGCGGGTGTGTGGACAACCACAGGAATGTTGTGGCTGCCTGTGCTATTCCACTCTGGTGTTGTTGTTGTTTGAGACCCTTCAGATCCTCCCGAACCTCGATACCAGTTTGTCTCGGGATCTCCAAGACACTCTCCAACCGTAACCGCTAGACAAGAGTTAACAACCATTTTCATCATCGGGCCCAATAGACTTACCTCTCTTTCCACTTTTTTGCGTGGCCTGGATAATACGGGGAAGAATATTCTCGACCGTGTTCTGATGGACATCGTGCATGAGAACGATGGAGCCTCCATGGCTCAGCCCGTAGTTGTACGAATCTACCGAGGGTTCGGCACCACCGAAGGAAGAATACTTCCAATCGTTGGTGTCGATATCAGCAATAATGACTTTATACCCCAGCTGACCGAGTACTTCAAGAGTTCGGTCGCTGAAGCTAAAGTATGGAGGACGCATGTAGACGGGGTCCTTACCTATCATGTGAATGAATTGGTTGCTCAGCAGTGCCATTTGCTGTTCAACGTCGAAGTCAGCCAGGGTAGCAAGATCAGGATGGCCGTATCTAAAGATGATCGGTTAGCAAGTTGTCCTTGTGCGCTTGTTCTAGGCTGGCACTTACGTGTGAGATGCAACTTGATGTCCTTCATTGATCATCCTTTCAACAGTGGATTGGTAGTCCTCAATATTCCCCAGGTTGTACCCATTGAGGAAGAATGTGGCCTGGAACCCAGCTGATGCAAGCTGATCAAGTACAGACTCGGTATAAACGAAGGGTCCGTCATCGAACGTGAGCGCAACTGTGTCCGGCGTGGTGCAACTGTAGATTGTGACTCCAGATGTGAGAGCCCTCTTCTTCGGTTGCGCAGGAATTGTAAGAGCCGTAACCAGATGGCTCAAGGAAGTGAGGACTATGAAGACACGCATCGTAAAAGCGGATTAGGAAGAGTTGAGTAAAAGATGAGACGATAAAGAGAAGGTCGAGATTCGAATTGCAGAGTAAACAAGCACGGCAGTGCTTTCTTGTATTAAATCTATAGCTATCTACTGCACTACCAAATCGGAATTGGACAATAACAAACTCATCTTCGTCATCGTATATGCAAGGAGGTAAGCTAGAAAGCCACTTGATGATAAGGTTCTCGGGTTTCCAGAGCGACAAGGGTCGTTCGGAGCTTTTTGCAGATCAGAGGTACTGTGGCTTGCGGTTGACATCCAATAAAGTGCTGGAATGTAGACGCGACCCGATGATGGTCTGAGGATTTATTGTCTTGGCGCGTCGCTTTCGCGCCTTGGCAAAGCCACTTTATTTCCCAATCGCTCGTCTCGGCAGGAACCGGTTCCCAGGATGGTGACATGCGTGCTATCATTTAGACCTGCACAAAAGTGATCCGGATCACAATCTTCGATCCGTTCCTCGTCTATGGAAGTTGTAATCCAGGGTAGCAACATCTCAGTAGGGTTTGATTTTCTTTTCGTACTTTTGCCACCTTTTTCACCGTTGACTGCTCGATCGATTCTATTACAATTTCTTCTCGAGTGCTAAGGTGATACTTCTGTAATCGAACCTACCCTGTATCATCACGTACTTTTCTCTCGTCGGGACAGCTCACGCTGTGAAGCCATCCTCAATTGCGATTAGGCTCTGCAGGTTCAAATGTGGAATTACTGAAACTAAATTACACTTGGGACATGTTTTGATTAAGAGAGTTGAGTTGCGGTTTCGTGTTGCCCCATATTGCAACATACTCGTTGTTTTAGGGAAAAGAGAAACTCAAGACCTGCAAAAGAGTACACGAAGACGACATGCGTACTAACACGCAGCCACCCCTACTGCCGCGATCTAAGTTAGTGCTCGAGTACTTCTACAAGAGTTTAGTCACATGACTTTCGCCCTCGTGTAGAAAGCGCTCAGACCACTGCACCTTATCTATGACGTGGATACCAACGCTGTCCTTGCTTCGGGGTTCAGATAAACCAAGGGCCCGGACTTTGCCAGCAGATTACCCGTACGCGTTTAGCTACCCGTACATCCGGAGTTAGCCGTACCCATTTACTTTCAGCCAATAGAAAAAGTGGGAAGACATTCGACGTGGTCGACCTGGACGAAATGGGCCCCTGAAAATGTTCCCCTCCATCAACAGTCATGGTTAGCATGAGTTTAGCTTCAATGCTGTACTACGTGTTGTCGTTGCCCCCGCGGAGTCGCAACAAGAAAAAGGATCACGGATCGACAAGGGCAAACCCAACGCAGCTATTCAACAGCAACCCCAAGTAGATATAAGCGCTTGTGGCTGTGCCTGTTCTAGGCTTTCGCTTACGTTAGTCCTGCAAGCATGCTGCAGCATTAAACCTTCCTAAGGCGGCATTTCAGATGGAGGGTCTAGTATTGCTGTCACTGCTCTGGTCTTCACTATGGCCATCATCAGAGAAAACTGCTAGACCACACGATCCCAGATGTAATGTAAAAATAAGTTGAGAGCCCGTCAGTTCGTCGACCCAATATGATTGATCCAGAAAGTCAGCCAACGAAGCTACAAGTAATTGATGTTTCGAAGGTAATCTACAACTCCAACGGACGACGGACGTATAGTCAGCCTCGGGAACCCTCCCCGTAGGACCGTAGGATTTATCCAGATAGGAATTATTCAATTAAATCTACTAGTCACTAGAATAAGCTGACTAAATGTGACATTCCGGACTCGGGTCTCGGACTGACTGTCTATGCGCGGTTTGGGGGCCAGAATCTGCGGGGTTTGATTTTAGGCTAACCACCTACTATCCGCAATGCCACATCGTGTTTAGGCAGTCAGCAAAGAAATCCTACGAAAATCCCTTGGCATAAGCGCTATCTCTTTAATGCAGCGGGAGTCTTTCCCGCACCTCCAACTTAAGATACTTAAATCTCTATCTGATTTCGCATAGGATAGAAGTATTCTTAATCAATAACTGCCGAGAGAAGATGGAGGAGTGGGAAGAATAGTCCCGGAGTATTGTACGAGTGGGTGCTTAAAACGGCAGGTAAAGCTTTCTTACCGAAGGATCGATGCCAAGATGCAGCATGATGCTTCAATAGTGTGAATATTGTGGAAAACCTTATCCTGAGCGCCAAGAATCGGTGAGATGGGGCGCAAGGCTCAGAGAGACCAACTTTACAAGCTTGCCTAGTCGACAGGATATAGTAGTTGGCATGAGTTGGAAGTAAAGATTGCTATCAAGGAAGATTGATCTTGAGGGGAATTTTACTGAAGGACAAGTATGGCACAGAGAGAGGATTAAGATAATTGGCACATAAGAGGAAAGCTTTCGTAGGTTATTAAGAATATTAATGGACGAGAGAAAGGACCCCACGAGCTGCACAGGAAGAACTTTGGTTCCAAGGGTATTAGTGGAGCTCTCATTCGTATCATCGCCAACAGATGCTTGCAACGCGATAGCATCAGCATTTGCCACATCTAGCGCCCCATCTGGGAGGTAGCATCGAGAACTCTATGTGTTGTTCAGGACCAAAGCGTAGTAGGATGGAAATGCTGACCAGGAAATAGTATAAAGCCAGGTGCTTCCTCCTTCAGGACTGTTCTGTTTGCTTCTATCACCATCAGCTTCTACCTCCTCTTTCCAACTCAACAACGCCAACACCACCACCACCACCCACAGCCAATATGCAATTCTCCGCAGCCATTCTCGCCCTCGCAGCCACTGTGTCGGCCGTCGACCTCAGGTCTTACACTTCTACTGGCTGCACCGGTGGCTGGGTAGGCTGCCCAGGCATCAACCCCGGCGTCTGCTGTGTGTTCAGCGAAGGAGCCGGTAGCGGTAGACTGAGTGTTTCTGTCAACGCCGTGAGTGAAACCTCTATCATCTTGCTTACAGAACTAACAGGTGTCAACAGATCCCCCGCGAATGGCGCATCCAGGGCGAGGCTTACACCGGCGGCGGCTGCCGATACATCGCAAACCAGCAAAACTCCAACGGTAACACCGACATCTGCATGACGTACAGTTCGCGCGGCGACCGCACCGGAGGTATCTACAGGTTCGTCGGCCGCAAGCGTGCCGCCGACGAGTCGTGCCCTGCCGAGCAGCCTAACGGTGAAAAGTGTGAATCCGCTGTCAAGGCTGACTCAGTTGGTCTTGCGGATGGCACTGTGTACAACATTTCCAGCCTTGCCGATGAGAAGGTCGCGGAGTTGGTAAGCTTAACAAGAAATGGATCCTGTGTGGACTAAATGCTAACTTCCTTCAAGTTGAAGATTGCCGACACCGGCGCTGGTGCCGACGAGGTTCCCGCCGAGTTCCAGCCCCTGCGCCGCTAGATCGATAGATGAAGACATACTCAAGGTCCTGGTAAGGATATGTCTCGGACTGGAAGTTGAGATCAAACAAGGACAAGCTGCAAGTAGAGCAGTAGGGTTGTAATGCTTGCTTGTGATTACAATATCTGAACACTATAGTCTACGAATACATAACGAGCTATACTGAATTAAGCTATCTTGTATTCATTTTTTCGATTGCCTCACTCTTCAAGCTACATGAAAGTAGGTTTGTATATGAGAAACATGTAAGCGCATAGGTTTATCGGCAGTGGCAGTTGTATACACTTCGATGTAAGTTTAAATACGGGTGCGCATTCATAGTCTTTATGTTATTAGGGTTCTTTCCGGGAAGCACGGACACAGCGCCAGTCCCTGCCAGCGACTTAAGTGAGGATGTGTGAAGTTATACGAACAAGAGCCCCGGGCTAGGAGACGACACCTCTTTATCGGACCTAGCCATCTTACCCAGCGCAATAAGAACTTTTCCGTCGAATCCATTCTCCATACCGCCAAAGTACAACAGGAGCGAGAAGGCAAAGAACCATGGCCGTCCCCGCAAGCAGCCCATTTCCCCAAGCGATTCCAAGCCTCTGGTACATTGCTGGCGCAAACAAAGGAAAGCTAAACCCTGCCATGGTGCGGACAAAGGCTGCAGCTCCAGTAGCACTTGCGGCATATCTTTCATATGAATCAATGATGTATGTCTGAGCGCATTGGAATGAAAGAATGAGACCTGCTGCGAAAATCGTTGCTCCAACATTAGGTATTATCCAATGGAGCTTGAGATGCGCCGCAACGCCGTAGAGAATAAGACCAGCAGGGGTAACTAGCGCTGTGGGGAACATCAAGGGAACGCGAAACTCAGGGCGCCCAGGATGATTGTAGCGCTCTTTGAGCACCCTGTAAACCTGCTACAGGTCAGCATTCAAAGTAGATACCTACAGATGCAGAGTAACAATACCTTATCAATCAATGGACCAGATATTTGGAGTCCAATGACAAAGCCGACACCAAGCGAAACATAATTCAAGCTGGCACGGCCAGGCTGTTGATTGTATTGCCCTTCCCATACCATTGGGAACGAAGCGAAACTGTCTACAAATTAGCCAATGGAGGCTGATGGGATAGTGAACGAATAACTTACACGAGGTACATCAGACCATATAGATAAGCACGGTATAGTGCAGTGATCTGTATAGCCGGTTGTGTAAACAGCATGACAAAAGGCCGTTTCAAGTTATTAAGTAGTAAGGACATGAATGTTCGATCTCGTTGCTCGAACTCCGTATGCAAGTACTTATTGCCAGTTAGCTTGCGGAGATTCCTGGCCTTGACCTTTAGAATCTTAGGTGGGTATGTCTCTTGCAGGAACAGGAACGCAAGTATCTGAACCACAGCATCGGCTATGGAGACGACCCAAAAGATCCAACGCCAGTTCAAATGCTGCGTCAGATACCCGGCAGCTATAGCATTGTTAGTTTTGACTTTGCTCGAAGTGCAGAAAATTTACCAATTGGTCCTACTGCGGGTCCCAAGAATGGAGCAAGACTGTAGATAGCAGTTGCTGTTCCTCTTTCTTCCTTGCGCCAACAATCACTCAGCACGCCCCCTCCAAGCTAAACAAGAAGGTCAGTCACAGTTAGATTCGCCGGGAATATTGACAAGCCATACCGCTTGTGGAGCACTTCCACCTAGGCCACTCAAAAAACGAAAGATCAACATTTGCTGCTTTGTCTGAGAAAAGCCACACACGGTATTGAACACCAAATAAAACATATTGGCTGACTGGAGAACAACAACCCTGCCAAACATCTCTGACAATGGAGCCAAAAGGAATGGGCCGATCGCATATGCAAGAAGAAAGATTGACATGAGCAAGTATGTCTCAAAATCCGAAGAGATGTTGAACTCAACTGCCAAGTCTGACAACGCTGGAGCTAGCATGGTTGATGACACGGGAGAGATGAAAGTGAAACAAGAGACAAGGATAGTAGAGGTCCATTTCTTGCGCCTGCTCCAGTTGTGGGGGTTGGAAGGGTCTTGGGGACTATCCCAGGTGACCTAACAGTGTTAGTGTAAATGGAAGGCACATGGAACAAAAACCTGTGTACTAACAATATTAGGATCTCTGCCCTGGGAGTCGAGGAGAGGTTCCGGAGGTAACTGTTCCTCCAAATCATCTGTACACGTGATGGATTGATCGCACTGGCTTGCTGCATCAGGGACCTCGGCGAGTAAAGACAGTGGTCTTGAGCGTCGGCAAGTCGCAGGATCATACAGTCCATCATCCATGTCATCATGCGCCAACCAAGGGTAGTTCTGGCGTGATTTCTCATAGTTGGTTAATCCCTCAAGCATGGGACTCCAAGATCTCCAAAGTGAAGAATAGGACCCAGCCCTGGAGAGCTTCGGAGTATTGCTCCTGCTCATGATTCAGACCCTACTATGAGAAGATATAAAACGGAAGGTAGCGAGTGAATCTTTGGTAATTGCGAAAACGACGGTGTTTGTAGAACGATAGTAAGAAGTTAAGCGAGTGGCTTGGTGTGATGGTGTGGTATTGAGCAGTTCAGGGCACCCTTTTATCGTTTGGATCCATTGTGTCTCATCGCCTACAATGGAGGCAGAGTACTAGGATACGGTTAGTGTTGGACGCTAGAATGCTTCTCGAGACATAGCCTCTCATGGCAAAATGGCAACATGGCAACATGGCAACCTGCAGCAAATTCACGTTATCTCATGAGTTGTGGCTTGTAAGGGTTTGTTCACGCTACCTGAATACGTCACGAGGCAGATTAGCTTACACCGGTAGATTTGTCCCTCGATCTGATCTGATACTCTTATTCCCGCCTATCAGAGTTACTTATGCGAGGACCTCAAACCTGATCAGCAGTCGTCATTGTGGTGGCTGGCGTGATGCCGCTCAGCCTTGACGATTTAGAGACTTTTTATCTGCTTGGCCTGCTTGAGAAAAGTGAGCCCATTAAATGGTACACCGCTTGCAGAAATTGAGCAGCTCTCAGAGGCCGATCTAAGGCAAGCTGCATGAGATGGTAAAGCGCTTGCGTAGTCGTTAATCTAAATTTAGACGACATATCCTATTGCAGCATGCCTGGTCGCGTGTCTCAATGTTTAGACAAGTAGGGGTAAGGGTTATCAATCTTGGCCTTTTTTCAGCTCCCCTGAAGTTACTAATTTTACAAATTGTTAAACTTGCGTGTTGCTACTTGATTGGAAGCATCCATTTGTCTCTGTCGTAAAAGTCATCTTAGGCTCGACGCTAATCGTTTAAAGGATGTGAGGGGCTTTAGAGGGCTAGCTTAATCAAGTCTGGTATGCTGGACCAACAGCGACTTAAAGGCCGGAGATTTACACAGCCACCCATCATGATTGGATAATGAAATTAAGCTTAACTTGGTTTCTTCCCTGCCTCCATGTGTTGGTATGTCACTGCTTGGCATGAAACATGATGATCTACGCAGCCCTGTGAAGCGGCATAAGGATGACGCGTCGTCCCTCCAACTAACTTGACTGAAAACTGTCGCTTGAGTGGAATTGATATGAGTGAGCCTGTTTATGCTTTGTGGCTTGGGCATTCCTATGACGCAGGTAAAACTTTCATGTAGACTCTCGTGACCTTTCTCTTTGAGAGAAGACATACGACCTGTTGCTATTCTGGTCAACTGTCTAGGCCATGAGCAGTTTCAATATCGCAAGAGGCTGAGTAACGAGATGAATGCAGGTGTGCAGTTTAATCGACTCAGAAAAATAAGAAAAAATGAAAAACGAATGAAAAACGAATTCCTAAACAGCCCTTAACGTCGTGTTAGAATAAGCAGGTTATTGTATATATAACAGGTCATGGTCCGACCGAAAAGCTTCCAATTTAGATCAATCGCATCCTCATATCACATTCGCTTATAACAGATATTCTTTCCAAACAAACTGTTGGCTACTAAACTTCCTTCGTTTTCAATAAACACTCGTTCTTATATTCATCTTAACTCCTACTCCAGCATAATGAAGACAAACTCCACCACCGCAGTACCAAGTATGAGGGTCCTCGTCTGCCCTTCAGGCTTCAAAGGTAGTCTTCAGCCAAGTCAGGCCGCGGATTGCATTGAAGCTGGCATCCTAGCCGTTGAACCTCTCGCCTTGGTCCGCAAAGTCCCACTCGTCGATGGCGGGGAGGGATTCACTGAGGCAATCGTCTCTGCAACCAGAGGCTCACTCCACCACATTCCTGTGACTGGCCCTGTCGGGGAGATTGTCATGTCTTTCTTCGGCATCCTTGGCCGGAGCAGCACGGATGAACCAGTTACTGCAGTGCTTGAAATGGCGGCGGCTGCTGGTCTCAGTCTAGTCCCGCCAAGCTGTCGCAACCCTGGAAGGACTACGACATTTGGCGTTGGCCAACTTATCCTTGCTGCGCTAGACGCTGGAGCGACCCGCATTCTTGTTGGATGCGGCGACTCTGGTACTTGCGATGGTGGTGCAGGGATGCTTCAAGCCCTTGGTGCAAAACTGTTTGGCACTAATGGGCGTCTCATTCCGATCGGTCGTGGCGGTGAATCCCTTATTAACCTTGGCGCGATCGACCTGTCTGGGGTAGATAACCGCGTGTTGAAGGCTAGAATTGAGGTTGCCGTAAATTGGCATAATGTTCTTTGCGGTCCCGAGGGGGTGGCAAATGTGTTCGGCCCACAGAAGGGATCGACTCCCGATCAAGCCGCTCGTCTGAGTCTCGCCATGGAACAACTGGCAGAGATTGCTACTGGGATTCTTTGCGACAAAAACATACGTCTGGCACCAGGAGGCGGAGCATCAGGGGGGCTTGGAACGGGATTACGTTTGGTTGGGGCCACGTTGAAGCCCAGATACGAGATTGTCATGCAGTACATCAACCTGCATAGTATCTTTAACGATTGTGATCTTGTCATCACTGCAGAAGGCGGTATAGATGATCAAACCCCGAGAGGGAAGATTCCTGCCGAAGTCGCAAGGCTTGCGAAGAAACATGGATTGCCAGTCATTGCGATTGCTGGGACAATTGGCCAGGGGGCCAGGGTGAACTACGATATTGGCATCGATGCCTTCACTTGTATCATCCAGAGGCCAATGTCTCTGGACGACGCGGTCCAGGAAGCAGAAAAGCTTACCCGAGAGAGTGCGGAGACGGTGATGAGAATTGTGGTGGTTGGGAGAATGCTGGGCAGAGCCATCTGATAGGTCATGTCCTGCATCAGAACATTGCTTCTTGTTAGTAATTCAGCCAATGATTAGTAAAGTTTGTTTCAAGTGAATGGCTTGGCGTGATAAGAAAGTTCTCAATTGATGAGTGCTCAGTTTAAAAAAAGAGGTCGGGCAGATGCCAAGCACTAAATTGTGAGTCTGCCTTGCAGTCAGCCTTAGACCATCTCTCGGCGGGCTAATGATATAAGCTTAAATCTCTAGGCGTCGTAACGTGGGGCTGAGTGGTTTCCCATCAAAACCCTACTGGCTGGCTCTTAGAGCAATGACGTGTGTCGTGCTGCTGTGTTTCCAGTTGTCGCTTATCTCCAAAAAGAAACCCCACACCCAGTTGATATACATTATGCACTGCGCATTTTCGACTTGTGAGCTTAACGCACAACATGTGCCCATGGATAATGGGTTGTCAAGACATTAAACTATTGATAGGCTTTACTCTTGGGTAGTTGAGAGTACCAAACGATCAATACATTAAACTATATACAAAGAAACTACCGCCGAAAAGGGACATCTTACTCTGTACAACCGGGACACTCAAAGCAAGAAGGATCATCCCAAGTACCATCCCGCGAGTGGTCAGGCCAATCTCTGAAGTTGGCCGTCTTGAGCTCTCCGAAAGAAAACATACATCGACCATCCTTGTACCCAGAGCCCTTGCAATATTCCGTCGCCTGGCAAATAGCCATGCATTTCTCGGGAGAGCTCTGATCAGGGTACCTCTCGAGGCTCTGCTGATTGTACCACTCCCACATTCCTTGGTAGTTGCACAAAGCACCATCCTTGCCTGCCTTGCGTGTGCATGTGTCGCCTTGCTTGTAAGAACACTTGTCCGTCTGGGGCAGAGGAGCAGAGTTGGAACATGTGGGACAATTGACGCAGGAGTTCGATAGCCAGAGGGAGTTATCGAAGTTGTGAGCGCCTGGAACCATGTCTGATTTCTTGAGTTCCTTGGCGGAGAACAGGCAGCGGTTCTCGGTGGAGTAATATCCAGCGGATTCACAGTTTTCAAGTGTCTGACAGATGGCGATACACTGATAAGGATCATCCTGGTAGGGATATTCTTCGCGAGTCTTCGTGTATGTCTCGCCGGGGTATGTGCCAGCCCAGACGCAAACAGTATCGCCGTGGTCCTTGAACCGATTAAACTCACAGTACTGCCCGCGGTTGTAGATACAGATATCAGCAGGAGCTGTGGTTGTTGTCGCGGGCGCAGAAGTTCTGGTAGTAAAGGTAGTTCGCTCAGGAGCCTGAGTGGTTGTCTCATCACTCGAACCAAAACACTTATCATTAACACAGTTAAAGCACTGCGGTCCCCACCATTCCTTGTCAATGTTGTCGCTCGTCGCTTCACGGGTGTCTGCTTGAGTGACCACATTGTTGGACCCATAGCACTTGCGGAACATTTGAGCAAAACCGGCTGATTTGCAGCCCGGTGTGGACTTACACATGGCCATGCAATCCTCGGACCCAGAAGCTTTTCCAATCCACCCATCCTGTCCAGGGAATTCGTAGAAGTCGCCCGTGTAATCGCCATAGACCCGACAATCGTGATCGTACCAGTCGTCCTTCAGGGCACACGCTGGCTGACAAACAGTTTCAGTGGGCTCACTGGACTTGGTTGTTGCAACCTGCGTGGGGACTTGAGTGGTCGAGGCAATCGCCGGAGCAGATGTATCGGCAGAACCAGACTCGCAGCCAGAGCATGTGAAGCATTTATCCAATGCATACCAGTCAACATCTCTGTCATCACTCCAGACTGGGCGGACCTCCGCCTCAGTAATAACACTGGTTGAGAGGAAACACAAAGCCCCGGCAAACTGGTGGCCAATTGTCTTGCAGCCTGGCATGGCCCTGCAGAGTTCAGCACATTCTCCGGGATTACTGTAGTAGACTCGGTTGCCCTCGCTATCGGGCTCCTGGCCTGGAGCAGGGATGATTTCACCACTGCCACTATACACTCCATAAACAGCGCAGTTCCAGTCTGCAACATGATGCCGGGCGTTGTCAATGGTCGCGCATGTTGCTTTGCAAGCGGTTTTTGTTGGCTCGACAGGCTGAGTTGAGCTTCCTACAGGCGAGGTAGGGCTAATTTCTTGGACATCATCGGATGTGGTTGGTTTGGAACCCTGAGATTGAGTGGTGATGGAGGAGGCCTCAGTTGCATCCTGGGAAGCGGTGGCGGAAGGGAGGTATGTCGACGCGGGTTCCTTGGTATGAGTGGAAGGGTCCTCCGTGGCAGTAGCAGCATTACTGAAGGTCTGGGACCCTTGAGTGTGAGGCGAGCTATTGGTCGCAATCGACGTCTCGTCGGTGCTGAAGGGAGGGTTTGTAGAGACGAGTTCTTCGGTATGAGCAGTAGCTGCCTCAGTATCCGAAGCAGCATCTGTGACGGTCTGGGACTCTTGGCCGAGGGGGAAGCTACTGCTCGCCGTCTGAGGCTCGACGGTGTTGGAAAGAGGGTTTGTCAAAACGGGCTCCTCAGCATGAGTGGTAGCATTCTCAGTATGAGAGGGGGCATTAGTGGAAGTCTCGTGTTCTTGAGTGTTGGGAGCGCTGTCGCTGACAGTGCGAGGGCCTTCCGTTGAAGGGGAACCATCAGCGGAGGATGTCTTAGACTCCATAACGCCACCTGCTTCTGTAGTAGTAGAGACAGTCACTGGAGCAGAGGCAGACGCAGGTGCAGACTCGGTGGTTGTGATAGGCTCAGGGTCAGCAGCACCACCGCCAAGGTCAAGTTTGAAGTCGCCGATGTTATCGGGAGTGACTTGGTTGGAGATGAAGATCGAGTCAACCAAGATCATGGAGATGCCCTGACCACTGCAGGACATGGAGATAGCAAAGCTGGCAGAGGAGGAGTCAGCCTCAACCTGCTGAAGAACTTGGTTCCATTGCATGTTCATTCCGCCCAAGGTGAGGAGGGACTGAGAGTAGAACTGTCTGTTGCCAAATGTCGCACTGATGGTACAGGCTTGAGTTCCAGCAGAGAAGACAAGGTAGTAGAACTGGACAGTGTACTTGTTGCGTTGACCGGTGCTGAGGGAGTTGAGAGTCTGGAACATGCTGGCAAAAGACCCGAGGTCACGTTTGCCAGCGGGGTTTCCGGTAGCAGACAAGGCAGCACAACCATCGTCCTTGCTGCCGTCTCCCTTATAACAACCTCCAGAGTGGAACTCGACCTGCCCCTCAGTGTTTACGCCAGTGAGGCCACTGGGCGTGTTAGGATCGCGTTGGGCAAAGCTGCCTCCGTCAAAGGTGTTGGTGATGATGACTTCGGATTCTTGGGTAGTGGTAGCGGATTCGGGAAGCGACAGGCTTGGAACGTTGGAACTGTGGGAAATCTCGGTGGTCGGGGCAGTGAGAGAAAGACTGTTGACAGTCGTTGGCTTGCTAGGCTTACAAGGACCAGCAGCAGCCAAGTTGGCAAGCGCCACGCCCACAAAGGTGAGCATCAACTGCATCGTGAAAGAAGTCTCGGTAAACCGTAGGCCAGGAAAAGAGTGAATGAGAGCTTGCCTCTGAAAGAAGGGATTGGGCGTTAATGTGTTGATTATATAGATGACCCCTTATTTCGGAGCAGAATGGTTACCCGACGCTGCATTCCGAAGCTATTTGCAACTATACAGTCAAGTTTTGTTTAGTTCAGGGCCTGGAGTCAGTATTTAGATTAGACAGTGCTACTATTGATGACTATTGACAGCCTCAGCGGGCCGCTTTAGCTGTATCCATGCAGGAACAAGTCTAGAACCCCAACACTAGTGCCAGTTGGTAGTAGCTCCACTGGGACACAGCTCTACCCACTCTGAATTCTTTCACGCGAAATTCCTTTCATTCAGCTGACGAAAAGAGAGACAGAAAAAGTAATATCTACCAAGTAGGCTTAGAGCTAAAGATCAAATTTATTATCCCAGCAAACAGTTCCGTACTAATTACTGTTATGATTGCCACCTGCCTTTCCTCTGAAACCCTGTGGTGAAGTGACCACCCAGTCCTTAGTTTCCGCTGTCCCATCAACTAAAGCTGCTTTCTGCTCCTTTGTGCACGTGTCGGCTGGCTGCAAGACGTAGCAGACACTGTCTATTGAGGCAGGAAGCTTGTTCTTGACGTCTCTCACGTCAGCCTTGCCGTTGGACTGGTAAGTCTCTTCCCTAGTCAATTCCACTTTACCCGTTGCCACGTCTTTTCGGAACATGGCGCGCTCAAAGATTCTGGACACTGTCTCGGGCTGGAACCCACCGGCACTGTGACCTGCTTGATACACGCGCGAGAACGAGAGGCCGCCGTGTTCGCGGACGAGACCGCCATTGTAGAATGAGTTGGTGACGATATTTGCATAACCAGAGTTGGCAAAGGACTTTGCGCTGTGAAAAGGAATATGAAGCGACGCATTCTCCACAGAAAACCCTGGAAACGTTGTGTCAGACACTCACAGGAAGTGATTTCTCTTGGAATACTTACAGTTGCAGCGGTAGTCACGGTCGCCAGACACCAGAGCGACATTGAGGCCTCTATCTAGAATATTGCCCAGGTGTGAGAGGTCATAGCGAGCCGGATCACCCGTTCCCCCGAAGAATACATCTGGGAATGCATCATTTCCTCTTGTATAGTTCAGTGGTACACCAAGCTCTTGTTGAACCCATTGTTGGTTAAAGAAAGCAGCCTCATACTCGTACGGAAATGCTCCTGGTTTCTCAACCGATATGTCGAATGGGTTGTACTTTGAAAAGATCGTTAGCACAGCTATAAAGATTCGGCTTGTATGTTTAGTAGCGGTTGTGTGTTTGAACTTACAATAGTAGCGTTGTCTACGCCTGTAAAACCGATTTCTAAACAGGTGGCTGAGGCCGCTGCACAAGCCTTATTGACGCGAGCATCAATCCCTCTCATTTGTGGATCGTTTTGTGCTTGAGCGGCTCTACAGGAACGGAGAAGGGCAAAGCAGCCCTTTTGAGGATCAGTCATTAGACCCATCAACCTAACGTAAGACGTCTCGTTAATTATGGGATGGCCGTAGGTATTATTTCTGGCATAGTCAAGCCAGCCGAGGGCCATAGCTTCGATATCTGTGACCCCATTAATGATACCCACAGTTGCCATATTGAGTTCAGTTGCTTCTTTGATCTCGTGCTTTCCGTTCTTAATAAGCTCGTTCTGTTCGAGGAAGTAGGTAGTGAACATAGTGGCATAAAAGCCAGCGTACTGACAACCGAGTTAGTTAGCCCAGGTTTATCTCGTTCTGTTACTGTAGAGACTGACAGACACTCCCCATATGGAGATTTTTGTGTTCTCAGTACGGTACTCAGGGAACTCGTTGAACCAAACCTGCGAGAATCTCCAGATCGTCCTAGCCGCAGCCATTGTGCCATTAATCGTTGTTGCCGGATCAGTTACATGCATTGTGGCTGGGGTCTTTGTGAGGTCAATCTCCTTGAGATCATTGATATCGGTGATGGACTCCAATGTGTCATTGTGTTTGTAGGCGGGCTTGAAAGTGTTGGTCAAAGTGTCAAGTGTTCCGTTTGCGAGGGTAGTATAAGAAAAGCCCACTCCCACAGGATTGTCGATGTAAAGCATATTGACATGATTGTTCCAGGAATGCTTGTTTAGCGTGGTTGAGTTCGAATCGGGGTTGAAGTAGCAAGGGAAAGCTGACGAGCCATCAAATCCGCTGTAGCCTGGACCACCGCCAAAATACATAGCGGTCGGGGCGCTCTCTGGGTTGTTTCGGGCCGCTATATAGAGATGCAACATTAGAGTTTGATACAAGTGAATGGGTGCATATTGAGAAGGGCGAGTACATACGAAAGTACCAGAAAAAGTAGCTTGCATTGCCATTCTCAGGTAACCCTTTGGCGCCTCCAGCATCGGGCACAAAGTAGCTCGGGAGATGCACATATCCCGAGTATGAGTGAATACCATGTGTTGTCTCACAGATATTAGTGACCTCTTTATATGATATTCTTGCTCCTAGGAACTTCTTCGAAAGAACGGTCGTAATGTTCTTTGGTGGGGAGACAAAGGACTGGGCAGATGCTGTAAGCCCTAAGGCAAGCAAGAAGAGAGTAAAAAAGATCTTCATGTTTGGCTGCATAGGAAGCGCGTAAGTAAAAAAGAGCAGCCGCGACTATCCTGGAATCTTGTCAGTTACGAAAGGTAACCCATGAACTTAGGACAAGTTCATGAGACGCGGGGTCTCAAGCGCTTTTATAAGTGTACGAGTTGATATCTCAGTAACAGTGTATCCTATTTTCCCAAGTACCAGAGAACACTTTGCATCTAGCTGATTCCAATGTAATTGATTGAATCCTTCCGATGGCCTGATTACGTATCTGCTAAAGCTGAGTGACAGTCACAGAGTCACAGGCCAAAACGGGGTTGAGGTAAGATTCATCTAGAAAGAGACTAGCTTTGGCGAACTGTCGAGTAGTTGCCGGATTCACTGCACCGCGACAAAGCCATTGTCAGCTTTCGGTATAGGGAATTATGTGGATATAAAGCCCCAGGGTTACCGGGACGCGTGTCTTGCATTATGAAGACACCCGACCTTCAGTCCATCCATAGCTTACGTAGATGCAGAGACTGACCCTAGAATGGGTGGACTTGACCAATTAGGCAATTCCCACTTTTGTAGACAATCATTATCTTATGGAGCTTTGTTATTGCAACGCAAACTTGACGAGTCGGATTGAATGGAACACTTAGGTCTTGAGTCTTGCCAATTCTGTGAAATATCTCTGCTTACTGGGGCGAAGACGGATATGGCGGCAAGGGCTACATAGCCGGCACGTTACGTGTCTCAATGCGTGTTCGTCGACGTACGTTACAAATCGGTCTTACAAAGGAAGGAAGAGAAATGACGACTATTAATGGCTTTTGAATGAAACTGAACCAAAAAGAGCCTATCAGTTTTCATAGAGGCTCCAATGCTGTGGGCCTTCGAATTATGCTTGAAATTTGCTTCGCTATAGAATTGCACCCCCAATGTGTATCATGCTCTCGTATGTTTCAAATGAAAACTCCCAGCTCGGCGGTGTCAAAAATGTAATTGCACCCACACAATTGGCGACGCGTGAAAAGTGGCTGTGCTGAAGTGTCGTGAGACCGCCACGCGTCGGCTTAAGACGGATACGCGTGAAGAAAATGTTGTTAATATAGTCACAGTCGGCAAATTCTTTATGTGCCAATCTTGAGATTTTCAGTTGTTGACATGTCTCTTTGGTGCGAATATTGAGCATTGAAGTTGCGCCAAACAATTGAGCAAACTCACACCCGACATATTTCTTCAAAGCAGCTAGCAAGCGCTAGTCCGGCCGCAATCTCAACAATGATTTCTGTGGGGAGGAGGGAATAGCCCTTCTCATGCTTGGTAGCGCGTCGGGGGACATCCATTGTATTTTAATGGAGGTCTTTTGTATATGAACAGGACAACTTGATACGGTCTTTAGGCTAGGCTATACACGGGTTGGGGAAAGAAATACCTCATTGCAACCCCTGCTTTCTATCTTCTCCTAAACAACAATAATAGGAAAGCGAATTGCAACATGCTAGATACAGCGAACCGGATTTTCGCCCTCTCCTACACTGAACTTTCTCGTTCTCAATTGACATAAACTCACCTCATTCAATATCGAGGTTGGGATACGAGATCCGCAGCCGTGTGAAGATGCCGAGCTTCCCACCCGTCGACATGGCTATCGCCAATCCTGAGGCTCGCTTCCCTAGAGACCAGGAGCCCCGACGCTTGTCTCGCCATGCACTGCGGAACCTCGCCGACAACGACCACAGTCACAATTACCCTTATTGTTGGGGATTCACGATTTTCCGCACTGTCTACACACCGGACTCCGATGAAGCTGTCGCTACAGCTCTTGATCGCCTGAGCCGTTACGCAAAGCATTTTACCGACAATGAGTCTATGCCACCTCGCATCAATGATCCTTACGATCCGTTACCAAACCAAGACCTCTGGAGTCGCTACTACAGCGAAGTAATTGAGGATGAGAAAACTCTGTCCAATGCGTCCGTGGATGAAGTTGGCCATATATTTGATAAATGGATCAAAGCGAACCGCACACCCGTTGACTACGCCAATCAGCGCTTCCACTTCCCACACGGTAGATTTCGCTTCTGCTTGATGTTAGATCAAGAGAGCATCGATAATATTCTGGCCATGCCTGATGACCCACGAACACCTCTCAAGTTGGATCGGCAGAAGCTGTTACGCTGGGTAAAGATTGTAACAAACGAAACGATGCGCGACGGTCGGCGCTGGTGGTTACGCGTCAGCATTGCCGAGTACCTGTGGCCACTATGGTTTATGTGTTTTGACCCAGATGCAATGATCGAGGAGATGGGATGGGTGGATGAGAACGAAGGGATTCAGAATCTCTGGGGAAGTCCGGAAGTGATGCGTGAGTGAACAAAGGATGGTCTTGCCTTGGGATTTGAATTCTGGGCATTAGAATGGCTAAACAAGGAAATGGAGTTATCATACGTCATTTTCAATGTAGTTTTTGAATTGTATTTTTCTGGTCTTGATATTCCCCTACTTGCTCTTATGAGCTTGTCTGGGTGCATGATATCTATTTCGGGTGTTGAAAGTGGCAGGAGACATGTCGTTAGGGTCTCAAGCTCGATTGTAGTGGATGCTCGGAGATCCTCTCTTTGGCTGGTGCCTCTTCGATTGGTGACTAGACCAAGTTCAGATCCAAGTCTCTACTCCGCCCAAGTCACCAGAAGTGTGTGGGAACTGTACTGAAAGTGGCGAGCTGAAAGGCCAAAACGGTAGAAGATCAGTTAGACAACAGCTGAGACATGCGAATGCGGCTGAAACATGCATAAAGCGGGCCGTCCCAACGCGTAACACTGGCGACATTCCAGCTACTGGAGAGAGAACTAACACTCAAGGCCCACTTTAACATACCCTCTCACCGCGGGCCTCAAAATGACCGCATGCACTATGTATGCACTATGTATGGGACTCTGGAAAAGGCAGTTGTTTGGATGATTCGTAGGCTTGTACAGTTTTCGAGAGGAGAGAAAAGTGGACTTAAACCAAAGGGATTGGCAACCTGTTCTATACTTGCAGTAGCTGCCTGTAGTAAGAATTCTTTTCAGAAGTCATCGAGCTTGGCACTTAAGTACGTACTCTATCAACACATCCAAACGTCATAGGCCACGATACGGAAGTGCAGAAGTAAAGCCTCCTGGCTCTGTCCAAGCCACTAATGGTTGCATTTCTAGTAGCTAACACGTTGAAACTACATCGGTGCGGGATATTTGTGATCTGTACATAATCAGAGACTGCGCATCTTCATTCAATGTCCGCTGCCGATCGGCTTCACCGCTATCAATGTCTCGGCAGGAGTTTTAAGACATTGACGCGGGGTTCTCAGACAAGGAAGAATGTGCCGCTATGAAGCTACCAGGCGACATCAGTACTTACGTGGACAAGCTTAGAAGCGGTAATGGGATCGAACAAGGACCGGAAAGATTTAGTAGCGGTAGTTATGTGTTCTCAAGATACCGGCTCAAGGATGCCGAACATCTGCTGTCGTCTATAAAGACTCTCGAGTTTTCGCCTTAATTGATCGATGTCTACCATCTACCCATTACCCTTCTCCAACATACAAAAAGACACTAACTACCATGCCTTCCGGTCTTCCTACTGCCCCAGATACTGAGATTGGCTTCCAGCCGCCTCCCACCCCCGCCAGAACTCCTCCCGATGAGAACTCAAAGAGCCTCATTGGCCTCACTCCCTTCCCAATCGCCGGAGATGGCCCTCTACCTGTCATATTCCACCCTCACATCAGTATCCTGACGGGTTGGCTGGAGGCCTTGAACCCTGGTGCACTTGGCGACGCAGTGAAAGAAGCGCGGACAAAGATTCCTGAATTCATGGACAAGCTCCACATCACTGACGCATTTTCCTTCCTGGACTTTGCAAACGATCTTCTCAAGTGGACGCCTGAAGAGACATACAAAGCGAAGGATATCTATGATATTATCACTATGTTTTACTTCATTCTCGATCAGAAGCCTTTGGCCAAGCTTCAGACTCAGATCCATCCCAGCCAGGCGGGAATGCCTCTTACCTGGCTCTCCTCATGGATAGTTATCTATGCACAGCTTATCGGGCTTTTCATGGACACGCCCGCTTCAATTACGGAGAAATCGCTGGAAAGCTTCAAGAAATCGCCCCCGTACGCCTACCATGAAGCTGAAGTTCCTGCTGGGGGGTTCCGCACCTTCAATGAGTTCTTTGCTCGCAAGCTCAAGCCTGGTATGCGACCCATCGCCGATCCAGAAGACGACCATGTCATCGTATACCCAGCCGACTGTACCTTTGACAGATCGATCCCCAAAGACAGCATTATCAACATTGAGTCTGATGGAATCGTTATGATCAAAGGTTTGGAGTGGACAATCTCGTCTCTTCTTCAAGGCAGTCAATATGCCAAAGACTTCCATGGCGGTGTATGGATGCATGCCTTCCTCAACACCTTCAACTACCATCGCCAACATGCCCCTGTCTCGGGTAAAGTAGTCGAGGTTAAGAGCATCCAAGGTGCAGCATATCTTGAGGTTAATGCGAAGTGTGAGCGCGTTCGCAAGATGTGTGGTACAGATGCCCCAGACTCCCCGGGATACCAGTTCCTGCAGACACGTGGTCTCTGTGTTATTGACAATCCTGTGCTGGGTCTCGTGGCGGTGCTACCTATCGGCATGGCTCAGGTTTCTTCCGTGAAGATGACCGCTCGGGTAGGAGATGAGTTGAAGAAGGGAGATGAGATTTCCTACTTTCAGTTCGGAGGCTCGGATGTTATCTGCGTCTTCCAACCCAAGGCCGGTTTGACGGTGGATGATTTTGTTGCTTCGCCAGATGACACTTACTCTCGATATGGTACTGTTCTGGCTAGGGCTCCAAAGAAATAAGTCACATCAACTGTTTAGTTATTTACATTCAATTATAATCTGCACTGTAATTGACAATGAAGAAATAATGGTGTGACAAAACGATAAATTTATGTGTGTTAAAGGAAGAAATTGTAAATATCTACAAAAAGACCGCTTCGAGAGAAGGTATCTCCCGCGGTAAGATAAGGTGACGTAGAGCGCCGTCTTCCATATGTACGAGCCCCATATATACTGAAATATCAAGTCTCATCTAGTTAAGACCGAACCACTGGAAGTCAAGGTCAGGGTGAACAGGGACAGTGTGTCCGACACCCGCGGCAGATACAGACACAAACTTGCTTCCATCTCCAAAGGTCTCGGTGGTGTAGCCCTGGGCGTCTGTCTCCTTGCCGGTAGACTGGACACCATGGATAGCTGACCACTCCTTAACCTGTTCGAGGAAGTTCTGGTAGAAGACAAAGTAGTCGGCGGTGCCATGGAAGGTCTTGAACTTGGGGTACGCGCCCTTGTATCCTGGGTACATGGCACGAACCTGCGCAGCCCACTCCTCGCCGGACTTTCTGACCTTTCCATCAGAGCAGACGCGACCGGAACTGCTGGGGCTAGATCCAGGTGCGCCAGCCATGCAGCCAGCAGCGACACCTGAGTAACAGGTAGCAGCAGCAAAGCGGTCAGGATAGGTTGCCGCCATGACATTGGTCATCATACATCCAGAGCTAGAACCGGTGACGAAGACCTTCTTGGGGTCGGCGTTGAACTGTTTGATGGCCCAGTTAACCATGTTGATGAGAGCCTGACTATCACCCTGGCCGTCGTGGGTAAGGGTCTGCTTGCTAGCGACGTCCCAGCAGTTATCGTCCTTGGGGGAAGATGGGTACAGGACGACAACACCCTTTTGGTCGGCCATGGATTTGTAATTGGTTTGCTGGAAGTACTGTTCTCCGGTTCCACCGCACATGTGAAGCTAGATATACGGTCAGGTCTAAATTTGCAGTAAGGATGTCATGGTATGGTACTTACAGCGAGGATGATTGATGGGCTGGCAGGGAGGTTACTAGGGATGTAGGCCTGCAACTTCAACTGGGTGTTGTAGACTTCTCCAAAGTCGGTGATGGTCTGGAGCCCAGCCTGGCTCTGAGGGGCACCTTGAGGTGGACCTTGGGGTTGTCCTTGAGGTTGTCCTTGGGGCTGTCCTTGAAACTGTCCTTGAGGCTGACCCTGAGGCTGACCCTGAGGTGGGAACTGAGGCTGGCCCTGAGGCGGGAACTGGGCTGCAACCAGACCAGCGCCCAGGACAAGTGTAGTCAACACCTTGCGTGGTGAGAAGGAGTCGAGCATGATGGATGGTTTTGTCGTGGTAGTTTGTTTGGTGGTGGTCTGTCGGTGATCTTCTAAATCTTTCGCTGGGTATGCCCAGAGTCTTATACTCTACGGAAGAATCAAGCTTTAGGCTCCGACATCCCATACCGCTGATCTTCATCCAGGATTTCGGATATAAATCTCTGCACCAATTGAATGAATCCGGGAATGTGTAAATCCTCCGCTCTCCTTTAGCGGATATATGTGGTTACAATTAGGCGTAACCTGAAACAGACATCTTTGTTTAATGCAAACATGCACGGTAGTTGCCGGGCGCAGGAGTGGACAGACGGCCTATAAAATGACGAAGAAGAAGGCGCATGCTCCATATTTGACGGAGAACGCCAGGACGGTGCAGGGATGTTGTGCCGAATTCTTGGCTTTGAAGCTCTCCCTTGTCTTGGACTTCTTTTCTTTAAGCGAGGCGGGTTTAATTTAAGGATCAGAGACCAGGAGTCAGAACAGGGGTCTGGAAACAAACTGTAGAACAAGCATGATACGACAAATATTTGCAACCGAAAAAACAACGACTGACAGCGGAATAACATCTTTAAATTCGTTAGCCTGATTACATTGAGCCGTCACCTCGGCGAAAAGCTCATTCCAGCATCTGTGTCCAACCAAGGTATGTGGACAGGGTAATAGAGGTGCTCTCCTTGACCAGCATTAAGCAAGCAGCTCCACTGCAATCGCAAACAAGGATCATTTACGGTATATGATCGTAGTCGCTTATATACTGCACGAACGGTGCACTTACTGCAGAACCCAGCTTACGGTAGGATTAAGAGCTGCTATTATCTTCCGTGGGCAGAGAAGTGTTGGTGGAATATCCAAGTCACTAACCCGCTTTCGGATCAATTGCGGGAAAATGGTGACTGGTGGGGATACAGGAGCTTTCGGACCTTTCAGCTTGATAACGAGATCGCCGAGCACATTGACCAGACGTGTTTCATAAAAACGGTGGACTGGCCCGCAGATCCGATAATCCAAGCGCCACGTTATCTCCTACCCTATACTTTTTATCAAATATCAAGATTCGCAGACTGACCGAGAAATTACTCGACATCGGAACATGTAGCAAGTTGGGGTAAAGAGATAAGGTAATCTAGACACCTTACGCGAGTTTAAAGCAAGTTTTTTTGTAATGACCACCTGTAATTGGCATCAGTGGCCGTTTTTGTGACTACGTAACACCTCCGTTTGATTCAGACTGCCCTATAAAGTCAAAATCCAGATAGCTTTCTTTACCCAGGGCATTAAAGCCTTGAACGAAGATACGTAGAATAGACTTTCCTCTCGATGTAAAACCCCGATTATTAGGTCGTTCAAGTGATTGTCGTATCACTAGAACAAGATTTGAAATTTCTCTTCGTGGTCTATTGACAACAGATGATATTTCCATTCGAGCCTCGACTTTGCTTTGATTAGCAAAACACATTCTTGAGTATACTACGTTTCTGGTAACAACTACCAGGAAACAAGCGGGGGATCAATGACAAGTGCTTGCTACGACAGGGATTTGATCCTTACTATGTACCAACTTGTTTGTCGTTACTAAAGTTGTCCAGATTGTCAGATTTCATCATAAGCTATGTCGTGAGATACTCTTAGGGCCAATCAATCCCAAAGCGCCAAGGCACTTGGTGGCTCGGAGATCGGCTGTTTCCTGATTTGATAGTCCACTCAATGCTGCTCTGTGGCGGAGCAGGACTATAACAAACAGCAACATTCCGAGTGACTGGTCCTTTGTATCATCAACAATAGGAAACACCAATATGCTAAACATGGCTCTTTTTTATTATTTTATAACCCTGCTTTTTCTGACGCAGATAAAGGCTCAGCAAGCAGTGCTGCGCGACCAATCAGACGTGCCGCTATATGACATCGCTATGGTCGACCAATCACCTATCCCGAGCTTTAGCGCGTCTACTGTTCCGCGTCAAGACGCTGCTACCCTGGAGCGTCTCCACACTTGGATTAAACCTACCAAGTATGAGGGTGATGGAAGTGAGCTTGAAAAGCATGCTAGCTCACATCTCGAGGGTACCGGCCAGTGGCTGTTTGACTCGCCTGTCTTTCAACAGTGGCACGATGGTAGCGAGCATGGCATACTGTGGATTCGAGGTGTGCCCGGTGCAGGTAAATCAGTGCTCGCAGCAAAGTTGGTTCGTCACCTCACTCTTGGGAAGTACCCAGTGTTTCACTTCTTTTTCCGCCATAGTATCGAGTCCAATCACCGTCCTGAGTCTGCCCTCCGTGATTGGATCGCTCAATCCCTACCATCTAGCCCTGCACTGCAGCTTGAGTTGAAGAACCTGGCTTTGGAGCATAAGGATGTAGCCTCTGTCGATCGACTTACAGTAACAGACCTCTGGCACCTCCTTAAACTCGCCTTAAGGAGCATCCCCAGGGCCTACTTTGTGGTGGACGCCCTGGATGAGATGGACCAAGACGTCTTCCAGGACTTTTTGCATTTGCTTGACCAGCTGGGCAACAGCAATTCAGGCAGAGTCAAACTCATCATCACAAGCCGTCCCATCCCCTTAATCGAGAGGACAGTGAGAAACATCAAAGTTCTTGACATTCGTCTCAACAACGACCAAGTCAGCCCGGATATCCTCAAGTACCTCCGTCACAGGGTCGATGGAGTCTTTCCAACATTAGGCAATCACGAAGCTATCGTGTCCAAAGTCCTGGAGAAGGCTGATGGCGTTTTCCTGTATGCCAAATTAGCCATGGATACTTTATGTGAACAGGAGATTGCAAGCCATCAACAAATGTTGGATGTTATCGATAAATCACTTCTCAATCTATCTATGATGTACGGTAACCTCATACGGGAGCATATGGATCGTACAGGGCTTCCAGAAGGATTAAACATCTTAGTTTTGCAACTCGTCACGCACGCCAGTCGACCGTTGCGTCTCCTCGAGATATCTGACGGCATCAAAGTGATCAGACCAGAGTATACTCAAGACATTGCAACTATGAAAAACATCGTTCGAACGTCCTGCGGTCCACTTTTAGAAGTACTTCCAGATGAAACTGTTCGCGTGGTCCATCACTCTTTGACAGAGTATCTTCTTGGGCTGAATCGATCGCCATCCGACAAGGACATCCCGGTATTTGAGCCAGCACATACGCACAATGTTGTCGCACTCTTATGTTTGTCATATCTACAGGCGGGATGTCTCGATACTCCGGAGTATGATAGGCAAAAACAGTGGAAGAACCCTCAAATATCCCCGTTCATGTCTTATGCGGCAACCAACTGGCACGTGCATATAGCAAAGTCCTCTGCACAAGGGTTTCCTCAAGATGAGGCCAATGAAGCTATCTTCTCGCTTCTAATGACGCCACAAAACTCGAAAAAGTTAGCGCTGTTGCTAAGATCAGAGGCTAGTGATGACAAACTATTTTGGGAAGAGCTGTCAAGTTTTGTAAACCAGGAGGAAGGCAAAGCACTACTGATTGCACTCCATCTGGATCTGAGCAGCTTTGCCAGGTATCTTGCGGACCGCATTAACATGAAAACGGCAGGAGACATTGGAAGTAGCAGACTGCACCCCCCATTACACAAAGCCATTATCAGGGGGAACCTGGACATGGTCCGTCTCCTTATCAGCAAGGGTGTGAGCATAAGTCACTATAACACCCGAGGTTTTACAGCTCTCCATGAAGCACTTAGAGTCGAAAGCATTTCTTATGCAATAGTCAAGTACCTTCTGGACGTCGGTGCCGATCCTTGGCAGAGAGAAAGGAACAGTGACGAAAATCCCCTGGATGTGACTTTTGAAGGAAAGAATCATATAATCGACGATGAGGATGTTCAACTCCTAGCTTCAAACCCGCCAATTGAGTCAGCCTTCAGCTACGGTGACGAACAAGTGGTCGGGTTGTTTCTGGCACATATAAAGTCAGAGAAAGCGGCCAGGTATGCTTTCCTAAGGGTTCTGACAAATTCCAAACGTCCAGAGGTCATGAGGATGATTGTGAACCTTGGAATAATGGACCTCAACAGCCCCATCTTCGGCGATACACTGCTGTTCACTGCCTGTATACACCTCGTTCCAGATGCAGTAAAGTTGCTTCTGGATGCTGGTGCGGATCCTAATTTCCCTCGTGATCAGATTCGGATTAACCCGATCGGCATAACGACGGAAGGAGGAGCGAATGTTCTTCATGGGTTGGCAGCGCCGGCGAAATATGGGGGTGTCCGGCGAGAGATTCCAGAAGACAGGCTAGATGCATGTTTTGCATTAGTCTTCGCTGCTGGGGCTAATGGTAGGTACAACCCGTCTATGTCGCTTCGAATGTGAGAGGCTAACAACATAACAGTGACGCAAGTTGATGACGAAGGAATGACACCTCTTCATCGAGCCATGACTCCTCTGGCTGCCAAGCTTCTTCTTGACGCTGGCGCGGATCCGTTTGCCCTGGACAATAATGGACTAACGCCTCTTCACGTCGCGTACAGTGTTGATGTGGCAGAGGTGCTTCTAGCCAAGACAGATATTAACACCAGGAGGCACAACGGGAGGACTGTTCTACTACAAACATTGTATAAGGAAGACTATAGAATGACCCCCACAGATGATCGGTCAAAGCTCGAGATGGCGCTGAATCTTCTTGATCTGGGAGTCGATCCTAGGATCAGTGATAGTGATGGAAATGGACCTTTGCACTATCTTATGAAGATAGGTGTGGAGCACAAGCCAGATGCAACTCGCCTCTTGGAGCGGTTAGTGCAGGCCGGGGTGGACATCAACCTCCGCAATAACCGAGGGCAAACAGCGCTACATACGGTGAACTACCGCGACTACATATGGGCCGGAATTGACAGTTTCAAGCCTCTTCTTGCGCTGCCGGCCGTGGATGTGAATGCGGCAGATGAGAATGGCTATACGTTCCTCTTCAACGCTGTCAGCCTATCCGGGAACATCATCAAGCATGAATTTGTGGATCTTATGGTCCAGGAAGGTGCACATTTCAACGTTACCGACATTCGAGGCCGAACACTGCTACATGTCTTCTTAAAACACATCCGTTCCGATATAGGTCCGGATGATGAGATGCTGAAGCTCCTGGTTGAGAAGGGTGCTGATCCCATGCAAACCGACCGTGAAGGTAACACCCTCTGGCACGAGGCTGCTAGATCATTTAGCGGTAACAGATTGGTGTGGCCGAAGGTATTTCATACCATTACAACCCTGGGCGTGGATCCGAAACAACGTAACAACCGAGGGAAAACACCTTTACATGTTATGTGCGAGCATGACCAGGAGGCTCTCAGAGACTGGTACCCTGATCCCTCCAAGGGAAATCCAACTCTGTTCCAGTACATTGTGCAACAAAACCATGATGGTATAAACGAGCCGGATGATGACGGTATAGTACCGCTCCATACCCTGTCAACCTTTTCCACGGATCTCACAGAAAGGCTTCTTGACGCTGGAGCTGATGCAACACTTGCTACGCGGGAAGGACTCAATGTCTTCCATCTTGCCTCGCGAGGACGGCAGGGTAATGTCATAGGTGTAATTATCGACTGGTTCAAAGCCAAGAGAAACACAGAGCAACTAGTCGCAGCAGTCAACGCCAAGGATGAACGAGGTCGGGGCCCGTTGTATTATGCTTGTGCCTCTGGTCGCTACCAATCAGTTGAACTCCTCATCAAAGCTGGAGCTGTGCCTGTACTGGAGACATACGAGAACTCAGCTTTGCAGGGTTTGGTTGAGTTTGAGGAGGAGCTCAAGAATTGGCGCAACGGCACTGATCACCCTGGTGCCGGTGCTGTGCACATTGATGGAACGGCGAGACCTGCTAGACATTGGTCAGAGAGGCGCCGACAATCGTATCACAAAGATCGAATTGACGATATTCTCAACCTCTTTATCAATACCGCAACCTCATCGAACTGGCAAGGGATCGACCATGCCATTATTGCAGCTGCCAACAGACAACACGACTACACAGTAGAGTCTCTGCTACGGGCTAGAATGTCCCTAGGCCTTCTAGCGCCACCACCATCCCCGCCAGAAGTACAAGCTTGTTTACAACGAAGGGCAAAGCTTCTGGACAGTACATTGACAACGCGCCATGCTAACCACGACTTCTCCAGTCAAGTAGAATTCATGATTGCAGAGAGACTCTACGACGCCATTCCTTCATACATCCAAGACTACTCCCCAAAACCTAAGAGCGCATACTTCTACAAAGTCCTATTGGAGCTTTCTATCGGTGGATATGCCTCGCTCCTCGATGAATTGCTTACACCAGAAGTCTCATCGGATCTCGAGAAGAACACTGAGTCTATGGAAGAGGGAAGGGTCAAAGAAGAAAGCCAGGACTTGTCGTCACTCTTAGCAGCTGCTTGTATGTCGAAACAGCCGAACCTACAAGTCATCAAGCTACTGATGCAGAAAGGGGCCAAGGCAGACAAGATCGTGGTGGGTCCAGGTCATTCAACAACCGCTCTGCATGTCCTCGTCGAAAATCGTCAGCATCGCTGGTGGCAGACGGAGCAGGCCCTGCCATATATTCTGGAGAGAGGAGTAGACTTGGAGGTTCGAATTAATGGAGGATCAACACCTTTGAGCTTGAGTTTGGAACACCAGGAACGACCATCGTGGAGGGTTCTGGCTACGGAGATGCTGTTACAAGCAGGAGCGAATCCATCAAGTGTTGATGAGAAAGGCAAATCCTGCCTTGCGCATGCTGTTGGTCACGACTCTGCCTTCCAACTGCTTCTTCGCTATGGTGCAGACTTGGACCCTTCAACGCTGGCTTCTGCTATATTAGCCAAAGATGTGAAGACTATCGAGATGATGTTAGCCTCTGGCGCGGATCCTAACTCTCGGAAGGTCGGCTCGGAACAGTCTCATGGCGAAACTGGATTTTACCCACTCGACCTGTTAATCACAAGTAAGGGTTGTGATGATCAAGACGCAGTTTGCTTACGAATAATCGACCTCCTGTTTCAGCACGGCGCGGATCCAAACGGTCGTTATTCGAAGACAAGTGTAGCGCACCGAGTCCTCGCAAGATGTGAGGCATCAGGCGATTTTCCTCGGGCGAAGAGAAACCACTACGTTCATGCAATTATTGAGCACCCACGCTTGGACATCAATCTCCAGGATGCAGCTGGAGTCCCGTTACTACATGTCGCTTACAAAGCGGGCGATATGAAATCGACAAAAGTTCTCATAAAGAGAGGTGCTGACATACGTGTCAGAGATGGCTCGGGCAGAAATATCCTTCACCTATCTCCGGATCACAAGCTCCAAGGTTTCGATCCGCATATGCAACTGCAACTCTTTGACATGTTGGTTACTTCAGCTCCGGAGCTCATCCACCAGGTCGATAAAGATGGAAGAACTCCGCTTCATTGCGCTATCAGTCGGAGAGCCTCTAAGGAAGAGATTGAGCTGCTCATTTCCAGAGGAGCGGACGTCCATGCAAAGGATGCATCAGGAGACACTGCTCTTCATCTGCTTTTCAGAGAAGAATGGACCCTCACTGTCAATGGAGAATACGTCATTCTAGATGAGCGAAAGGTGCATGTTATCAATCACCTCGTATCGAAAGGTTTAGACGTCAACGTCCGTAACAAAGCAGGTGAGACGGCAGTCTTTAGTTACCTCCGCGAGGGTACTCTCAGAGTTCGAACATCACAGGGCGAAGAAGTACGCGACATGGAGGGGGCTCTGAGGCGACAGAACTTTAACATGGAAGATTCAATCACTTTGGAGAAAGAACAGGCTCTTTGGGCGTTGTTTTATGAATTGGGCGTGGACTGGACTATTTTCAACAACGAGAGACAATCTCTCATGCATATTGTAGCCGCGAAGCGTGTTAGCGATGAGGACTTGAAATGGACGAGGTTGCGGACGTTTGAGTACCTGATGGGGAAGGGATTGGATGCTCTCGCTGAGGACATTAACGGTCAGACAGCGTTGGATATTGCAGCCGCAGTGGGAGCGGAGGATATTCTCGCCCATTTCAAAGCAGATTAGTACAGTGATGTAGCCTCGTTTGAGTATACAAGAGATTGAATATAAATGTTCAAACTATCTTTTCATACTAGATTCAAGTGGACGTGATCGGGTTGCGGTTGAGTGTGACGCTTGTAATGTGTGGTTACCTTCCTGTTCAAAACTCTGCCTGCCCCCCCGTACTTCGAAGAATTCTGACGAGACTTGTATGGTAGTGAGCATCAGGGACCTTTGGCGCTGTTACACTATGGCGGACTATCACCTCTCAGGTCTGTTTTCAAGGTATAAAGAACAAGGGTATCTCTGAACAGCAAGGCTAGGATAAGTTTTCTCTCTAAAGTATCATCAATAGCAACTTTTAGTAGGTCAAGTCTCAGTAAGGTCAAGTGTGCAAGTTGCATCAGCTACTGAACTCCAACGATAATAAACATAAACAGCTGCCAAGCTATACGTAAGGTAACTTCTTCCTCCTTCAACCTTCATTCAACCCAACACAGCAAGAGTCAGTAAATTAACCCCGGTTCCTACCCTCTGCTGCACATCGCTAACTGTCACAGCTTGCCCTTCTAACACAATGTCGGCAGCAAGAAGGAGCCTAACTGACCCTCCTTATTATACCGAATTGACCGACGATCTGTTTTCAAGGTAGTGCATGATTCTGAGATAATTCCACAAATACCAGCGTGCCAACTGGTTACTGAAGGTAGAGCCGCTTGCACAGCCAAGAACCCAAATATGGCCCCAGTTTTAAGACTTAGTGGTTGCAGCACGGGTGATGTTGCGGGAGGCCCTAGTGTCGTCACCTATTACAGATAGCCAATATACACCTACAATACCGATCGAAATGCAGTTTTAATGATGGAATGATGCAGACCAAGAAACGGTTGGGGACTAGATCTAATTATAGGAATGAGACAAAGGTGGTAGAAAGGACGAAAGACAAATTTTGGATCTTGATGATATGCACTGAGGCAGGTGGGTACAAGCGACGCTTAGGTCGTTCCTGATTTAGGGCCGAGGAGACTAGAAATGACCGATTCTAGGTTTGGGTTCTAGACCTGTTCCTGGATGGAGACAATTGCTGTGGCGGTCAGTAGTTAACAATATTAACATCCAGCTAACCAAAACGGGCGCTGAAAAGCCAAGCCTAAACCAATACTTCCAAGATAGTCTCTGACAGCTGAGTCGAGAGAGATTTAAGGAGTAAATATATAGAAAAGGGACGAATCGTAGTCATTGTTGTTCTTTTTTGTTTGACGTCCACTCTTGCTAACAAGTACTGCAGTTGCGATGCGACCTCAAATTCTTCTCGCGGCCCTGGCTCTTGTTGAGTTCGGTGCTGCTGGTCCTTGCAAGCCTAGCAGTCGAAACACAGCGAGCAGTGCACTCTTGACATCGTCAGTTCCGACTGCCGATTTTATTCAGACATCCATAAATGAACAGAATGGTCAAACGAGCATCGTAAGTCGCTCCGCGACGGTTTCTATCGAGACCGTTACAGAAGTTCCAGGCCGTCAGTCTACTGTTGTTGACGGCAATACTGTCACGAATCTGGTGGAGACATCGACAAAGGTACAAAATGATCAAGCGACCACCGAAAGTCACTCAGTCACGGTTTCTACTGAGATCGCTACAGAGAGTACAGCGAATAGTGCATTCTTGACATCATCAGTTCCTACCACCGCTCTTGCGGAGAGTTCTACCGACATAAAGAACGATGAATCGACCGTCGATCTCGCAGCCACGCTTTCCACTGGAACTGCGACCGAGGTTTCAAGCAGCCACATTATTATCGATAGCAACACTGTCACAACCTACCTACCATCCACCGACGTCCCAAGCCTGACCTTGGCTCAATCTACAACCGCAACCGAAGAAGAAATCACCATCATCACCAATGCGATCGAGGGCGGTTCATTCGCTAGTCGTGATCCTAACAGCCCAAGCGGCCTTACAAACTTCAACGCAGAAGGCAACGCCGACTTCCACTCAGGCGGCTGCTACAAAGGAGACAATAGTCAAGATGATGGATGCGCCGCCTTGTCAGCCACTGGAGATCCCGGTAGTAAGCGAAGTCTCTTTGGCAGAATGGCTCGTATCTATCAAACCGTCAGATCTGTCCCTCGAAGGAAGAACACTATCCAGTTCTTCTACCATCTCACCTCTGGCGGCGACTGCACTGTGGCCGCGAGATTTGGTGGCAGTCAGTTTTGGTCTGCTGCTGCTTCTAGAGATGCTGGCTCTTGGGTCAAGGTCCTCGGGCAGGTCGAAGCTTTGGATGGTTCGCCGATCTTTGATGTCTCCTTGACGTGCAGTAGTGCCGACAGTTCTTCTATTCTGGTAGACTCGATCTTTATCTCTGATAAGGTCACTCCGGAGACAATTGAGAATGTTCAGCTCGACTTTGGCTCAGCCCCGGTTCCTGATGTTACCACTCCTGTCGATTTCACATCTCGGTCAGTACGGACCAGTGGTTCACCAAGCTCGAACACCGCCAAGGTCATGCCGACAACGTCTTCGGATCAACGAACGTCTACCAGTTCCAAGGAAGTCACAATGGAAGGATCGCCACCAGTCATTGAAACCACTGCCATTGAAACATTCGCTACCACATCTCCTCACCTTGTGGAACTCAGTAGTTTCGCCGAGATCACAGCGGAGCGTTCGCCTCCCAGTACGGATACCGCCTCACCGGCATTTTACATTACTACATCTGTTGATCGTCAAGAAACCAACAGACCAACCTCTGATGGATCCGGTGAAACCACGATGGAAGGACCATCTTCCGTAACGGATACCCCATCTTTTGAGTCCCACGTTGCTACATCTATTGATCCTGAAGAGTTGCGAACATCCACAGAGGGTATAGAAGTCACGGCAGAAAGGTCGCCTGCTGTGACCGACGTCACCCTCGAAACAACTGCGACTACCTTCACCAACGCTGAAGGGACCCTATTGACCTCTGGAAGTTCCAGAGAAATCACTATGGAAGGATCGCTTTCTGTCATTGAAACCACAGCAATCGAGTCTGACGCTCCTACATCTGCTGATCCCGAAGAGACAAAGATACCGTCCTTCCTTACAACCACCAAGCCCGAGGAGGACGAAATCAGCACTTCAATAGTTGCGGGCCAGGCAAACGATACTCCAACCTCCAAGACCACAACAGCTGAGCTGGCCGAGTTAACAGGCTGCTCAGCCACTTGTACCCTCATCGAAGACTACCAGCAACACTACGACGATTTCGGCTGTAACCTCAATGGCGTATTTACGAAGACCGATGCCATCTACGGCTTCGGTAGTGACGACAATCCTAATATGCAATTCTACGCCCGAGATGTCGAACAATGCTCCGAGTTTTGCAAGATACAATTTCCAGGTTGCAAGGCAGTTGGCTTCCAGAAACTCTCGAGCAGATGTTTCTTCTCCAACACCCTTGTCACGCGTGAGGAGGTGCGCGATGGAAGGGATAGTCAGATGGTCGATTGGTACAATATCAACAAGTGCTTTGAGTGTAGTATGGACTGCGGTGAAGATATACCCCCCGTGGAGATTATTTCTACCCAGGTCCATAAGCCCACTACTACCGCACCGGTTCTATTCACAACCACCAAGCAACTCCCATCCAAGACTGAATCTACTGAGTCTGCGCAGTCGACCTGTTCTCCAACATGCCATAGAGTCGACGATTTTACTTGGCATGCGGAAAATTGGAGCTGCGGCCTCTACGGAGCAGCCAGTGGTGACATTTATACTCTACCTGCCGATATGCCTGGAGATACGCTCCGTTATGAAAACGTCAACGAATGCGGTGCTATCTGCAAGACTCTGCCTGGCTGTAAGTCAGCCGGATATCAGCCTGCATCCATGCGATGTTTCTATTCAAACTCTGTGGTGACCGAGGTGACCCAAGCGAGCGATAGTCAGTCTGCCGATTGGAACAGCTTGAAGTGCTTCAGATGCGCTGGCTGTGGATTTGACGATCCAGACCCACATGAGACCACTACAACTGAGGCATCTACACCTGAGATGCCTTCTACTACTCATGAATTATCCAGCTTTGTCACCACGACTAGAGCCTCCCAGCCAACGGGCGTTTGCTACAACAACCGTGGCCAGCAATGTGAAATCAGCCACTCCGGTGTCGAGAACAACCCATTTGTCTGTATCACCGCAGGCGTCTTCATTGGCGAAAGCTGGACAGAACCCCGTTCTAAATACCCCATCCAAGAGAATCCAGAAGGATGCGCCGCCATATGCGACACGCTCCCCAACTGCGAGACATCCGCCTTCTTCGGCTCCGAGAACCATTGCCTCTTCACATCCACCAGGGTTACAGCAGCGGACTTTGCGGAACCTGATCCTAACTATGAAGAACCCGGCTTCGACCCAAAGAACGCTGTGTGGAGTCATAGATCATGTTACACATGCCCCACCTGCATTCCAAGGAACGATCCCCTGCCTAAGAGGCCAACCTGCAACTACAAGGCTGGCGATTCTTGCACACGAAAAGAGAACACAAACGCTGTATGCGATTTCTCGGGAGTGTTGAACAACAACTATTATCAGTATAGCTCGTCTTTGTATCCGGAAGTGAATCAGGATACAGCCGCAAAATGCGCTGCTATCTGCCGGACCAGGAAGGATTGTATGGGATCTGCTTCTATTGGTGGTTCTTGTTATTTCACTTATCAAGTTATGACTACTGGATCCTTTAGGCAGATGCAAGGAATCACCCATGTGTGGGATGATCCATCCTGTTGGGATTGTCCTGGCTGTCATACATAGAGGGAGATGGTTATTTCGAACAGCCTGGCTTTGGCCTCATAACGCTTCATCTACCAATCGCAGTCTCAAGACCGTCTTGTATGACGGGAATTGCATTCTTGCGCTAAGCGTCAAGTTAGATGTAGTGAATTCATGTATATCGTGTATCCGTTCGAGCTCTTTTGTGAGAGCGATATTGGAAAATGGACTGGAAAGTAGAGGGAGAGGGCTGTATTTCCTAGTAAACGGATTCTCGGGGGCTATCTTGTGCCTCAGGGTGACTCCGCAAGCGCTTGTGCCCAGAGCTTGAATCAATGCCAGATAATAGCAAGTAGTAGTCAGGATCCAGGTTAGACAAATTCCATGGAAGCGAGAAGGTTAACAAGATTTCTACGTGTGTGTGTTGGCTTTTACTCTGCATTTCCAAGAGCCATTTCAATTGATGCATTTGCCAACGGGGTGGGTGCCGACCCTTGCAAGACGATTTGGACTAACAATCTCCGTGCGTCTATGTATAAACACCACTTAAATCAGAGCCTTGCATCAGATAATGTAACTAAGGAATGACAATAGCCAATAAAGGTGGCTAAGCAAGTCGTACAGCCATGAACCCGTTCATCGGAGCTTGGTTAGCACCTTCTTGATTGAGCCATCGGAGCGGTGACCGACTCTGCCTAATTGGGCAAGTGGTCAAATAAGCGTGTTTTAGCAAGCAGTTAGTCATGGCAAGAAATGGAGGACTTCCAGGGCAAGGCGTAAAGACAAATGGATGGAATTTTTCTGCATGTACTAGATTGCCATAGAGCCAGCGGGAGGCAGGGAAGTATCGGCAGCCACCACCCGAGTAGCATCAGCATTTAAGCTTATGCTGTATATGCTCTGCAATTATTACCTCTGTGGGGCATGCGATCGTGCATTCCCTGTTTTATGATATCATCCATCAAATGATAGCCCTTGTTCAAATGGCTATAGGACGCACATGGCAGGGAGTTGAGGAATGCCAATGTTTACCGATAAAGGCAATGATCAACCCTTTCAAAATACATATTACCTTTCTACTTGCCCTTCTTGAGCACGGTGCGACACCTTGTTTTTAAATGCAGACACCTGTTTCGAAGAGTGACAATGCCACGCCTAGCACAGGTACTTCTCGCGGCCGGAGCAACTCTCCTTGGCCTCACTTCTGCACAATGCAATCTCACACCAACGGCCAGTATCGCTACTGCTGATGGCGTGGAGCAGAAGCTCCTCCGCACGGGTCTACAGAGGCCTCGACATCTAGTTGTCGACACTGAGGGCAATCTTCTAATTGCTGAATCTGGTAATAAGGGTGTGAGGAGAGTTGTCCTCGACGACGGCAAAGACCTTGACGTTTGCATCGACTCTGACGACGCCTTGATCTCCGATGCAGGTGTACGTTTGGAATCAATCCCAAATCTCATGTCTTGTTCGGGAAATAACTAATGGGTTTAAATGACTATAGCTGAACCATGGTATTGCGCTTACCGCTGATGGCAAAACCATTCTTGTTTCTAGTCCAAGCGAGGTATACGCTTATGACTATGATGCCTCCAAGGGCAGCGTCGGCTCGCGCCGGACCGTTATCACTGGCATGGATGGATCTGCAACACACTCAACTCGCACCTTGACGATCCCTCTTGCCGGTAACCCCAATCTCCTGCTCGTGGCCGGCGGATCCGATGGCAACCTAGACGCGGCAACTGTGGACAAGAATGTCGTGCGCAGCCAGGTCAGAGTGTTCGAGATCGATGAGTTATTGTCGACGGAAGAACCCTTGGAGTATGGTAAAGCTTCGCTATTCGGCTGGGGCCTTCGTAACAGTGTTGGTTGGGCAGAAGACCCTTCCACAGGGAACATTGTGAGTGGAACCTCTTTGACTGATGTTTGGGTTTGATGCCAGAGCCTTTGAGCTAATACAGTCAACAGTGGTCCGTTGAGAACTCAGTCGACAATCTTTTCCGCGGTGATGTCGATATTCACAACAGCAATCCTGGTGAGGAACTCAACTTCCACGGCCTTCCCAATGACACCTCAAGCGTCCAGTATGGTGCCAACTACGGATATCCCGGATGCTTTGCCATCTACGATACTTCAATCGTCAAGGACTACCCAGGTGGAGCAGAGGTTGGCAAACAGATGGCAGCTACACCACAAGGAGAAACAGATCTGGGATTCACCGATGAAGAGTGCCAGGAGAAGCAAGCGCCCCGAATTACGTTCGGTTCTCACCTTGCTCCATTGGACGTCAAGTTTCGTGATGGTCGCGCGGCATATATCTCAATCCATGGAAGCTGGTAAGTGAACCATAAAGCTGTGGGTCTCCCCTCCAGCATAAACACTGGCTAATAGCCTGACTACAGGAACCGCAACCCCGGTGATGGCTACCGTGTTAGCAAGGTGGACTTTGCCAATGGCCAACCAGTGTCATCATCTGACGACTCAAGGGCAGAAGTGCCGCTGATGTGGAACACGGACAACTCCAAGTGCCCTTCTGGATGTTTTAGGCCTGCAGGCTTGGCATTCGACAAGGCTGGAAGGCTGTTCATGACCAGTGACTCAACCGGGGAGCTTTATGTTCTTACAGGCGTCTAGAAAGTTTACCTGTTCTTCGGCGGGGAGTAAGAATTGTAAATTGTTTTATTGTGGAATCAGAACCGTTCTCCTAAGGGAACTTTGAATGCGCTAGCCTCTACAATAATACCTGGGACATGGTAGGGTTCGACGAACATGGTAGGGGCATGCCAATCACACATAAGAAGGGTTCAAGAGTAGTCGCTGTCTCATACGAACCGGGTGACCAGAGTGAATTTGCTTCATGATGGCCATTGATCCTCACCAGATGGGGGGACGAATTGGAGTTCTCGCCATGGTATGCAGAAGATGAGGCTTTGTCTTATGGGTTCTCCGACCTATCTAGAACATAGCATACATTCAGATGAACCAAGAGATCTTCGCGAAAAGTACATTTTCCCGGCTGATATTCATTTACCCATTCGTCAAAGTGTTATGTCCGCTGCTCTTTACAGCTCGCAACCTTCCCCTGCTTTTTCCACCCCAACCTCAATCAAAGCGGCTCGTCCCTATTGTTCTTAAACAGCAGAGTCACTGATAAGCAACATGAATTAGCAAAGGTTTGTGGGAGTATCAAGGAGCCTAACCTTGGGGCCGCCTTATAGGTTGGTGGGGGGCTATTGAGCGACGCAGCATCTCCTGGTACTCCATTGGCTGGTACATCGTCTTTCGCTTCACTGCTGGTCTTTGGGGAAAGGTTTGGAATCCAATTGGCCATCAGACTAGCGGTAAGGAGGCAAAAAACCGCCGGAAGGAGAAAGACGAGGAGCCAGACCGTCGAGATGCAGTCCATAGCTCGCAGGAGGCACCCAATGCAGAAGAAGGTGAAGAAGATGGCGCCGAAGCCGATGTACCATAGAGTCAAGCCAGTGGTAGCACGTGGGCTGATCTTGAGCGGGTTTTCGTCGTCATTCATTTTGATAGGCATGTCTGTGTTGTGTTGGTTGGAGAGAAAGGGGGGAAGTGAATAGGCAGGTAGGGACTCTTATACTTCAACGCGAATGTCATTCCAGAGCCGGACAAAAGCAGCTTGCGCAAGCGTCGGAATCATGACGTTCCAAGTGTAGGTTTGTTGAGAGCAGTAAGTGTCATTATCTCGAGTTCTCCCAATCCAGTCAGTTAATAATTCTCGTGGATTAGTAGAACACGTCATGAGATGAGCCTTCAACTACTTACATTCGCTGAGAGAAAGACAATAAATTTAGAGATGAGGGGAACTGCTCCCGCCATAACATCACTCGTCCGATGGCATCAATAAGGTTATCTTCCCCGCCCTCACCACTCCCCTCAGCAAATCTGTGACAAGTGTTATCAGAAGCTTCTTGATTGTTTCTTTGCGACCCTGCTGGCAATGGCTAATAGGAAAATTATCCGAGCTCCTCATCGGGAGTTAATAGTCAATCGAGACCGACATCCAACCTCCGGTCTTCATTGAGAAGAAGCCCGTCTATTGACTCCCATTTATTTGATGAGTTTGCTGAGTAATCCCGAAGTAGCCGACTGCCCGACAGCGCCAGATGTGTCCGCATCGCCACAATGCTCTTATTCTAATCACGCCAGAGGCTGTATTTACACATGTTGCCTTGATGCCGCCCTCTTCTGTAGCGCAGCTGCTGTCACCTTCCATCCCAACTTCCCCCCTTCCCCCTTTACTGGCTAATTGTCATCGCTGTACCCAGTCCCCTTTGGCCTGTATTGAGCATTGGAGCGTAAAGGCTGCCTCAGCTACCTTAGCCAGTCAGTCACATAACATACCTACCTCCTGCTCTCACAGTCGTCTTAACGCAACATGGCCATCGATTAAAGTATTGAGATAGTATATCAGACGCTCAAGAGTCCCCAGACATCACCACTACCCTTCGCACCTTGCTGACAATCAGCGTTTTCGCTGTCTGTTATTCTTTTTTCCTCCAAGGCCAGAGCAACCGCAACCGTTGTCGGGATCGAATATCGACCGCTAAACTGATCTGGTATATAGCTTTAGATCGCTTCCTCTACCAGTATATCTGTCCGTCGCTATTATTGCACCCCAAGGGCGGTATCCCGCGATAGTGTATCTACCCACCTTTACCCGTCGCCCTACCAAAACACAGTATCGTCATACAACGGACTCCGTTGGGCTCCCCGTAGCGCGGCCAAAGCCTCCTATTGAGAAGGGTGATGCCTCAACTCTCCTCCGTTAGCCCTGATCGCATAAGGCGCCGTTGGCATATCCAAGGATATTGAGCATGAGACTTTATATCATATCGACTGATACCGCCTTGCGCATGAGACACGAGAAAATGATGCCCAACGCTCTAGCTAGTAGATTGTTGGTAGCGATCTCTGGGAACAGAGTGGCCGAAGTCAAGGAAATGGCTGTCGCCCAAGCTATCATGACTGGATTCTTCAGCGAGTGATCCAGATGGCACAGAGGAGGGAGGGGTGACAAAAAGCGAGATGCTACATGGATAATACCCTGCCTATGCAGGTTTGATGTGGTTCGTTTTAAGTCACGAATGGTAACGCAGCAATGCATTGATAATAGACTTTCAGACTTTCAACCTTTTTTTTTTTTT